CCCCGCAGATGTCTCCTCGCGGTCCCGCAGAGCCTTGCGGCAGAGAAAGGGCAAGGGGCGGAGGAGGAGGAAGGAGGGGTGGACCTTTGGCCTCACAGGGGATTCAGGACTCGCAGCAGATGCTTCGTCACGGTTCTGGAGAGCCTTGGGGCAGAGAAGCGGCAAGGGGCGGAGGAGGAGGGGCAGGGACAGGTGGATTCCTGGCCTCACCTCAAGGGGATAAGGAGGAGCGCCAGATGTCTTCCCCACATGGGTTTCAGCAGCACTCCTCCCCGCAGATGTCTCCTCGCGGTCCCGCAGAGCCTTGGGGCAGAGAAAGGGCAAGGGATGGAGGAGGAGGAGGAGGAGAGAGGGGTGGACTGTTGACCTCACCTCCAGAGGACCACGAGAGACACCATGGATTCTCTGAACAGGGGTTTCGGGACTCGCAGCCAATGTTTCCCTACAGTTTTGCGGAGTGTTGGGATGCAGATGGAGCAAGGGGCGGAGGAGGAGGAGGGAGGGGGGGAAGTGGATGGGAAAGTCAAGAGGAGCATGGGGGGAGTGGGGGCATGTTGGAAATGTTTTTCTGGGGTGTGGGAAGAGCCTTGGGAAGGATCTTTGGGTTCCCTGGAGAAACTCATAGGGAGAGGGAGCAGCAGAATTCCACAAGGTTTGGAGGGGGAGGGAGCAGCAGGGGTGACGCAGCTGCTGCTGCTGCTGCTGCTGCTGCTGCAGTTGGTACAGCCCCAGCTCCTCGGTTCGACCTGTCCCTTCCCCCATACACCATGCACCGGTCTCAGGCGAACGTTTTCCTTGACTCTGCTGCATTTGCAGTCCCGCCTCCTCCCCCCCATGCGCCTGGTTACCGCCGAGTGCTGGTGGTGCATTGGGGGGATATCACCAAGTGGTTTGCGGACGGGACAAGTGATGCCATCGTGAGTGACTGTAAGGGGATCCCCTTGTTGGACAAGTGGGATATTCTTCTTTCTCTCACCTTCGGGTTCTGCTCCTGTGGCTGGCAGGTCAATGGACTTGAGAATCAATTCTCATCCGGATTCTTGTTTGCAACTAGAAAACGCTTATGAATCGACTTGAAAACCAATTCCCATCCTTCCTTTCACCTTCCTCCTCCGTTGTGTGAATGGCTGGCAGGTCAATGCAGCAAACGAGTCGGTGCTTGGTGGGGGCGGGGTGGATGGAGGTGAGTGGCGAGGGAGAGAGGGTAAAGCAGGTGAGTGCTGCACCCAGGTGAATGCAGCAAACGAGTCGGTGCTTGGTGGGGGCGGGGTGGATGGAGGTGAGTTGCGAGGGAGAGAGGGTAAAGCAGGTGAGTGCTGCACCCAGGTGAATGCAGCAAACGAGTCGGTGCTTGGTGGGGGCGGGGTGGACAGAGGTGAGTGGCGAGGGAGAGAGGGTAAAGAGAGGAGTGGGCAGAAGGTAAAGAGATGAGAGGAATGGGGAGAGGGTAAAGAGAGAAGTGGGCAGAAGGTAAAGAGATGAGGGGAGTGGGGAGAAGGTAAAGAGAGAAGTGGGGAGAAGGTAAAGAGAGAAGTGGAGAGAAGGTAAAGAGAGAAGTGGAGAGAAGTTAAACAGGATTGGGGAGAAGGGAGAGAGACGTGTTCTCGCATTCCCCCTTTCCCCACTCCTTCTCCCTCCAATTCTCCCGCCCCCCTCTCTCTTCCCCCCACCAGCCATCCACAGGGCAGCAGGCCGAACCCTCCTGAAGCTCTGCCGTGACCTGCTCTGCTCTCTTCCTCTCTTCTTCCTCTGTTCCCCGCTCTCTCCTCTTCTCACGTTGATTCGCCCCTCTCTCTGCCACCCTCCAGCCATCCATAGGGCAGCAGGCCCGGCCCTCCTGAAGCTCTGCAGGGATCTGCCCAGGCTGAGGAATGGCGATCGCTGCGAAACAGGGGACGCTGTGACTACAGGGTGAGTGACTGAAACAAATGAAATGGGGGGGGTGGCAGGGAGTGACGGTAGGAGTAGGATCAGGTGGGAGTGACAGTGGGAGTAGGATCAGGTGGGAGTGACGGTAGGAGTAGGATCAGGTGGGAGTGACGGTAGGAGTAGGATCAGGTGGGAGTGACGGTAGGAGTAGGATCAGGTGGGAGTGACGGTAGGAGTAGGATCAGGTGGGAGTGACGGTAGGAGTAGGATCAGGTGGGAGTGACGGTAGGAGTAGGATCAGGTGGGAGTGACGGTAGGAGTAGGATCAGGTGGGAGTGACGGTAGGAGTAGGATCAGGTGGGAGTGACGGTAGGAGTAGGATCAGGTGGGAGTGACGGTAGGAGTAGGATCAGGTGGGAGTGACGGTAGGAGTAGGATCAGGTGGGAGTGACGGTAGGAGTAGGATCAGGTGGGAGTGACGGTAGGAGTAGGATCAGGTGGGAGTGACGGTAGGAGTAGGATCAGGTTTTCTTGCCATCTCTGGTAGGAGCAGCATATGCTGATGAATACAGGGGGTGGGGTACGGTGGGGTGGAATGGGGCACAGGTACCGCTTTCCTCAAGCTTTCCTCAGGTGTGTGTGTGTTATATTTTTCAGATTCTTTGATTTTCTTTATCGAAATCCTGCATTCACGCACCCCTGCAGGGCGGCCAGGCTGCCAGTGCGCCATGTGATCCATGCGGTGGGATGGGTGGGGGCCCATACACTAATTGCATCAAGAGTGTTTTTCTTTGAAGTGTCAAACTCTCTTTGTTTTCTGCATTCACGCACCCCTGCAGGGCGGCCAGGCTGCCAGTGCGCCATGTGATCTATGCGGTGGGATGGGGTGGTGTGTTTTTCCTCACAGTCTCAAACTCTCTATCACTCTCCCACACACCTTGCAGGGCGGCCAGGCTGCCAGTGCGCCATGTGATCCATGCGGTGGGGCCAGTCTACTGGAATGACAGAAAGTCAGCACCCGTGCTGAAAGAAACGTACAGGTGTGTGCAGAGCGGTGCTGTGCGGTGCTGTACTGTATTGCGCCCTGTGTGCCGTGCCGTGCTGTGCGGTGCTGTGCTGTGCTGTGCGGTGCGGTGCGGTGCGGTGCTGTGCTGTGCTGTGCTGTGCTGTGCTGTGCTGTCCCGTGCTGTGCCGTGCCGTGTCGTCAAGTGTTCTATAAAATGCATCACCATTCCTTCATTATTATCCGTTCGCCCACCTGCCCGGGTAACCCCTCTTCCCCACTTCCATTTCTGCTTCCGACCCTCCTACCTTCCACATGAGCATTCTAAGAGAGGCCAGCAATTGTAGAGTCAAGTACATTGCCATTCCCGCAATATCATGCGGCATTTTCGGGTACACTCCATCGCCCCAACACGCCGCCCGAGCTTAACTCTATTTTGACAATTCCCAAAAGAGATTATAACACGCCCAAGTTTTAAATTCGTGATCTTGTTTCAATCATTTTAGGTACACCCCATCATCTATGCCGAAACTTCATTTCCACATATTTATTATTACGGTGGTTTGCCTGAGCCTTTTTTCTGGGTGAACATTTGCCTTGTTGGACAATCTTTCACCCCGCGTTTTTTTGCTATCTTTGCTCTATTTTTTCCTCTGCGTTTCCCTGGTTTTTCCTCCTCGCTTCTCCATACAGTTATCCCCCTGTGAAAGGCGCCCAAGCTTCTCTGGATGTTTTGTTAAGCCAATCTTGGGGATCCGTGCAAGAGGTATGCTGCACTGCACTCACATGAGGTACGTAGGTGCTTACTCACATGTAGAGTTTGCTAACCCAACAGTGGGGGTCGGTGCAAGAGTTACATGAGGTATTCACTCACATGAGGTATGCACTCACATGAGGTTTTCTCAAGAGTTTTGGCTAGTGGTGGAAGCTCAGTTCTCATGCGCCCAGTTATCCTCTGCAATCTTGTCCCTCACCCTCACATGCCACAGGTGCATTTCGTCCTATTCGACCAGTGGATGTTGAACGTGTGGCTGAATGTCATTCATGCCGCCAACCTGCCACAGCTGCTGCTGCAACGGCCACCACCACCACAACAGCCACCGCTGATGCCGCCACAGCAACAGCTGCCACACCACCTGCCGCCTCAGCAGGTGCAACCTCAACAGCAAGTGTATGAGTCAGCACAACAGCGGCCACAGCAGGCAGAGAACGAGCGAGGTGACTTGGGAGGGGGAGAAGGTGAAACTGCAACAGGAGGTAGGGGTAGGGAGGGACACAGCAAGGGCAGAACAGCAGGAGGAGAACGAGCGAAAGCTTCAACTGCTGCAACAGCAGGGAGCGGAGCAGCAGTGTCAGCAGAGACAGCTTCTGCTGCAACAGCCACCACAGCTGGTCGCTCAAACGCCTCTGCTGCTTGAGGGAGGAGAAGCAGCAAGGCCTGCACTGCAAGAGGAGAATGAGCGAGTGCTGCAGCTGCTGCGACAGCAGGGAGCAGAGGAGCTGCGCCAGCAGAGGCAGCAGCATGCACAGCCAGTCGCAGAGGGAGCATCATCACCAAAGGCGGCACTACAGACGCAGCAGCAGCAGCAGCAACAGCAACAGCAACAGCAGCAACAGCAACAGGAGCAGCAGCAGGAGCAGCAGCTACTGCACCAGGTGCTTCAGCAGGGACATAGGCATGCACAGGTGGAGGAAGAGTGGGCATCAGCAGAGGCAGCACGACAGGCACAGCAGCAACAGAAGCAGATGCAGCAAAAGCAGCAGGAGCGGCGTGAGCAGCCACAGCAGCAGGTGCCTCAACAGGGTCATGAGCATGCACAGGTGGAGGAGGAAGCTACGAAGGCAGCACAACAGCTGCCGCAGCACCAACAGGAGCTGCCTCAGGCGCCACTTCAGCATCTGTCCCGGCAGAGTCATGAGCATGCACAGGTGGAGGAGGAGGAAGCTGCAGAAGAGGCACGACAGCTACAGCAGCAGCAACAGGAGCTGCAGCTTCAGAAGCAGCAGAAGCAGCAGCACCAGCAGAAGGTAAAGCAGCCACGGGAAAGGAGACAACAGCAATCAGAAACAACAGCAGCTGCAGCCGCTGCCCGCGAGGCCAGAAACGACAGGCCTCGCGCTGCCAAGCCTAGCCCAGGCATGTTGCTGGATGATGGGGTTGGGCTGAATCTGCAAGAGAGGGGAGCGAATGAGAAGAAAGGTGGGGTTGTGAAAAGCAGGAAACGACCTATATTTTAGTTCAGTAAAGGATAGAAAAAAAAAAAGTCTTGCTCTGAGCACACTGCAAACGAGTGAGATGAGCGGCATGTACAGGAGCGGGGGGAGTTTCTGAGAGTAGGATAAAAAAGACACGAGGGCTGTTGGGGATGGCATTGGAGGATGGGGAGAAACCCGCCCCCCTTGACGTGTGCTGGGTCCCTCTGGCTGTATCTCCGGCTGTAGACCGGCTGTAGCTACGGCGGATGTACCTGAAGCAGCAGCAGGACCAGCACCAGCAGCAGCACCAGCACCACCAGCACCACCACCGCCACCACCACCACCACCACCACCACCACCACCACCACCACCACCACCACCACCACCACCACCACCACCACCACCACCACCACCACCACCACCACCACCACCACCACCACCACCACCACCACCACCACCACCACCACCACCACCACCACCACCACCACCACCACCACCACCACCACCACCACCACCACCTCCATTGCCACTGGCAACAGAACCAGAATCGGCACCAGCACCAACACCAGCACGGCCAGTGCACACAAAAGGCAGGAACAGCAAGAGCACAACTACAACTGTCATTCCACCATTGTAAATAGCTGTTGTATCGACTACGTATGTGTTGCAAAACTCTGAGAGGAGCAGGAGCTAAACTTTCAAGTCTACAACATACTACGGTATGTTACGTAGAGTTTGATCTAGGATGTGATGTTAGTAATGCTTAAGCAGTGTTGAGATAAAGTCAATAAGGGCTTTTCGCAGCCTAACAAGCAGAAAGCTACAGCAAGGACAGTACATAATGTTGAACTTGACGTGACAAGCTACTCCACCTTCCCCCCTCCACTTCCCCCACTCCTCATTCTGTCCTGAGATTACCGAGTTTGCTGAATGGAGCAGGACAAAGTGTTCCAATTTAGCCAGACCTTTAGCTCAAGCTAAATAAAAATTCCTTATGATGTCTCCTAACCTAAGGTAATATCAAAACTGCCCTGCACTTTGGATAAATGGGGTGATGCCAAACTATAAGGGTGATGCCAAATGTACACACAAAGCGCCTATATGAACATACACTAAACATCCACTGGGAAGGGATGCCGTGCCACCTACCGTATCCCCATTCACCCAAACCCTTTGTACAAGATATACATTTAGCGCCTTACTCATTCTCTATGTACATATAAGTTCAAATTCGGTTTTACTGCACTGTCACTTCCGCGACCGGAAGCTGATAACGTGCGTCATTCATTACAATGACGTGTCCACTCTCCTGCACCACCGCCTTCTTCTCCACAAGCAGCAGAAATGCGAGTAGTTTTGTCCTTCCATATCCGCGACTACAACCATCCCTGTCTCGAGAGTACCCCGCAGCAGTTGACACTTCCCTTGTAAACCAGTCTCCAAGTGGACTGCTTGAGCGGCGATTGGGGCACATTCCGTTCCGTAGGATTGGGTCGAAGCTGCTAGACCGAGTGCCATGAAACGCGAGGTCCAGGCTTCCTTCCTCCGCGCTGTCCATGTACGAGAGACCTTTGACTGAAAGGTTCAGGGAGGGTGGACGAAAAAGAGGTGAGCAATGGATATTGCTTACGCCTCGCAAGAAAATCAGCGTATACAGATAATGCCACGCGTCACCACTACGCATATCGAACATGGAAATGCCACTTAACACCCTTAAAGCCAGGGTCTCGAGTAAGAGAGTAGTCTTACCGAGTGCAGCATCAGCGGGTAGGCTCTGCGCAATCGCGAGAAACTGCCTGAGCAGCGTGGAACCAGGCGTAAGGTAGGGGTTCTTACGAACTTCCACCACCGAGCTGCACCGCTGACCCACCACGTGCCGAACGTACGCCTCCGAGGTGAACGCGTCGATGATGCAACCCCAGACCTGCCGTGATCAAGCACCAGGTTAATTTAAATGACGTATCCAAATGCCAGGAAGGAACCAGCGCTTGAAATCGCTGGACAATACGTTTCTCCTGTCCATTGCATTAGCAAAATTCAACAAATTGCTTACCACGGCGGGGGTCCTCAATGCGTCGCTCAGGTTCTTCAGCGACAGCTTCGGAATTACCAGAACCGGCCTTCCCTGATCGGCTGTGGGGTTCCGTTGCTCCATAGTCTGCAGATTCAGCGTGTAAGATTGGCCGTTAGGGTAAACTTTCGACGTGAAAACACCCAGGTTCACTTCCCGAAGGCCCAGCGAGGCCGCCTTGAGGATCGCGCGGGAGGTGGCGCGGTCGTACGGACGCCACTGGTCGTCGTCGCGCCAGTAGATGCCGGGAACGTCGGGCTCCGAGCAGGGGAGGAAGTTGATGCACATGATGGCGGCTCCAAGTTACCGTTGAGAATAGAAAGAATGGTCTTTACTATTCTTCCGCTGCTCACGGTGCTCGCGCTGCTATTTTCGGCGAATGCGTAAGGAGGGAGGGAGAGAGCCTGAGGGTCAAGGCGCATTGTGTTTGCGATTGGCGGCATCGTCGAATTTATGGCTGCGGCATGAAGGCGCTGCGCCTGGAGGAGAGATTTTAACGGGTATTTACCCCGAATTCCATTTTTGTTCACTACCTGCACAATCTCAAGTATTAAGTAGTAGTAGTAGTTTCATCCCAATTACCGTATGTCGTGATCAGCTTGTCAAATATTGTCAACGCTGACAGACAACCCAGAACGCGTAGGGTAGACTTGAATTCAACCCCATACCCTTCCGTCCCCCTACCTCCTCGGCCTCGATGCTCCAAATTCGCTTACCTCGGGAACTCCACTTTTGCATCCAGCCGTCCATCGGGAACTCCATTCTGCCTCGAAGACATCTGTTTAGCTTACCTCGGGAGCTTTCGTATCTCTGCATCAAGCTCATCGCTTCTACGTCGAAACTCCAACTCTTTCTAAGCTTTCTCCTTGGCATGCTTCAATCCGTCGCCGACGGTAGCGACCCAGAGGCAATGCTGCTCCTCCCTTTATTCGCGAGATGTTCTGGTACGTTCGAGGCTTCCTCACAGCTGGATCCCAGCTTGGCGCCGCCGGCCATTCGTTCCAAAGGTGCACGCAAGGGGGGAAACAGGACAGCGTGAATAAGGCGTGCAGTCTAGCGGAGCAGGGAATACGGTAGCAGGAACATTCTGGAGGTGATCTGTTCGTGTCCAGTGAAGCTCCCCTTCACATCTATCGAGTACTGTTCGTTATTGAGCCGCAACAAACACAGAATCAGATACGGTTCTATAACAGACATCAACACTAAAGCTTTCATTTTTTCCAGGTGTTCCATTATTGGCAGTATTAGCATGGTACCATATTAAATTTCACACAACACAGCCCACTTTCCACATCATGGTCATATCTACAAATCTCAACAGCCCTTCATATTGTGTTACACCAAGATCTAAGGCTTTCAACAGCGTATCATAAGAGTGTTACACATTCTGGTGCTGCTTCATCTTGGAGGGCGGCCATCTGCCCTTCTTCCTCAGCTTCCTCTTCTGCACCAACCGCTTGCGCCGCTGCTCCTCCTTCCGCGCCGCCTTGATGTCCTCCGCTGACTGTAGCGGCAGCTCCTCCACTGCTGACGTGGCCTCCGCCACGTCAGCTGCCAGCTCTACCACTGGTGCGGTGCTAGCAGCGGCTTGGGGAACGGCAAGGCGGAGAGAGCGCATGGAGAAAGTGAGGGGCTCGCCTGAATTGAGGAGTGAAAGGGGGGAGGAGGAAGGGTGGGTGGGGGGGGAGAGGAAGGGGGAAAGGGGGGGCGGGAAGTGGGAAAGGCGGGGGGGCGGGAAGTGGAGATAAGGGAAGAGGGGAGGGGGGAGGAAATGGGCAAAGGAATGGTGAAGAGCATGGCATGGGCAAGTGGCTTGGGCCGGGGCGAATAGAGTGCACAGAGAGACTCGGGCTCACCTGAGGAAAGGCGGCGGGAAGGGGGTTGGCGGAGGGTGTGAGGAGATGGGGAGTGAAGGAGGAAAGGGGGCGGAAGGGGGAGGGGGGGAATGCGGAACGGGGAAAGAGAAAGGCGACGGGAAGCGGAAGCATAAGCACTGGAACAGCTTAAGGGGAAGTGAGGCGAAGAGAACGCTTGGAGAAAGTGAGGAGCAGCCTTGAGACAGGGCGGACAACATAGAGCAGTGAAATGATGGAGGCAGATGAGCCAGACAGATGAGCGAACCGGGCGAACGAACTAGGTAGATTCAACACACAATTCTCCTACTCGTCTCCGACGCAGTCTCAATGAGCGAGCTAAAGACGCACAGATCGAGTCCAGTTGATTAATAACATAACGCGTCATCTCTCTCACAACTCCCACATTTCAAAGTCTACCACTTTGCTTGCACCGCCGTTCTGCAAAGCCATTAAAGAGCTTGAAATATCCGTCCAGGCTCACTCTTGCATACTGTCCTGCCTAGGAAAAAGCTCGAACCGGGTCGAAGCTCAATCCAGATAATGCCATACGCACGCTGACCTTCGGCGAAGTGCTTTTGAAGGGGCCTCGAAAAGGTATACATTCGCACGCGACGCGATGTGCGTCAAGGGTCAGTTATTTACTGTATGATGAAGTGAACTCTCAGGCTCGTAAGTAATGTAAAAAAAAAACAGTTTCTCCGTTTAGGCTCAACCCCTGCGTGAACTTTACACGACATAAGCCCTGTTTCCCTAGAATAGGCCGAAAATGCCTGATACGTCCATATGACGAGAAGAAAATGGCTCCTTCCTCGTTGACCCACCCTAAGAAGCAAAAAATATCCGTAATTGAGATCCGCGTACGGCCTTCGTCCAAGTCCCACAGTGTTGTCTATTTATCAGCTATTTGCGGACGGACTTGGAACCTACGGTACTCACAAGGGAGGCTCTTGCTCCGCGACGAGACGACGGAGAAACTGGCGGAAACCGCGGCGGAGCTAAGTGCGGGAAGCAATGTCGCCATGGCAGCCATGGCGGAAGCACGGACCCGACGAATGTGGCGGATCTTACGGAGAAGAAAAGTGCGCCAGGCAGAATCGCTGAACGAGCAGCAGAAACTAAATGAAATAACTAGGTATGTAGAAATAGCAGGAGCCAAAACCCTTCAGACAGCTCTGCGGGGAAAGCGGCCTTGCGGGGAGATTCGGCCTTGGAGGAAAAGCGCGAGCGGAATGGCTTGGGCGCGATCGGCGGAACTTCGGCTTGGAGGAAGAGGGCAGGGGCGGAAGGGGGATGGAGGGATGGGGAAGTGAGGGGACATGAACTGATCTGATTGGTGTCGAAAGGACGCGAGGGGAAATCTGAAGGATGGGCGAAAAAGTTGGATGTTGTTGTTTGCCACTTTGTACTCCGGTTTAGTTGGGTGCATAGCGGTCACGGACAGAACGGTTCGCAAAGTGCAGTATACCGTGTTGAAACATACTGAACCGCACTAGACGATCAACAAACACATACTGCCTGTGTCTTGGATGGGGTTCCCGAAACACGTGGCAAAAGGCAGGGCGTCAAGTGACACGTCAACGCGAAGTCACAGATATTATCCGCGTCACTAGACGACTTAAAAGAACAAACACCAATCGCTGATGCCCGAAAATTACATGCAGAAAAGAGAGGAAACATATACGTTCAGAAAACAAAATCTTCTAGCCTATACACATTACACAACGCATAATTCTTAGCACACCACGTGGCCATGAGCGCCTCCACCTCGAGCTTGTGCTGCTACAAGCGTCCGGTTGGCCGCTACAACCGCCGCTTTCGTTGCACTGCGCAACGCATCAGCCAACGGCCCAAGTCTGAGCGCCGAACCCCATTGCTGCGTACTCACTATAGCCATCTCGTTGCTTCCCGTCCCATCATTGCTCTCCACACACCCATTCTCAACAATTTCCTTCATCACACCCACTTCTACCAGGACCGCAACTTCCCGGAAATCCACCACCTCTCGAAGCACCTGTACCATCACCCGGCCACCATAGGCCGCCTCCAGCTCGACGATTGCTGCCAGCGCAGCAGCGTCCACGTCAGCATCCTCCGCAGCAGCATGAGTCGCACTCTCTTCCGAACCATGACTTGCCAACCTCGAAAACACCCGGCTGTCGTTTCCTTCCAAGACCTCCCCTTTGCTAGTAGAACCCGGGACAGCAGCAGCGGCAGACGCAGCAGCAGGAGCACCAGCAGAAGCAAGTGGAGCAGAACGGGCTGTGCCAGAAATAGCAGCAGCGGCAGCAGTGAGAGAATCATCGCCGTAGGTAGCTGTGCTGCCGAAAGGGCTGGCGGTATTTGCACCAGCAGCACCGCCGGTGGCACCAGCAGCAGCCCCAGGGGCAAGACCACTTGAGTATCCTCCGGTAAGGGTCATGCCTGACATTCCAGCTGTCACATGTGCTGGTGCAGATAATCCTGCCCCGGATAAGCCTGCCCCGGATAAGCCTGCTCCAGCCTGCACCCTCCCAGCAGCAGCACCAGCAGCAGCAGCAGCAGCAGCAGCAGATGCGCCGGTTGGGCCAGGCACAGAGGCAGCGAGGTTTCTGGAGAGAGAGGGAGGTACAACTGGTGCAGCTGCTATCTCCTCGGCACTGCTCCACACCCCCACCGACGTATACACCACCCCTTTCACCCGGTTACTCAGGTAACAGCTCATCATGCCACCTGGCGCCAGGCTGGCGTGGCCCGCGGCCAGCTCAGCGCCAGCGTCAGCAGGATCGGCGTGGTTGGAGTGGCCCGCGAAGGGGAGTGAGAGGGAGAGGCGGAAGGAGGAGCCTTGGGAGAGGGCGGAGGCGCAGGAAAGAGAGCCGTTCATGAGGGTAGCGAGCTTCTGACTCACTATGAGGCCCAGGCCCGACCCTGCTGGGGCCGAAGAGCTGGTGAGAAAGCAGGGGAGAGGTGGGAAAAGTGGGAGAGAAAGATACTTAGGGGCGGGTTAGAGAGAGACCTGCTGAAAGTACTGGTAAGTCCTAGGAGACCTGCTGGTAAGTCCTGGTACCAAGACAAGACTCACTGAAATCCAAGCCTGAGAACACCTGCTGCTGCTGCAGCTCTCTCAACCCCACCACCCACCCACGTTCAGGTTCAGGCATGCAATGCAGGGTTCGGAGGCAAGTGTTCACTCACCGGGATTCAGTGTCGGACGCGCCACTAGAGATAGCCGGTGCTGCTGCACTGGGATCCAACCCTGTGAACACTTGCAGTCGCTGTTCCTCACTCAACCCCGGACCGGAATCCGCCACACAGAGCACAAACGGAAACATCTCCTCCCAGTCAGCCGAAACGTTTCGGTCCTGCCCAGTCCGCTGCCCGGTCTGCTGCCCGTGCATGAGCCTTCCGGCCAGCGCGTCTCTTCCGTACTCGTTATAGGCGGCTTCGCCGGATCCTTTGTAGAGCTGCACCTCTACCCAGCCTTGCTGAGTGTACTCGACTGCGTTACGAAAGAAGTTTGCGATGATTTGCTGCACGCGGTGCTTGTCACCCTTTACAATCACATCGGCACACTGCGGTTCGACCGAGCAGAACACCTGTAGACCCTTGTCGCTCGCATTCTCATGCTCCTGGAGGGGGGTTTTTGGGGCCAGGGGGAGGGGGGAGCAGCGACCTTTACAGTTGGCACACTGCAGCTCCACCGAGCAGAACACCCGCAGACCCTTATATACCGCCTGCAATCTCACCCACCCATTCGCATTCTCATCCGCACCCATTCCTTATCTACCGCATTCCCATTCGCATTCTCACCCACCCGCCCTTCCATCCATCCATCCATCCACCCACCCAGCTGTGGGGCTGCCATGTAAAAGAGACCCACCTGTGCAATCACGGCGTCCACCACGTGAATAAGCTCAAACGGCTCGCTCTCCCCCTCCAGCTTGCATCGAGGGGGGTTACAGGGCTACGAGATGTGGTGGGACCCAACCCACTCACCCACCCACCCACCCACCCTCCCACCCACCCACCCACCTGAGAGGCTGCCATAAGGAAGAATCAAGGCACCCACCTGTGCAATCACGGCGTCAACCACGTGAATGAGCTCAAACGGCTCACTCTCCACCTCCAGCTTGCATGGGAGAAGGTTACAGGGCTAGGGAAGGCTAAGGGAAGAGGTCCCAACGTAATCACCCGATACAGGACCCACCTTCCCTCCCTTTCACCCACCTGAGCAATCATGGCGTCCACCACGTGAATGAGCTCACACGGCTCACTCTCCTCCTCCAGCTTGCATGGAAGGGAGTTACACGGCTAATGAAAGAGTTGGGATTAATCCCACCCACCCACCCACCCACCCACCGACCCACCGACCCACCCACCCACCCACCGACCCACCCACCCACCGACCCATCTGTGCGGCTGCCCGGAGATTCAAGCTACTCACTTGAGCAATCACAGCATCAACCATGTGAATGAGCTCAAACGGCTCACTCTCCACCTGCAGCTTGCATGGCAGAACGCCACAGGGCTAGGGGATGTGGCCACAGGGCTAGGGGATGTGGCCACAGGGCTAGGGGATGTGGTGGGATCCGACCTATTCAGCAGAAAGTCCAACCATCCTCCCTCCGACCCACCCAATCACCTGTGCTATCACGGCGTCCACCACGTGTATGAGCTCAAACGGCTCGCTCTCCACCTCCAGCTTGCCTTCTTCCAGCTTGCTCAGATCCAACACATTGTCCACCACGCGCCGTAGGTACTTGCTGTGGAGAACAGTACAGAGGGGTGACGAGGGATGCAGATTCGTTATGAGGGATGAACCACGGTGCCAGCTTGCCTTCCAACGCGTTGTCCACAACACGGTGAAGGTACTTGCTGTAGGGTAAAGTACAGGTGTAGGGGGTTAATGAGGGATGCAGAGGGGTGATGAGGGGTGAATGCATGTATATTCATATTTGTGTATGCATGTATATATGTATGTATATTTATGTACATATACCTGTGTGTATACGTGAATATCGTATACACATCACGGCATCTCAAAAGGAGCAGAGAGACACACATACCCGCAAGCGGACGTGGTGTGGAGCAGAGCAGGTCCCTCTGATCGGGTGACATCTCAGTGCCTGAAAGCTTCTGAGGCAGCTCAAATGCAGCAGAGAGACACAGGGATGTCTGACCAGAGGGACCTCCTGCATATGTGGCGTGCAGAGATGTCTGACCACCTCTGCCAAGTGAAGTGCCAACGTAAGTGATCAGCAGCAAGTGATCAGCCAACGTACCCGCACGCAGATGTAGCATGAAGCAGGTCTCTCTGATCCGATGACATCTCGGCGCCCTCCATGAAGCTGATGGACGAGAGGATAGGACACCCGAAGGTGCTCTTAGATCCACCCCAACGCTTTTGAGGCCACTTTTGAGGCGCCTCAGAGCTTGTAAGAAAGGCAAAGCGGCAGAGAAGAGAGAGAGAGAGACACATGAACATACCCGCAGGCGGAGGTGGCGTGCAGCAGGTCCCTCTGGTCCGATGACATCTCAGTGCCCTCCATGAAGCTGATGGATGAGAGGATGCCGTTCAGCGGGTTGCGGATCTGATGGGGGTGATGTGGGGGCGAGGAAGGGGAGGATGATATTGGGCAACAGGGTGCAGACGAAACTCTCTGGACAGATAAAATCTCAGTGCCCTCCATGAAACCGATGGATGAGAGGATGCTGTTCAGCGGGTTGCGGATCTGACGGTGGGGATTACACCCCAGGGAGAGGAGGGTGGGGGTCATGGGGAACGTATGTATGGATGGGACACAGATGAGGTGCGGCGCCTCAGTGCCCTCCCTCCATGAAGCTGATGGAGGAGAGGATGCCGTTCAGAGGGTTATGGATCTGACGGTGGGAAATTGATTGGGGGATGCAGGGTAGGGTGGGGGGGGGGACGGACATATGGGGCACAGCGGCAACGGGTTACGGATGGAACTCTCTGATTGTACGATATCTCATTGCCCTCCTGGAAGCTACACTCAACCCTCATTTTACCGCACTTAAACCCTCTGCATACCTCGTGGCACAAGCACGCCAGCTGCATGGTCTTGGCCTGACTCGCCGCCTCTGCCACCATCTTCATTGCCGATGCATTCTCCGCTGCTCGCCTCTCCACCACATCTTGCATGAAGCACGTCGCTCCCACCGGCTCACCGTTAGGGGAGCGTCTGTTGCAAGGATTGGGAATGGGAGTACAGTCAAGGCGAGAGGGTAACGGTCGGCCACTTAGCTCTCCGTTGCTCGCCTCTTCACCACATCTTGCATGAAGCACGTCGCTCCCACCGGCTCACCGTTAGGGGAGCGCCTGGAATGAAAGCAACAAAAACGAAATTAGGGAAGTAGCGGATTACGCCGTGACCTCTCTGCCTGCCCCGCCTGTCGACCACATCCGGCATGAAGCACGTCGCTCCCACCGGCTCACAGGACCTGAGCGCGTCAGTTCTCCACACCGCCTACCCCTCTACCACCTACTGAACCACACAGCACCTCGCCGCACCACTCTGCATCACGTTGCGCTACACCGCACTCCATTGCACATGCATATGGGAAGTGCATGGGGCCTACCTGCCTTCCAGCGGATAATGGTAACAATACCGTACCGTACCATACCATACCGCATCGCACCCACCACAAACCACATGATCACATTCAGCCTTGACACAGCACCACACTCTGCTCCATTGCACTGCACCACAATACACCGCAACCTACCGCAACGCATCGCATGAAAGACAACATTGCTCTCTACACCACAGCACACACAGAACAACGCAGAACCGCGCTGCACCACCTTGCAGCCCACTGTACCCCACCTCAAACCCCATTACACCGCATTGCACCGCACTGCACCTGCTGATGATGTGCAGGAGTGTGTCCATGGGGCGGCCATCCCACGTCTTGAGCTGCAGCTCGTGGTTCCTCGTGTCCCTCCCATTGAGTGCCTGACACAGGGCGATTTCAAACATCACCAGGTTATCCTGCATAGGGTGGTGGAGGAAGGGAGGGAGGTTGATGTGGGAAGGAGGAAAGGGGGGGGAGAGGAAGTGTGACCGTGTGATGGATGGGAAGAGAGCTGCAGCTCGTGGTTCCTCGTGCCCCGGCCGTTCAGGCCACAAGCCCCCTCCCACCACAAGCCACAAGCGTCAACTTTACCGGGTATGGGATGAGCCGCACCATTTCTCGCACCTGGTCAGGAATCAGCAGCATGGGGTTGCTGCTTAGCACCTCCACCACAAGCCGCCTGCCTCACAAGCCACCTGCTCCACAAGAGGTTTGCTCTCTGAGCCAAGTTCACTCACTTATCATCATGAGCAGCACCATTTCTCTCACCTGATCCGGAATGAGCAGCATGGGGTTGCTGCTAAGCACCTCCCCCACAAGTCGCCTGCCCACAACTTTTTCTCGGGGCAGCCCGCTCGTCTGCTCCATAGCAGCATTCCACTCGGTCACCCGCCCGCACTCGTCCACCGTGAAAACCAGGAGATCTGATTGGTCCACAGCTGCCCGAGCCTCTGCCTCGGGCATCTTGTACTGAGAAGACGGAGGGTTTGCAGGGGAAGAGGGGGAAGAGGGGGTGTGGTATTTGTGACAAAATGTGAAGATGAATTAATCGTTCGATAAGGAAATGTGGGGGTATACATAGTTGAGCTAGGATGGTGGGATTGGTTGGGAACCGAGCCAACATTATTGGCCCCCACCAATAAGTTGGGTTGAGTTATTGGGGGGACCAATAATGTTGATCAAAGTGGGTCAACATTATTGGGGGGACCAATAATGTTGATCAAAGTGGGTCAACATTATTGGGGGGACCAATAATGGTGATCAAAGTGGGTCAACATTATTGGGGGGCCCAATAATTGGGTCAAGGTTGAGCTCAAACCCCCAACTAGGATTAACCCTAGTTGTACACCAAAACTAAGTTTGGGTGTCTATCTCTAACCGAAGCTTATAGGATAAATGCAGGTTACAATGAAGATGACAATCTGACAGTATTGGTGTCAAAACAATGCCTCAGTAGTTGCCTTGGTGTGTCTGCTGTCTGCCAGTGTGTGTGCTGAGTATCTATCTGTGTGTCCCTCTTCCCATCTCCCCTCCCCCCTACTCACCTCCCCCGCCAGCACTTGGAGCGCGGTGAGGTCGTGCCCCATCAGCCGCACACTCAGCACGTTGCCACCAAGAATAGCTATAGAACTATCTTCCCCTCCGCCCTCCGCCCAGCCCCCTCTCACCTCGCCTGCCAGCACTTTGAGTGCGGTGATGTCTTGCCCCATCAGCCGCACACTCAGCAGGTTCCCATGCCGGTCGTGCTGCCCATACGCGCTCACCAACACATGCACCAACCGATCCAACTCCCCCCCCCCCACCCCTTCCCCCTTTCCTCCTCCACCTCCTGCCCCTCCCCCTGCTCCTCCTGCTCCACCCCCAGCAGCAGCATCAGCAGCAGCAGCGGCATCAGCAGAATCAGCAGACCGCGCCAGCAGAGCCACATCAAACGGCTGGACGTCCTCCCCTTCCGCTAACACCTCCATAGCCGCCACAAAGTGCGCGTGAGACTCGGGAGCCAGCACGCTGGAGAAGAAGTTGCTCCCGAGCACCTCGCTCTTGGCCCTCCGCGTGATGTGCGCCGCCTTGCTGTTGAACTCCGTCACTGTCCCGTCGCTGCTGATGCCGATGATGGGCGTGTGGGCGGATTCCAGTTGATTTTCTAGCGTCCGTGCCACCTCCTTTAGCTGGGACTGGATGGTCAAACGCTCCGCATTCAGCTGGGCCTGAGGGGGCGAGGAAAGACAAATGAAGGCAGAAGGAGAGGAGGGGAGGGGAGTGCGCATGAGACTCAGGAGCCAGCACCTCCATAGCCGCAACAAAGTGCGCGTGAGACTCGGGAGCCAGCACGCTGGAGAAGAAGTTGCTCCCGAGCACCTCGCTCTTGGCCCGCCGCGTGATGTGGGCGGCCTTGCTGTTGAATTCCGTCACTGTCCCGTCGCTGCTGATGCCGATGATGGGCGTGTGGGCGGATTCCAGCTGGTTTTCCAGTGTCCTGGCGACTTCCTTCAATTGGGACTGGATAGTCAGTCGCTCTGCGTTCAGCTGGGCCTGCCAGGCAGATGGGCAGGCAGGGAAGGCAGGAGAGGAGGGGAGAGGAGGGGAGGGAGGGAGACACAAGGCAAGGGAAGGAGGAGAGAGGGTGATGTGGGCAGCCTTGCTGTTGAATTCCGTCACTGTCCCGTCGCTGCTGATGCCGATGATGTGCGTGTGGGCGGATTCGAGTTGGGATTCGAGGGTCCTAGCGACTTCTTTCAGTTGAGATTGGATGGTTAAACGTTCCGCATTCAGCTGGGCCTGGGAGGTGAGAGGGCAAGCAGGGAAGGCAGGAGAGAACTCAGTGACGGTGCCGTCGCTGCTGATGCCGATGATGGGCGTGTGGGCGGATTCGAGCTGGTTTTCTAGGGTCTGGGCGACCTCCTTTAGCTGCGACTGGATGGTCAGGCGCTCTGCATTCAGCTGGGCCTGGTGGGGTTCAGAGGGAGGAGAATGGAGGGCTCTGAGCATCAGATGATGGGAGCGTGGGCCAACTCCAGCTGAAACTCTAGAGTGTGCGGGCGACCTCCTTTAGCTGCGACTGGATGGTCAGGCGCCCTGCATTCAGCTGGGCCTGCAAGGTGGGAAGGCAGAAGGAGAGAAGGGAGGCGACCTCCTTTAGCTGCGACTGGATGGTCAGGCGCCCTGCATTCAGCTGGGCCTGCAAGGTGGGAAGGCAGAAGGAGAGAAGGGAGGCCACCTCTTTCAGTTGGGACTGGATGGTTAAACGCCCTGCGTTCAGCTGAGCCTGGTGGGGCGGGGAGAGGAGGGAGAGGCGGGAAAGGGTGGGTGAGTCAGATGATGGGCGTGTGGGCGGACTTACGCTGGGTGAGAAGAGACGAGGACGAAGGCCGCAAAGTGAGGAGGGACACAGTCAGAAGGCAGCGCAATCAGCAGCTAGTGCAACTCAAATTGAATCAAAGCAAATCCCATTTACCAGAGAGATATTTGGGCATCTTGATCTCAGATCATCTTGATCAAGATGCACTCCGACCCACACACAACCAGCACCACCCTTGCGAGTGATTTTTGAGAATTCTCAAAAATCACTCGCAAAGATCAAGATGCACTCCGACCCACACACAACCAGCACCACACCACCTCCATCTTTAGTCACGCGAAGAAAGAGTGTTTTCTGAGAAATTCCTCTTTCTTTAATTTGAGAAATTCCTCTTTCTTTAATTTGAGAAATTCCTCTTTCTTTAATTTGAGAAATTCCTCTTTCTTTAACCAGCATACGTCAAGAGTTCACTTTGCAACGCGATTGAGACTCACATGCTGGCTATACTGGCGATTCAACAGTCAACAGTCAGCCAGGCACACGCACGCACCTGGATCTTCAGCTTCAGGTCCTGAGGCTCGGGGTGGGGAAGCGAGTCCTTCACTATGAGGCAACTTTGGTCCTTGCATCAAGCACTCGGCGTCTGAATCGACTGACAAATTAGCCAGCCACACACGCACGCACCTGGATCTTCAGCTTCAGGTCTTGAGGTTCGGGGTGGGGAAGCGAGTCCTTCACTATGAGGCGCAGCCCTTGCATGGCGTCCACCTGGGGAAAGGGAGTTTGGAGGGGTATGGGGGGGTTCGGTTTGGTGGGGTTTGAAAGATGAGATAATTAGTGGGAGATGACGGGTGGGGCAGCGAGTCCTTCACTATGAGGCGCAGCGCAGCCCTTGCATGGCGTCCACCTGGGGGAGAGAGGGGTACAGAGGGGTTTGAGGAGTGGAAAAGAGGTTAGGAGGGGTGGAAATGTCAACGGTGGGGGATGAGGGGTGGGGCAGCGAGTCCTTGACTATGAGGCGCAGCCCTTGCATGGCGTCCACCTGGGGGAGAGAGGGGTACAGAGGGCTTTCAGGAGTGGAAAATAGATGTGAGTGGAAGTACAAGGGGTGGGGGATGAGGGGTGGGGCAGCGAGTCCTTGACTATGAGGCGCAGCCCTTGCATGGCGTCCACCTGGGGGAGAGAGGGGTACAGAGGGCTTTCAGGAGCGGAAAATAGATGTGAGTGGAAGTACAAGGGGTGGGGGATGAGGGGTGGGGCAGCGAGTCCTTGACTATGAGGCGCAGCCCTTGCATGGCGTCCACCTGGGGGAGAGAGGGGTACAGAGGGCTTTCAGGAGTGGAAAATAGATGTGAGTGGAAGTACAAGGGGTGGGGGATGAGGGGTGGGGCAGCGAGTCCTTGACTATGAGGCGCAGCCCTTGCATGGCGTCCACCTGGGGGAGAGAGGGGTACAGAGGGCTTTCAGGAGTGGAAAATAGATGTGAGTGGATGTGGATGTACAAGGGGTGGGGGATGAGGGTTGGGGCAGCGAGTCCTTGACGATGAGGCGCAGCCCTTGCATGCGTCCTGTGCTGTGCAGCGGTGTGCGGTTCCGTGAATTTCTGTGCGGTTGTGTGCTCTCCCAGGGCTGGCTCTGCAGCTTCACTACTTCCAGGTTATCAGCAAACGAGTTGCGGGGATGCATGGTGGCGCCCGCTCTTTTCTTCCTGTGCGGCTGTGAGCGGTTCTGTACTGTCCTGTGCGGTTCTGTGCGGTTCTGACCGGTTCTGTGTGGCCCTCTGTATTCACCCACCTCAGCATCGGTCCACGGCTGGCTCTGCAGCTTCACCACTTCGAGGTAGGCAGCGAAGGAGTTGCGGGGATGCATCGTGGCACTCCTCCTGCAGCTCTGTGCGGTCCTGTGTGGTTCTGTGTGGTTGTGTGCCCTATTGTTCACTCACCTCAGCATCGGTCCAGGGCTGGCTCTGCAGCTTCACCACTTCGAGGTAAGCAGCAAACGAGTTGCGGGGATGCATGGTGGCGCCCTCCCTCACTGTGTGGCTGTCCTTGTGCCCCGCCCAGGTGATGTTCCTCTCGATGCCTGCCAAGACAGACAGAAGGTGACAGGGGAAGAGGGCGGAGAAGGAATCATGGGGATGAATGGTGGCGCCCTCCCTCACTGTATGCGAGTCCTTGTGCCCTGCCCATGTGATGTTCCTCTCAATGCCTGTGAATACAACGAATACGGGGAGACGGGGAAATGGGGAGAGGAAGAGAGAGAAGGTGAAGGATCCATAAACCTGAACCGTAAACGTCACACCTTAAACTAGAAGGCCCTAATTTTTCAACCCAAACCCTCTGAGGTAATGGACCCTAAACCTCAAACCCCCAAACCCTAAACCCTAGATCGAAACCACATGAGGAAGGAAGGCCCCTCGGCCCGACACTATTGCAAGGCAAAGAAATTATTTATAGGAAATGAATGAAGCCCAAACCCCAAACCCTAAACCCGAAACCCTGAACCCTCACCAGATCGGAACCACGTGAGGAAGGCCCCTCGGCTCGACACCCTGGCAGCCGCTAGCCCATACACAGCCGGGGCGAGCCCGGAGGCAAAGACAAGTCGTGAAGAAGCACTAGATTATAAACCTTGAACCCTAAACCCTGAACCCTCACCAGATCGAAACCACATGAGGAAATCCCCTCGGCTGGACACCATGGCAACAACCAACCCACACACAGCCGGGGCGAGGCGGGGGGCAAAGGGGAGGCCCGCTTGCTCAAGAGAGTTGGTGACAAAGACGGTGTGTTGGAGCAGCAAGGTGAACCTAGACCCTGAACCCTGAACCCTCACCTGATCGGAACCACATGAGGAAGTCCCCTCGACTGGAAACCATCGCAGCAGCCAGCCCGCACACAGCCGGGGCGAGGCGGGAGGCAAAGGGCAGCCCGGCTTGTTCCAGGGAATTAGTCACAAAGACGGTGTGTTGCAGCAGGTGGGTGTCTTTGAGGCGCAGCCAGCGCCACTTTCACAACGTAACAATCAACGTGACTCACCTGACCGAAACCACATGAGAAAATCCCCTCGGCTCGAAACCATCGCAGCAGCGAGCCCGCACACAGCCGGGGCGAGGCGGGAGGCGAAGGGGAGACCCGCTTGCTCGAGGGAGTTTGTAACGAAGACGGTGTGTTGCAGCAGGTGGGTGTCTTTGAGGCGCAGCCAGCGCGCGATCTCCTTCATGTCTTCCTCTGCTGGGCACGCCCCCACCCACCACGCCCTGCCCGCATGCAGCAGCACCGCCCCGTCCGATGGCACCTGGGGGGGGGGGAGGGAGGGAGGGAGGGAGGGAGGGAGGGAGGGAGGGAGGGAGGGAGGGAGGGAGGGAGGGAGGGAGGGAGGGAGGGAGGGAGGGAGTGAGGGAGGGAGGGAGGGAGGGAGGGAGGGAGCAAGAGGGGGAGGGAGTGGGTGACGAAGACGGTGTGTTGCAGCAGGTGGGTGTCTTTGAGGCGCAGCCAGCGCGCGATCTCCTTCATGTCTTCCTCTGCTGGGCACGCCCCCACCCACCACGCCCTGCCCGCATGCAGCAGCACCGCCCCGTCCGATGGCACCTGGGGGGGGGAGAGGAAGGGCGTTGACTCGTGTTGATTTCTGTTGACTTGTGGTTACCACGCCCTGCCCGCATGCAGCAGCACCGCCCCGTCCGATGGCACCTGGGGGGGGGAGAGGAAGGGCGTTGACTCGTGTTGATTTCTGTTGACTTGTGGTTACCACGCCCTGCCCGCATGCAGCAGCACCGCCCCGTCCGATGGCACCTGGGGGGGGGAGAGGAAGGGCGTTGACTCGTGTTGATTTCTGTTGACTTGTGGTTACCACGCCCTGCCCGCATGCAGCAGCACCGCCCCGTCTGATGGCACCTGGGGGAGGGAGGGAGGGAGGGAGGTAGCGAGGGAGGGGGGTGTTGACTAGTGTTGACTTGTGTTGACTTGTGGATACCACTACTGCCGTCAGCAGCACCACCCCGTCCGATGACACGTGTAGTCTCAACTCCCACCAAGCCTTTGATATTTGGGGCTCTGTCGCACCAGCCCCAGCGGCACATCTCTCGCCAGCATGCCGCACAGAATGGTGCATCTGCATCGTCCGCCGCTCAACTGATTCTTACTCCCAACCCCTCCCTTCCCCCCATTCCTTACCAGGTCCTTGATGTTTGGGCTCTGTCGCACCAGCCCCAGTGGCACATCCCTGGACAGCATGCCGCAGAGAATCGCCTGCATCTGCATCGTTCGCCGCTCAACTGATTCTTAGTCCCAACCCCTCCCTTCCCCCCATTCCTTACCAGGTCCTTGATGTTTGGGCTCTGTCGCACCAGCCCCAGTGGCACATCTCTGGACAGCATGCCGCAGAGAATCGCCTGCATCTGCATCGTTCGCCGCTCAACTGATTCTTAGTCCCAACCCCTCCCTTCCCCCCATTCCTTACCAGGTCCTTGATGTTTGGGCTCTGTCGCACCAGCCCCAGTGGCACATCCCTGGACAGCATGCCGCAGAGAATCGCCTGCATCTGCATCGTTCGCCGCTCCGCTGCATGCTCTGCTGCCTCGAGCTCCATTGCCAGCTGTAGAGCGAAGGCCTGGTGGGGAGAGAGATGGGAAGAGATGAGGCGGGATAAGGTGTTAGTGTTAGCCCTCAATCTCACACTTTGTATTTTGTACTTTCTATATCCTAGCGTAGTGTAGTTTGAACTTTGTGTTTGGTTGGGTGTACACCTACATCCCAACCAAACCCAAATGTGATCTCCAAGCAATCTCCAACCCACCAATTGGAGATTGCCTTGGGATTACCCCCAATCCCTAGAGATTGCCCCCGATTCCCTTCCCCATCCATTCCTTGCCCATCCTGGATGTACTTAAAGCAAGGGTGCACTTTGGGAGGGGTGGATGCAAAGGTTTATCACTTGCCTCCCCTTCCGTCGTCTGTTCCCCCAACCCAACTCGCGGACGAATTCGATTGTGTTCGCCAGCACACTCTCCAAGCCTCGCTCCAGTGTTTCATATGGTTGGACACTTCGCCAACCATTCATAGCACCCTACGGGGTGTACCAAACCAATACACCCGAAAACCACCCCTAGGAATGTGCACCCTTGCTTTAAAGAGCTTCAAGCTCATTACTAATGCATGGATTCTAAGCTCTAGTTCCAACATAAGGGACAGCCACAAGTTAGATGCTCTGCTCTGTTGCCTCGAGCTCCATGGCTAGCTGCAGGGCGAACGCTTGGAGATGAGGAGATGGAATTGGGGGGGGGGAATGAGGAGGGATGAGGGACAGCCAGGAGCCAGGGTGGGTTGCTCCGCCTCGAGCTCAAATCAGAAGGCGACCCACCCACTTATCCACCCACCCACCATACATACACCAATTCACCCACCTGTAAGAGAAAGTCGCAGGCGAATCGCTGCGGGTAGGGCAGGAAGCGGGGCGACATGTGGTGGCATACCACCAGCCCCCACAGCTTGCTTCTTCACAGGCAGCTCAATGGCAACCGAACCCCCCGCCGGAACAGGCAAGCAGCACCGCCAGCAGCACAAGGAGAAAGAAGCTAAGCAAGAGGCTGCAGGACACGCAAGGGCCCCCACTCACCCACCTGCAAGAGAAAGTCGCAGGTGAAATGCTGCGGGTAGGGCAGGAAGCGCGGCGACATGTGGTGGCATACCACCACACCAGCCCCCACAGCTCGCTGCTCCCTGATCAACCAGCCAAATTGAAGACATTAAAGCCCACCTGAACCAGCACGGACCCACCCACCCTCCCTCCCATTCCCACGCACCTGTAAGAGGAAATCGCAGGCGAAGCGCTGCGGGTACGGTAGGAAGCGCGGCGACATGTGGTGGCATACCACCAGCCCCCACAGCTTGCGCACACTCGTGCTCTGAGGGCCTCGTGTGGTTACCACCACCGCCATCACAGCTTGCTGCTCCCTCATCCACCAGCCAAATTAAAGCCATAAAAGCCCACCTGAACCAGCACAGACAGACCCACCCACCCACTCCCCCACCCACTCACCCACCCACCCACCTGCAGCAGGAAATCACATGCGAATCGCTGCGGGTACGGTAGGAAGCGGGGCGACATGTGGTGGCATACCACCAGCCCCCACAGCTTGCGCACACTGGTGCTCTGAGGGCCCCGTGTGGTTACCACCACCGCCATCACTAGAGAGGCTCCGATGCCGATGTTTGCGCAGTACTCCTTGTGACAGCTGGCCACGCCTGATTGGGTGAGGGAGGGGGGAGAGGAGGAGGGGGTGTTGACTGGTGTTGACTTGCGTTGACTTGCATTGACTGGTGGTTACCACGACCGCCATCACCAGAGACGCCCCGATGCCGATTTTTGCGCAGTACTCCTTGCTTGTGACAGCTGGCCACGCCTGGTGGGGGGAGACGGAGGAGAGGGGGGTGTTGTTGACTTGCGTTGACTCACGTTGAGTTGACTGGTGCTCTGAGGGCCCCGTGTGGTTATGGCCATCACCACTAGCGATGCCCCGATGCCGATGTTGGCGCAGTACTCCTTGTGACAGCTGGCCACGCCTGATTGGGTGAGGGAGGGGGGGGAGAGAAAGAGGGGGGGTTGACTTGCGTTGACTTGCATTGACTTGTGGTTACCACCACCGCCATGACCAGCGACGCTCCGATGCCGATGTTGGCGCAGTACTCCTTGTGACAGCTGGACACGCCTGGTGGGGGGGAAAACATGGGTGTTGACTCGCGTTGACTCGCGTTGACTTGCATTAACTTCTGGTGACCGGTACTATGAGGACCCTCGTTGATGCCGACGTTGATGCAGCAGTCCTTGTGACAGCTGGCCACGCCTGGTGGGGGGAGGGGAGGGGGGCGTTGACTCGCGTTGACTTGCATTGCACGGTCTTGCATTGACTCATCATTCAGGTCGCATTCCGGGTTTGTTACGGAAAAAAAACAACTTCGTAACAAGCAACCGCGTTGCGACGCTTCACTCACGACTGTGGGCGAGCGAGCGAGCGGAGCCGCGATCCATTATTCGCCAATCAACGTGATAAAAGAGATGTTGTGAGACGTCTCAAAACATCTCTTTTATCACGTGGCTTCACTCACGTGTCTCAAAACATCTCTTTTATCACGTGGCTTCACTCACGACTGTGGGCGAGCGAGCGACCGGAGCCGCGATCCATTATTCGCCAATCAATCAATCAATGTGCGTTACTATCCATCCATGACCTCGCACGCACGGCGACGACCAAACTTGTCCGGACCGGAGGTCACTTGTTACCAGGTCCGGAATGCGACACGAGTGTTGACTCGCGTTGACTCACGCTCACCTTTCAGCGTGGATTTGGAGAGGTTAATGTTTTTTTCCGAGAGAGGGGTTCTGCACGATGTGCACGTCGGATCAGGCACTAGACATCCTCTAGACATCTGAATAATTGCATTGACTTGTGTTGACTTGCGTTGACTCACTCACCCTTGAGGGTTGACTTGGAGAGGTTGATGTTCTTGCTGAGCGAGGGGTGCTGGATGATATGCACATCTGGCGCCGTGACATCTGCGATCAATCTCAGCCGCACATCTACAAACATCGTGCGGTTGACCTGCGATGGATGGAAATCCGATCAGAAAGAGACGGATAAAAGGGAGGAAGGAGGGGCAGCGGGATGGGTGGGAGGGGGGGAGAAGCGGGGTCCAGGGGTGTGGTGTGGCCGAAGTACAAACAATTTGGGAATGGGAGAACCTGGATGGGTGAAGCGCGAGAATGTGAATGTGTGTGCATGTATGTGCATGTTACACTGCCTCACCTGGTCTCCATATGCCAGTCGTTAACACTTCACCACAGTTCATCACAATTCACGGCTCATCACCGCACTTCACCTGAAAGTGGTCCCAGCATGCATCACTGCACTACACCGAACCGAGCAGCATGTCACTCAACCGCATTACACCGCACTGCGCCACACTTCACCTGGGGGCAGTCAGTGGCGGGGTAGTGCAGCCCCAGCAGGGACGCCTGAGCCTCAGACTTAGCCTCTGCTACCACCTGGGAGCAAGACACTCAACCGCACCTCACCGCACTGCACCCGACTTCACCTGGGGGCAGTCAGTGGCGGCGTAGTGCAGCCCCAGCAGCGACGCCTGAGCATCTGACTTGGCCTCTGCTACCACCTGGGGAGAAAGAGGGAGAACAGGGGGGGAAGGGGGGTGGGTGTTGGGGAAAGGGTGGAGGGGAGAGGGCTAAGGGGAAGCACAGGAGAAGGAAGAGGCTACACGCCTGAGCGTCTGACTTGGCCTCTGCTTCCACCTGGGGAGCAAGAGAGGTGGGAGGAGAGGGGGAAGTGGGGGGTGTGGGGGGATTGGGGACAGGGGTGGGAGGGGGCACAGGAGAAGGAAGAGGCTAGACGCCTGAGCGTCTGACTTGGCCTCTGCTACCACCTGGGGAGCAACGAGGAGGGTGAAAGCGGAAGAGAAGAGGAGGGGGAAGAGGGGTGGGAAGGAACAGAAATCAAAACGCCAGGCCTCTGATTTGACCTCTGCAACTGCAACCACCTGGGAGCAATGGAGGAGGGAAGGGGCAAGGGGAAGGAAAGGAAGGGTAGAAAAGCGAAAGGAGAAGGGGGGAAGAGAAGGGTAAGAGAGGGACAAGAGAGACAGGGGAAGGGGACGAAGAAGGCAAAAGGGGAATGAAACACCCGAAACATAACTTGGCCCCTGCCACCCACCACCCTAAACCCTGCCCCACCCAGTCATATCCTGCTAGCTCGCTCGCCCCATCCATTCCCAGCTAGCCCCTGACTCCTCCTCCCTTCCCTCCTCACATACACTCTCACACAGACTACCCTACCCACGCACCTCCCTATGCAAGTCTTCATGGAATCGATACAGCACCACTCGTTCGTACCCTCATTCCCACTTCTCATCCACGCACATTTGCATACTCACTCACACAAGCTCCCCCACCCACGCACCTCCCCATGCAAGTCGTCAAGGAATCAATACAGCACCACTCGAGAGCACCCTCATTCCCACTTCTCATCCACGCACATTTGCATACTCACACACACAAACTCCACCCACGCACCTCCCCGTGCAAGTCCTCGTGGAATCGGTATAACAGCACTCGGTCGTATCCTGCCAGCTCCCGCAGTTCCTGCGATAGGGGAGGAGGAGGGGGAGAGGGGGAGGGGGGGGGGGGGGGGTGGTGAGTAAGGGGAGAGCGTATGAGAATGGTCACAACAACCACACACACACAAGTCCTTAGTGGAATGGAATGGATACAGCAGCACCCGGTCGGTCATACCCTGCCGACTTTTGAGGCGCCTCAAAAATGGTCACAACAACCACACACACACAAGTCCTTTGTGGAAAGAAATGGATACAGCAGCACCCGGTCGGTCATACCCTGCCAGCTCTCGCAGCTCCTGAGATAGGGGGAGAAGGGGGGAGGCGGGGGATGGGGAGAGGGAGGGGGAGGTGTAGGGGGAGGGGGGGAATGGTGGGGTGCTCGAGGAACACAGATTGCACCCTGCCAGCTCCCTAACTCAGTTCCCTCTCCCCCACTCCTCGTGGAATCAGTACAGCAGCACTCTTTCCCTGCGAGCTCACGCAGCTCCTGAGATAGGGGGAGGGGAAGGGGGGAGAGGGGGAGAGGGGGAGGGAAGAGGGAGCGGAAGCTTATGAGAATCTGCGCAACCGCACACACAGGTTCTCATGAAATCGGTACATACCCTGCCAGCTCTCGCAGCTCCTGAGCTCAGGGCAGGCAAGAAGGGGGAAGAAGTGGGTCAGAAAAAAGGGAGAGATGGGGAGTACAGGAGGGTTTGAGTATGCGATACAGCAGCACTCGGTCATACCCTGCCAGCTCTCGCAGCTGCTGAGATAGGGGGACGGGAAGAGCGAGGGGAAGAGTTAGGGGGGGGAGGGAGGGGAAGCTTATGAGAATCCTCACAGACACGCACCCAAGTCCTCATCAAATCGATACAGCAGCACCCGGTCATACCCTGCCAGCTCCCGCAGCTCCTGAGACAAGGGAAGGGCGGGAAGAGGGGGAGAGAGGGGAGGGGAGGTGGGGAGGGGCAGCTTATGAGAATCGTCACAACCACACACTCACGCACAGGTTCCTGTGAAAGCGATACAGCAGCACTAGGTCATACCCTGCCAGCTCCCGCAGCTCCTGAGATAGGGAGGAGGGGAGGGGGGGAGGTAGGGGGTAAGGAGTGGCCAGGAGGGACAAGAAGAGGGTGTGGGAGAGAAGGGGGCGGGGGGATTTGAGAGTGCTTACAGCAGCACTCGATCATACCCTGCCAGCTCTCGCAACCCCTAAGATAGGGGGAGCGGGAGGGGGAGGAAGAGAGGGGTGAAAGGGAAGGGGGGAGAGGGGAAGAGGGGGAGGGCGGGAGGTAGAGCTTGTGAGAATTCTCACAACCACACACACAGGTTCTCAAGTGATCCCACATCCACTCACCTGCACGAGCGCGTCGCACAGCCTCGGCATGTCGTTGTCAATGTCTTGCACCTTTGTGATGCTCGCACTCGTCCTCTCATGCTTGTCCAGAGATGGAGTCACAAGGGGAGGGAAGGACCCAAGGGATCCAAGTAACCTGCACGAGCGCGTCGCACAGCCTCGGCATGTCGTTGTCAATGTCTTGCAGCTTTGCGATGCTCGCAGATTGGAGGGAGTGGAATGAAGGAGAGAACACGAGAGCGGCCTCTTGTGCACTCTTGGGGAGGAGCACTCTCAAGTGATCGGATCATCGGACTAACCTGCACGAGCGTGTCACAGAGCTTGGGCATGTCATCGTCCCCTTCCTCCTTGCACATACCTGCACGAGGGTATCGCACAGCTTGGGCATGTCATCGTCCCCTTCCTCCTTGCACATACCTGCACGAGGGTATCGCACAGCTTGGGCATGTCATCATCGATGTCTTGCAGCTTGGCAATGCTCGCACTCGTCCTCTCGTGCTTGTCCAGAGCAGACCAATCCAACATCGACATATCCACCTCCTCCTCCTCCTCCTCTTCCTCGTCCTCCTCTTCCTCCCCTTTCTTCTCCTCCTCCCCTTTCTCCTCTTCTTCCCCTTTCTTCTCCTCCCCCTCTCGTTTCTCCTCCGTCTCCCCTTCGTTCTGACGACTCTCATCTCCTCCACCTTTCACAAACCCATTCAAACACCTCCACGACGCCGCTCCTTCCTTCGCCTCCCCACCACTTCCAGATGCATCCGCGATGCAGCTACGTGCCTTTCCTCGTGCCTCGCTCGCACGCGCCGCCGCCTTTCCTCCCTTCTTCTTCCACCTCTGCGCCCACGTCTCTCCTCCCACGCACGGCTCTACGTCAACCACCAGGCCCTCGTCAGTGCGATGCACTATGGCGTACAGGGGGCGGGCTGTTGTTAGGGGGGAGGGGTGGGAGGGGGGAAACATAAAGGGGAAACGACACTCCAGTGCCAGCCACAAGACCGCTCGCTCACTCCTCACCTCTCCTCACCTCTCCTCCCACGCACGGCTCTATGTCAACCACCAGGCCCTCGTCGCTGCGATGCACTATGGCGTACAGGGGGCGGGCTGTGAAGGGGTGTGGGGTAGGATCAGGGAGATGAAAGGGAGAAATCACTCTAGCTGGCTGCCTGGTACAAGACCCCTCTCCTCCCCTCTCCTCCCCTCCCCTCCCCTCCCCTCCCCTCCCCTCCCCTCTCCTCCCCTCTCCTCCCCTCCCCTCCCACGCACGGCTCTATGTCAACCACCAGGCCCTCGTCGCTGCGATGCACTATGGCGTACAGGGGGCGGGCTGGGCTGGAAGGGGAGGATTAAAAGTTTGAGGGGGGTGATGGCAGAGGTGATGGGGGAAAAAGACACTCTAGAGCCTGCCACAATACCGCCCACATCTCCCCTCCCCCTCACCTCGCCTCTTCCTCACTCACTCACCTCCCGGCCTCCCACCACCCTCCCTCCTTCACCCCCTTCCACCTCACCTAGTGTAACTGTCTTGATCAGGATGGGGTTCGACAGCTGCGGATCAGAGCTCTCACACGCCGCCACCCTTCCCTCCCGTCCTCACGCATGCACTCGCTCACCTCCCTCCCGCCTTTCTCCCTCTCATCACCCTTCCCTCTCACCTCGTTTCACTGTCTTGATCAGGATGGGGTTCGACAGCTGCGGGTCTGAGCTCTCACACGCCGCCACCAGGCACGCGAAGGTCTGAAAGAAGAGGGGGTGGGGAGGGGTGGAGAAGGGTGGAGATGGTCGTTTAAGCGTGCGCACATTGTGATCAGGTTAGGGTTCGACAGCTGCGGATCTGAACTCTCACACGCCGCCACCAGGCACGCGAACGTCTGTTGGGGTGGGGAGGGGTGGAGAGGGGTTGGAAGGGGTGGGGTAGGGGGAATGGAAAAGGGGAGAAAAAGGTTCGACACCTGCGGGCCTGAGCTCTCACACGCTGCCACCAGGCACGCAAACGTCTGTTGAGAAGGTTAAGAAAGGGGTGGGGAGGGGTGGGTAGGGGTGGGTAGGGGTGGGTAGGGGTGGGGATGGGGTTCGACAGCTGAGGGTCCGAGCTCTCACACACTGCCACCAGGCACGCAAACGTCTGTTGAGAAGGGAGAGACAGCGGTGAGGAGGGGCGGGGAGGGGTGGGGGTGGGGATGGGTGGGGTGGGGTGGGGATGGTATACACATATGTCGATCAGGCCGCTTCAGCATGGAAGTTACGTCGCAAAAAGAGACTATGACGTCGCACAGTCTCACCTGCTCGGTCATAAGGCAGCTACATGCTTGGCCCAGCAGACTCCTCACAGCCCCGCCCTTCCCCCCACCTCTCCCTTCTCCTCACAGCACAACTTCGTTCCCGCACACAGTCTCACCTGCTCGGTCATAAGGCAGCTACATGATTGGCCCAGCAGACTCCTCACGGCCCCTCCTTTCCCCCCACCTCCTTCCGCCTCTTCCCTCCCTCCCTCCCCATTCCCCTCCTCCGTCTCCTCTTCCTTCTCCTCTCCCGCCTTCTTCTCCCCGTTCCCCCGATCTGGTTGGTCGAAAAAGTGAAAGATATTATCTGCTACAGCCAGGATCCTGTAGCTCCTCTCTTCCAGGAACAGCAGAGAGCCGTGCGATTGGACGAATCCTGGCCGTTGAGCGTGCTGCGTGTACGACTGCACATCTCCACCGTTGGATAGATCCGCCTCCGCCTCCGCCTCCGCCTTCCCCCCTGCAGGCGCAGCTGAAGGCGCGACGGCGGCTGCTGATGCGGCTGCGGGGGAGGATTCTGCCCCCGCAATCGCCTGCAGCTGCGGGGAGTTCGGCGCGGGAAATGGGAGCGGATAGGGGGAAGGGGGAAAATGGTTTGTGGGGGGAAATGGGGGAAAGGGTGGGGGGGGGGGGGGGCAAGAGGGGTGGAAGGTTGATAGCGTTGGTTTGGGCAGCGGGAAAGCAGGGAGGGAAGGTGGAGGAAGAGCGAGAGGAGGGGACGGAGGGTTGTTAGTGTTGGTTTGGGCGGCGGGGAAGGCGGGAGGGAAGGCGAAAGGATCACGGAGGGGGATGCCTCGCGACGCACGCCAGTGTATATTGCGCGCTCCCCGCACATCGCGCGTTAACGTGCGTTGCGGAAGCCGGCGGGGAAGCCGGGAGGGAAGGCGGAAGGATCACGGAGGGGGATGCCTCGCAACGCGCAGTGGAGTACGTTGCGCGCTCGCCGTATATTGCGCGCGTCGCCGTGCCGCGCGCCTCAGTAAGCTTCCGCCCCCATTCCGTCAGCCGTCCCCATTCCGTCAACCGTTCCCATTCCGTCAGCCGTTCCCATTCCGTCAGCCGTTCCCATTCCGTCAGCGGCTCCCATTCGGTCAGCCGTTCCCATTCCGTCAACCGTCAGCCGTTCCCATTCCGCAGGGCCCTCTAGCGTCCTTAATCACTGTATCATTCGCTCTAAGCTCACATTTTAATCGTTTTTCCCAATAATGCTTTCAGTTTTCCTCTGATGCTTACATTTTCCCTGTACTCGTTAACCGCCTTTCGCCCTTTCCTGCAACAACGCACCTTGCGCTGCGCGGCGCGGTTCTGCTGCACGGCGGTCGTCAAGTAGTCTCATATCGTCGGCCGTCCCCTCTTTCCCAGGGGTCAATGCGTCTCTTTCGCCCGTACTATGCTTACATTTCCCTCTACTACTCGTTACCACCTATACCCCTTACTGCTCGCAATGCACTTTTCGCTGCGCGACGCGGTTCTGCTGCACGACGGTCGTCAGATAGTCCCACTCCGACGGCCGGGGGCCCGGCTTCTCTCGCTCCTGCTCGTTTCGCGGTCTCACTACCCCACAGCAAGTGCCTTTTGTTGGATGCACTTTTATATAAGCCTTCAACCGCTACCAACGCACCCACCTTTCGCTGCGCGACGCGGTTCTGCTGCACGACGGTCGTCAAATAGTCCCACTCCGACGGCCGGGGGCCCGGCTTCTCTCGCTCCTTCTCCTTCTCCTTCTCCCTCCGCTTCTCCCGCTCCTTCTCCTCGAACCGCTGCTGCAGTTCCGCATCCGCGCTCACCACTACCTTAGTCACGATCTTCCTCCCGCGGTTGAACATCGTGCAACCTCGTTTTAAGGCCGCGACGCGGCGTTTTAGAAATCGACGCGATCCCTTAACCGACGCGTTTCAAAGGCCGATGCGTTATTAGCCAATGCACACTGATTCGAAGCGCCTTTCAGCTAATAACATAAACGTAGTCTACTAGCACCCTGGTTAACCGTGGCAGTCAGGCGGAGCTGGAAATGCTTTTTCTCGTGTCCGTGCGCAGCAGGCGGGGAGTGTCTGGTGCTTTACAAGCCGGAAGAAGAAGAGAAAAAAGTATCTGGTCTTTTGGAAACGTCGCTTCCAGACGAAATGGAGCAAGGTGGAAGATTCGAGCTACGCTTGTGCTAATGATTCAGATAAGGTAAGAGGGTCTTTCGCGACTTTTACTAAATCATGCGGCCGAACGTGTGATCGACAGCCATAAGAGATATGGTATTCAGCCACACGTATTTGATTCGGCGGATCAGCGATTAGGAGCGTCACAGAATAAGGAATGCTCCTTCCCGTTCGCACAGTCTACCCACCAACCACGGCGGTTGAAGCAATGTGAAGCCGCACGTTCTCGCAGTCTGGATTTCATGTCTGCGAAATCAGCTGTCATCCAGCTACAGAATATGTCTCTTGCGTATGCCTGCGTACAGTGCCCTGAAAGCAATGATTTCGAAAATGCGAGAGAGAAATTCAAGACGGAAAGAAGTGCTGCGGTAGCTCTCAACGAAAAGGAGCACCAGAAGCAGAACCAACGGCTAGAACGGGAATGGAAGGGAAGACGCGAGCCACGCGACGAGTCGTTAGAGGTCGAGGCGACTCACACGCGTGCTTCTCGTGGATGTTTGTTTAGGGTTCACTATGGTCCACAAATACTGTACTGTACAGTATCACATCACACAACTGAAACCGGCCATTATCTCCGATACTCAGATTTCGCCTGAGCGCGTTTTCAGGTGTAATCACCAACAGAAACACAGTTTCTCGATATAGTGTGAAGTTATTCTGGCTCATTTTTATATACAGTCACTCAAAAAAAGGAATTCTAGCACTTGCAAAAAAAATATAATGCCCGTAGCGAACCTATATGATTTACAGGAAGGATCAACCCTAAATACCGAAAGCCACCCAATATTTTCGAAAACATATTGCAACCCACTTGACAAAAAAAATAATACCCACCTCGGAAAGGGATGCGGCTCGGGAGGCATCAACCCTAAAAACAATGCCCACTCCCGTGTTTAGGGTTGACCCCTCCCGAAAATGCATCCAGGTTCTTTAGGGGTTTTATTTTTTTCTGCCATGCCCGAATAGGTATCGGTAGTGTCGTCTAGTGCTTTCGATAGCGTTGTTTAGCGGTCGGTTGCGCTACTGAGCACTACCAAGTGAATTATATGGGTTTCATTCTCTTACTACCTTAATTTCCGTACATATATCCAAGTCGGGAGGGTAAACTGGATGGTTTTGTTTTTGTCACTTCCTAATAAGTTTGACCAGCGTGAGAAATGTGACTAAAAAGCGACGACCAGTCAACGTTGAGAAAGTCCAGGTTGATTACACCTGAGAACGCGCTCAGGAAAAAACTGAGTATCGGAGATAATGGCCGCAACTGAAACGGACGGAGCAGCCATACGGAAAAGATGGGGCATCTGGGAGGATCAGGATTCAGGAGGAAAGAGGAGACGGGTTTCCTTCAGAGTCTAGTGTCCACTTTGTACCTGTTCTCAAGTTGGAAAGTCTAGTGTCTCTCCAATTTGACCTGCGAGGGAGTCTTGAAAAACAGGGCAGGAATACAACCATAAGAGCACTTCGTTCTGTTTTCCATCACTGCAAGTCAAACTTGCTTCCGTGCTCGTTAAGTTCCAGGGTGAATGACCCACAAAACTAACAGCAGATCGACAGACACGACGAGAAGCTTGAAACGAGATCAATGTAAGGGTGCAAACTCCGTATGATGACAAGTAGTATCCTATCAAATGGAATCAGCGGAACAGCGCGATTACGCGGCATTCGGATGGAATGATTGCTCTCGCATTTCGCATCAAAAATTGAGATATGGTTTGTGAGGTGATGGGCCAGCCAGTACCTCATCCGGCCACCTCATCACCCTCAATTTCCCGCCACCTGGATTCCACAAATCACTTGAGCTGAAAGTCCTACGAAGTGGGTAAGCCGGGAATTTCACGACACGTGGATCCCAGCGATCATTGCTTTCGCGAAACTGTAGCCATTGGGCGACCAAGTAAAAAGGAGGTTGCCACTAAAATTGCTTCACGATATCACCTAGAACCAGAATATTAGGGGCTAAAGTGGTTGATGGAGATACCACTATCTCAGCCTCTCTGGCATATAATTGATGCTCTCTATATATATCATACACCCTAGCGAAACCTACAGAATCTACGTTGCTAGTTCCCATACTACATAACTACACCTTGTACACCACCTGTAATGTAGACCGTTACATAACAAGCCTCCCTAAATCTACAGCAATGGCCTAAAATGTTTATGAACGTCCCCTGCTCGGTAGTGTTTCTCCCTACTAAGCTCCAGCTTTAAGACGAAACATCCGGGCGGCAAGGGCACCGCTACTCGATCAGGATGAATGATTCTAGCTAGCAGCTCAACTCCATCGACCAATCGGGGGCTTGCGTTGAGGAAGAGACACGACTCGATAATGTAAACCTGCCCGGATTCAGTTGCGGGCAGGGACCAAAAGCCGGGCAGGCGAGCAAGTGCCTCAACCTGTGAAACAAACAGGACATAGGGGTTGAAGGCAGATAAGGCGAATGAAGCAGCTTACACAAGTGAGGGAACTTTTTCACCAGAACACAAACATGTGGAATTCTTGGTCACCACCCAAACCTTATACTCGTTCACCCCTCACCCCTCACCTCATCGCCCCACACCTCCACCCCTCACCCCACACCACCACCCATCACCCCTCACGACTTCCACCCTCACCTGAGCGAGAGCTGTCTTCACCTCCGCAGCACACGGCGTCAGAAACAGCACCTGCGGCCCAAACGCAGTAATGCTCTCCCCAAAACCGCCCTGTGGTATTAGCATTCAACCACCCGCATCCCTCTACCCTTCACCACTCACCCCTTCCTCCTTCCAACCTCACCTGAGCAAGAGCAGTCTTCACATCAGCAGCACACGGCGTCAGAAACAGCACCTGCGGCCCAAACGCCGTAATGCTCTCCCACAAAACTTTCCGCACCGGGCTGCCCGGCTCCTGCAATCCTCCGTCATCTGCCCCGGCCAAAACTTTCATCTCGGGCAGCCAATGCCCGGCCATAACGAGAGGAGAGATGGATTCTAGGGAGGTGACGCGGGGGCGGGGGGCGGTGGCGAGGGCAGCAGCGAGGGAGCGCAGGCGCAGGTGGAGGTGGGAGGAGAGGGCCTGGGCTGGCTGCTGCAGACCTAGAGCCGCCCCCACCGTCACTATTGATTCAAGCACCTGGGAGAGCTGGTGGGGTGGGGAGATGCGGACAGGGGAATGGGGAACAGAGGCATTCAATGCCCGGACATATTTACGGGAGAGATGGAGACTCTACAACTGCATCTCTAGGGAGGTGGGTCGGGGCCAGGGGTCGGTGGCGAGGGCAGCAGCAAGGGAGCGCAGGCGCAGGTGGAGGTGGGAGGAGAGGGCCTGGGCTGGCTGGTGGAGACCCAGGGCTGACCCCACCGTGACCACTGACTCTAGCACCTGGGAGAGCTGGTGGGGGCAGGGAGGGTGAGAGGCAGGTAGAGGAACAGTGTGAGAGAGATAGATATCAAGATGAGGGCCTGAGCTGGCTGCTGCAGACCCAGGGCCGCCCCCAACAGTGACCATCGACTCTAGCACCTGGGAGAGCTGGCGGGGTGGGGAGAGGGGAGGAGGACAGATGAATTCTCAACCGTGTATCCCAAGCATCCTTACAATAGGGAACTGACAATTGCAGGACGGAGAGTAACGATTCATGTGCTGCCTTCTCCCAAGTCCAATTTTTTAGTCGACCCAGAATTCAGTCACCACCAACTCAAGCACCCGAGTTGATAACTCACAGTGGCAGGACGGAGACTAACGATCGACGTGCCGCCTTCCTCCGAGCCTGATTCTCCGAGGCTCCTCCGAACCTCTGCAGCCAAGGCACGGCTGTCACAATGCCTTCCCTTTTCTGCCACTCCACCAGAAACACCGGCAGCACTAGCAGAATCACTAGCAGAATCAGCAGCTGCAGCAGCAGTAGCAGCAGCGGCAGCGGTGGGCAGTGTGTTTCCATCCTGCCAGTGCAGGTCGCAACGCAGGCAAGCCGTGGAGCCCCCCAAGAGCACCACATCTGGCTGCACCGCTCTCAACCACTCCGAATCCAGCACACAAGGGAGGGCGTGGACCTAAGCATGGGAAGGGGAGGGGAAGGGGTGGAGCGAGGGAAGAAGGGAGGGAGGGGGCAGAGAGGTGAATTGTGAGTCGACTCAAACGTGGAAGGGAGGAAGGGATGGGGGAGGGAGGAGGGGGGAAGGAGGTAGGGAGGGAGAGCGGGAGGGAGGGAGGGAGAGAGAAACAGAGAAACCCAGAAGTTGAAAGCATCACACAGGGGGCATGCAAAGGGATACGAACTCACCTTAGGAGACGCCTTGGTGACAGCAGGGCAGTGAAGCACCTGATTGCAACATACAGTTGGGTTGGGGGAAAGCAACAGTAGGAGGTGGGGTGGGAGACAAGGAGACAGACAAAGTAAGCAGAACGCTGTGTTATGTTTCGAGGAGATGACAAACATTAGTACGTGCGTCATGACATCATCAAACAGGTGTCAATACAAGCATGGTACAACCAGGTAAGAGTATGGCATGGCGACACATGGAGAGTATGGCACACATGGAGAGCATGGCATGGCGACACATAGAGAGTATGGCAGCATGGCATGGCAACATCATCGAACAAGGCCAATGTCAGCATACCACGTGGCATGGGTGTGGCAGGGAGCTGGATGGGCGGCACTGGTCCGACACACCAATCAGCTGATCCGATGCTCCTGAAAAGCAGGAAGTGATTCGGAGAATGTGATGTGGGTGAAGCGACCAGATGAAGGGGTTGTGGTGGTTGAGGAGGAGGGTAGCTTGGCAGGGCAAGGGTCGCGAGGTGCATATGGTATTAAAAGACAGTGAACACAACACCACGTCACACCACATTACACCACACCATACCGCACCACACCACACTGCACCACTTACTGAGTGCAATGATGATATCTGTTGCTGAAGGTGACAGTGACACCACACGAGGCTTCCTGCTCTTCCCTCCCACCTGCCGTCCCTCTGTTGCCATTCCACCTGACATTCCACCTGAAATTCCGCCTGGCATTCCACCTGCCATTCCAGCTGCTGCAGTCACCCCGAAACTCCCTACTGTCACACCAGCACCCGTCTGCTGCTGCTGCTGCTGCTGCTGCTGCTGCTGCTGCTGCTGCTGCTGCTGCTGCTGCTGCTGCTGCTGCTGCTGCTGCTGCTGCTGCTGCTGCTGCTGCTGCTGCTGCTGCTGCTGCTGCTGCTGCTGCTGCTGCTGCTGCTGCTGCTGCTGCTGCTGCTGCTGCCACTGCCCCTGATCCTGCTCCTTCTGCCCCTGCCCCTGCCCGTGCCCCTGCCCCTGCATCTGACCTTCTCCCAGCCTCTGCCCCTGCTGCTCTCCCTGCTCCATCCCCCCTTGCGCGCCCACACCCCCTATCCTCCCCACGCTCTCCCCTGCCCCAAATCCTTCTCCCCATCGCCCCCCATCAGTCTCTTGGTCTAGGTCTAATCGTCTCCTCGTGCCAAACGAAAAGTCTTTAGAAGGGGAGAAGTGAGTGTGGGGTTCTGAGAAAACGTGAAGGTGAGCGTGGGGGTAGGAGCTGTGAGGGTCAGAGTGAGTGTGGAAGTGGGAAAGGCTGTGAGATTCTGAGAAGGAATGCAGGCCAGAGTGGGTGTGGGGGGCAGGGGGGGTGAGGGAATGAGAGTGTGTGGGGGGATTGGGAAGAGTGTGAGGGTCTGAGAGAGTGAGGGAGTCTGAATTGAGAAGAGGGGCGTTTAGATCTGATGGAGGGGTATGGAATTTCTGACTTGGAGATTCAAAGTTCGGGCAGGAATCAAAGAAAGCGTCACTCTCAGGCTCTGCTTCTGGTCCCAAACGGGCAGCCTGAAAAGCTTGAGCAGCCCGACCTGCAGCTTCGGCGGCAGCTTCAGCAGCAGCCTTGGAAGCAGGTTCGGGAGGAGTGGTGAACTGGGGTAGGTCAGAACGAGTAGGAAGAGGGGTGGGTTGAGACCCTGTAACAGCTACTGAGAGGGGAGGGCCAGGAAAGGGGGTGCTGAGAGGAGGGATGGGTTGAGAGTAAAGAGGATAATGCTGTTGCTGATACGGCTGCTGCTGCTGCTGCTGCTGCTGCTGATTATGATGATGTGGCTGCTGCTGATGTGGGGGATGGTGGGAAGGGGGGTGTTGGGGAGGATAGTGAGAGGAGTGAGGATGCTGAGGAGCAGGAGGATGCATCGAGGAGTGAGGATGGGACGGGGTATGAGCATTCATGGAAGAATGCCCAGCATGTGTGGTACGGGTGGTGTGAGTGGCATGAGCAGCATTTGCAGCCTGAGTGGCAAGCCCAGACACATGCCCATAACTCCCATGTGCTGACAATACCACCCCTCCACCCCCTCCCGCCCCTCCCATTCCGCCCCTGCTACCACCAGCAGCAGCGGCAGCAGCAGCACCAGCAGAAGCACCAGCACCAGCAGCAGCAGCAGCGGCAGCAGCAGCAGCGGCAGCAGCAGCATCAGGAGTGCTTGTAAACCGCAGGCCTTTAAGGAGTGGCGCACTGGCGATCTTCGTTGGAGTCCCATCAGCAGATCTCATCCCCCCTCTCCCCACTACCGCTTCCCCCATTCCCCCTGCTGCCCCTGCTCCTGCTCCTACCACTGCCTCGGCCGCTGCCCCTGCCCTGACTCCTTCCCCTGCTCCTGCTGCCCCTCCTGCTATCCTCACCGCTCGTGATTGACTGGAAACCTCATCCTCGATATAAAGCCTCTGTGACGTTTTAAAAGGCACCTCATTCTCAGTATAGAGCCTCCCACTCGCGCTCCTGCTCACTGTTATGCTCCCACCACCAGCAGCAGCAGCACCATCAGCACCACCAGCACTGGAAGCAGCAGCAGCAGCAGCAGCAGCAGCAGCAGCAACAGCACCACCACCAGCATCACCAGGACGTCCAGATGCTGAAGCCCCAGTGAAGCTCCTCTGAACCTGGGCGTCGTGGAGATGAGAGTGGTGCAGATGGGTGTCGCGGAGCAGAGTGCGGTACAGCTGGGTGGGCAGGGAACGGAATCCGTCACCATGGCCACTGCTTCTGCTGCTGCTCCCACTCCTAGTGCCCTTCCCATCTGCAGCACTCGAAGCTTCGTTTACATCTGAGTGATTCCGCACATGCTGCTGCTCCTGCTGCTGCGTCTGCAGATGCTTCTGCTGCAGCCGCTGCTGCATTTGATCCTCATTGGTATACCTCCCAGTGTGCCCATCCTCTCCTAGCTGCTGCTGCTGCTGCCCATTCTGCCCCTTATGCTCGTTAACCACCATTTCCTCCTCTCTCTGCCTCTCCCTCTGTCTCTCCATCTCTCTCTCCCTCACTTCCTCAACCAAGCGAGGGTCCAGACGCATTGTCCTAGGCGCTTCTCTCTCCTCCTGTCCAGTCCCCACCTCATCCTCCTCCTCCTCTTCCTCCTCGTCTTCCTCCCAACTCACCTCCCTTCTCTCCTCCGCCCCTACCTCATGAAACCCCTCAACTGTATCTCTTGCTTCAAAATACCTCGAACCACGCCCCACCGCGTCCTGCCACTCCCCATTCTCCATCTGCCCTCTCTCCTCTCCCTTCTCTCCCTCCCCACTCTTCTCTCCCACCCACGACACACGCCCCGAACCGCTCCAACTTCCACTCCCAATTTTGGAACCATTTCCATTCTTGGCAACACATCCACTTGTGGCAGCAGTTCCACTTGTGGCAACGTTTCCACTTTTAGCATGCGCCTCTGCCTGAGCAGCAGCCCCAGCAGCAGCAGCAGCCAGTTTCCTCATCGATCCAGCCGATAAATTCTTGAGAGATCCACCACCTGACCCCCTTCCTCCTCCTCCTCCCCCTCCCCCTCCTCCTCCTCCCCCTCCTCCTTCTCCCAAAACCCCTACCCCTGCACTCACAAAATCCGCCATTTTCCCACTAGAAGGCCCCTTCACCCCTCCTCCACCACCACCCCCTCCGCCCGTCTCATACATCTGCTCCACGCTCCTCCCACTGTTGCTCCCCACGAAATCCGACAGCCGGCCACTAGACGTCAACCCCTCATCAAACTCAGAAGAGCTCCGCAAGTCGCTCGCATTCATCTCATCATAATCCGAAGCCGAACCGGAATCCGCATAGCTGCGCTCGTCTGTTGCAGAGACACCTGCTGAAGAGAGATTAGCAGCGGTGGACAGGTGTGCAGATGGATCTGAGGTCGAGCTACTACCACCTCCGCTTCCTGATCTCCCCCCCACTGAACCACTCCCACCACCTCTGTTACCAGACCCTCCTCCCCCTCCTCCTCCACCTCTCCCTCCTCCCGCTCCTTCCCCTCCTCCCTCCCCTCCTGCTCCCCCTGCCCCTCCTCCCACGACTTTCCCTCTAGCCCCACCATCTCTCCTTCCTGTCCCCCCATACCCACCCGCTCCCCCATCTCCCCCTCCTCCTCCTCCTCTCGCTCCTCCTCCTCTCACTCCGCCTCCCCCTCCTCCTCCGCCTCCCCCCGCTCCTCCCCCTCCTCTTCCCCCTCGACCAGGCCCCCCTTGCCCTCCGCCCAGGCTCAACTCCTCTAACCCGCCACCCCCACCCCCAGGCATCCATAGCTCCGATATAGACCTTCGCATGGGAGAGGGAATAAACCCAGGCCCTCCTACCCCTTGACTCCCATTTCCTTCCCTCAAATGACTAGTGGATTGGTAAGGCAGGGGTGGGGAAAGCTCGTATCTAGCCCAGTCTACTCCTCCCCGCCCCCCTCCTTCTCCTCCCACTCCTCTCCCCCCACTTCCGCCGCCCGTTCCCGGCCCATATCCATATCCTGCGTGATTTGATTGCCCGCCGTATGCTCTCGCCACTGCGCTGCCAATGGCGCTGCCGCCCGGAAACATGGCATACGGGACAACTCTGCCGCCCACGCGGTCTCCAATAACGTACGATTCCGAACGTGAGGATCGGTCCTCTGCCTCACGGGAGCCCATCCGCCGAGCCTGGAGGTCAGCCTCGGTGGGATCGTCGTGCTCAGGTGAAACACCTGATGGGCCACCTGAGAAAACACCTGAAGAGCCAGGAACAGTACCTGAATGAGCTCTGGGGATAATATCTTCGTGCCACTGCCACCTGGGATCATACACTCTCCCTCCAATACCCCCATATCCTCCCCCTGCCTCTCCCCCTCCACCTCCCCCTCTTCCTCGCCCGTATGACTCCATATAATGAGGAGGCGACACCCCCCCACCATACATCCCACCTGACCCAACAATTCCCCCCCTCCCGCCCCCTACTCCACCCCCTCCTCCCCTCCCATACGTCTCCAGATAATGAGGAGGCGACACCCCGCCGCCAGAATCAAACCCCCTCGCATCCCACCTCCCTCCGCTCTCACTTCTCCTCCTAAACGAGCTCCCAGACTGAACTGACGACGCAGAAGACGGGGCGCACCCAGCGGCCAGATGCTGCTGCTGCTGCTGCTGCTGCTGCTGCTGCTGCTGTTGCTGCTGATGCAACCCCAGCTGGCTCGGGTGGACCGGAGAGGAGTACAAATTATACGAGACCGATCGCTGCGACAGCCTGTCGTCCTCATTCAACGCATCTGCCACCGCCGCAGCCGCCGCTGCCCCCGCTGCAGCCGCAGCTGCCGCCCCAGCTCCGGCCACGGCCGAAGCAGAAGCTGCGGCGACGGCTGCGGATTTGGTGGGGTCGGTTCGGCAGGCGTCGATGAAGGCGTGGGCGAGGGAGGGGTTGGAGGCGAAGTGCAGATGCACGTAGGAGGCTAGCACTGCCCCCGCCATGTAGCCCTCTGGACGAGCAGAAGAACCGGGGGTTTGTTGCTCAATAAGGTACCTGAAGAATGGAGGGGAGGCGAAGAGAGGGGATGGGAGGGAGGGGTTGGAGGCGAAGTGCAGATGCACGTACGAGGCCAGCACTGCCCCTGCCATGTAGCCCTCTGGACGAGCAGAAGAACCGGGGGTTTGTTGCTCTATCAGGTACCTGGGAGGGGGAGGGAGGGGCAGGGCATGGGAGGTCGTCTTGAAACGAGCACAACCTCTTGGGATCACTTTTGAGGATTCTCAAAAGCACAACCTCTTGCCTGTCATCCAGCACCACCTCTTGCCATGCTGCACCGAACCATCTCACCTCATACCACGCAGCACCCCTTAACAACCCTTCTCACCCGAACTCCAGCTGGTCGCCGTGAAACGAGCCGTCATCCAGCAGCACCTTACTGAAGCTAAAGAACTGCCCTCTCATCCTGCCATATTGCACCAGACCAGCTCACCTCATACCATCTCATACCATACAACAACCCTAAGCACCCCTTCTCACCCGAACTCCAGCTGGTCGCCGTGGAACGAGCCTCATCCAGCAGCACTTCACTAAAGTGGAAGAACTGCCCCCTGAGCAAAACCAGCTCACCTCGCTGTACCAAACCAGACCCCTTCCCACTCACCCGAATTCCAGCTGGTCGCCATGGAACGACCCGTCATCCAGCACCACCTCTTGCCATGCTGCACTGCACCGCACCACACCATCCCATACCGTACCAGCTCACCTCAGACCATACAACACCCCTGAGAACCCCTTCTCACCCGAATTCCAGCTGGTCGCCATGGAACGACCCGTCATCCAGCACCACCTCACTGAAGTGGAAGAACTGCCCTCTCATCTCGCCCAGCTCGGCCGGGAACAGCACACAGTTGGGCTGGGGACGCACCTGGGAGCAGAGAGGAGAGAGAAGACACAGGGGGGAATTGGAAGGGGCACGAGAGATTCAGGGGTTGTGAGGGGAGGGGAAAGGAGGGAGTCTCATCCAACACGACCTCGCTGGAGTGGAAGAACTGCCCCCTCATCTCGCCCAGCTCGGCCGGGAACAGCACACAGTTGGGCTGGGGACGCACCTGGGAGAAAACACACTGGGAGGGGAGGGGTGAGAATGGGGGAATGGGGGAACGGCAGACGCGAATCACCTTGCAGTGGGCAATGGGCAGTGGGCAGCGGGCGGTGGGCTGCAAGTCTGATGCCTCGCAAGGTCATTATACAGGACAGGTCAGTCCATGCATTATTCGAGCTTGAGGGTAGAGACCATGCGTGTGCGGAAGGGCAGCAGTCCACACATCTCGTTTTGAGAAGCTTCCAAACTGAATAGGGAACTCACAATGCAGTAAGCGAGCTTGAGTGTAGAGACCATTCGTGTGCGGAAGGGCAGCAGACCACACATCTCGTGCACCTCGCCCTCCTTCGTCTGTAAGAGAGCGAGAAGGGGGAGTGGGTGGGGGAGAGAATGGGGCCGGAACAGCAAGGAAGAGAGAGGGCTCATGAAAAAGGGGGCGCCTAAGCAACAGGTACATAAACCCTTTTTGTTTGAGGTTGATTTTGAGAATTCTCAAAATCAACCTCAAACAGAATGGGGCCGGAACAGCAAGGAAGAGAGAGGGCTCATGAAAAAGGGGGCGCCTAAGCAACAGGTACATCAACCCTCTGCACTTGCCAAGGACGTTTTTACAAGCGCTTCAAAGAAATCTCACGTCCCTCGTTCTCACCTCGATGCTCCTAGAGAGGTACATGAGCCCGCCACACTCGCCGTACACCACCCCGCCAGCAGCAGCGCACAGCTCAAAGAAGCAGCTTGACGCCATCACCCAAACCCCAAACCCACCACCCAAACTCCCTCCCCTAATCTCACCTCGATGCTCCTAGACAGGTACATGAGCCCGCCACACTCGCCGTACACCACCCCGCCAGCAGCAGCAAACGCCCTCAGTGCATACACCAGCTTGGTGTTGGCAGCCAGAGCAGCAGCGTGCAGCTCGGGTACCTCTTTTCCTCCCCTTCCCCTCTCCCCCCCTCCCCTCCTCTCGTCTCCCCCAGTGCATCAGCCCCCCTGCACTGACCATAGGTACCACTCAACGAGCCGCCCACTGCCAAACTAGAATCCAATTACCCAACCTCTCTCCCTGATCTCACCTCGATGCTCCTCGACAGGTACATGAGCCCGCCACACTCGCCGTACACCACCCCGCCAGCAGCAGCAAACGCCCTCAGCGCATACACCAGCCTGGTGTTGGCAGCCAGAGCAGCCGCGTGCAGCTCGGGGTATCCTCCCCCAAAGTAAACCGCGTCGAGGCGGTGCGGCAGAGGGTCAGTCAACGGGGAGAAAAAGACAATCTCTGCTCCCGCCTCTGGTGGGTGGGACGAAACAGTATTGGAAACAGGGGGGCAGGAGATGGCACAATGGTGATTGGAAAATACAAGCCAAGCCAGAGCAGCCAGAGCAGTAGTGTGCAGCTCAGGGTGCCGGCTCCAAAGTAAATCGAGTCGAGGCGGTGACAGGTTATTGCGGTAGTAAAAACACAGTTAGTCAGGGCGTGCGTGGGGCATACCTCAACACAGGGCCATACTTACCTCTTAGAAGCGACAAATTGTCGTGGTAGTAGAAACAAAAGGCTTCGTCTCTCGCCACCCCAATGCGAGCAAGCTTCATGCCGGGCGGCATAGACAGCGGAGGCAGCTCATTGGCCGATGACGCACCACACTCTCCCCCTCCCGCTCCTCCCATCCCACTCACCACACTCCCTCCTCCGCCCACCACACTCCCCTCAACATCCTCCCCTCCGCACACACTTCCCTCCCCTGCCCCGAGCCCCAAAGTAGGCACCCCTGCCACGTCAGCTGCCAGCTGTAACAGCCTGTCCAGATCCACATGGGCTTCAATCAGCGTCGCCAGCCGCTCGGCGTGCTGAGCTGGCACCCCGTCCGCGTCCACCCCCGGCCGGTGCAGTCCTAGGTGGCGCTCCGGCATCTCCACGTCAGCAGATTTAGGAATGCCACCTAGGACAGGAACTCTAACGTGTGCAGATTCTAACGCCTCAGTCAGCCACGTGGCATGTGCTGCGCTGGCAACCTTATTCAGAATAATCCCCGCGAACCGCAACGACGGGTCGAAGGACGCGTAACCGTGCACCATGGCCGCCGCGCTTCTAGACATAGACCAGCAGTCTAAAACGAGGACAACCGGGGCTCCTATGATCTTGGCCATCTCTGCTGTGCTGCCGACCTCTGTCTTGCCATCTCGGCCGTCGAATAGCCCCATCACGCCCTCCACTACTGCCACGTCAGTTGAGGCTGCGAATCGGGTGAAACATGCCACGTTGGCCTCCCTGATGGTGGCGAGAGGTGGAGAGGGGAGGAAGGAAGAAGGGGGAGAGGAGAGGGTACGTGGGGAACGTGCGGGAAGAGACAAGGGCGACAACGGAGGCTGCGAATCGGGTAAAACATGCCACGTTGGCCTCCCTGGTGAGGAGAGGAGGAGTAGAAGAAGGGAGGAGCGGGAAAGGGTAAGAGCGGAACGTGCAGGAAGAGACAGGGACGAGAAGGGAGGTGCGGAGCAGGAAAGAGAAGTGAAACATGCCACGTTGGACTTCCTGGAGGAGAGAAGTGGATATGGGGGATGGAGGGCGACGGGGGAAAGGGGGAACACCATCCACTTTCTGAGAAGAACCAAGGGGACGTTGCCAGACCGACCCATTCATTCATCCATCCATCCACCCGTCCGTCCACCCACCCATACACCCACGCACCCATCCAACCACCAGCCATCCATCCGTCACCCACACATCCGTCCACCCAACAATACCAACCATCCACTTTGTTCGCCTGTCCACGTCCACCCAACCATCACCCACCCACCCACCCTTCAACCATGCACTCAACCACCCCCATCCACTCATCCACTTTGTGTATGGCATGCCATACCTGTTGAGCATCCACCCATCCAGGTTGTACGAGTCTCGCCCTGTAGCCGCCTGATGGTGCATGGGGTCCAGAAAATCTGCCATACGCATTCCCCATACCATGGCATATCCAAGATGCCCCGTGCAGCATGTCACATGGAGAATGCCTCATACAACATGGCACATACAACATCCCACATACAGCATGTCACATAAAACATCCCACAACCGATGTGCCATACGCACCATGCCAGATTGAACATGCTACATCATCGCACATACGACATGCCACGTACAGCATCCCACATACGACATGCCACACCAGACATGCCACATGAGCATGCGACATACAGATACAACACAAGGATCAGCACTAGATATCTTCTGCATACAATTCCGCGCCACAGCTATGCTCAAAGACCGGCACTAAAACGCCGCAAATCAGCACCTACGATCCAGAAAAAAGAGCCTGGTGGCTAAACAACGTATCGAATCGTATCGTATCGCACCGGGTCCGACTTTGAACGGCTGCACGCGGAGACCTCGCCGGCGGAAGGCGGCCATGAGCCCCACGGCGACGCTCGTCTTGCCCACGCCACTGTGCGTGCCGGCCACCACAATGGCCTTCATGATTACACAGTCGTTTGATGAGGCGCTCGTTGCACTATTTACGCTTCAGGTTGAAAGATATAAGCTTCTACATACGTCGTCTGTGGGTGCCGGCCACCACTATGGCTTTCATGATGGAACAATCTTGCATGATAAGGCTATCGGACGGGTGTTAACGGTCCTGGTTGACGAACCGCAAAGCTAATTAAATCCTGAAACAAGCGACATTCCTGATAGCAGCATCTTCGGGTGCTGGTCATCAGAATAAACTTTGTGACAAATGATCAGCTTGGCTCGCGGGATATGCTCAGAGAACAACTTTTAGCTGTGTTGTTCAACGTGAAATAACAAACGTCACGCCGGCTGCTCCGCCAGGCGTACGTCCGGTAAAGCAATACGGCCAGCACTGTGTTCCTATTGCTCTGCTGCTGTGTAGAGAAAAAAAAGACTATGATCCTTGGCTGTTGTCTCGGACGAAACAACTACCATTATTTCGCGTTGCAGTGGAGCTACGAAGTAAAATTGGATGTTGAAATGACGGAACGACTCTAATCGGGTGCCTCAGCGTCGATAAGAGAGCTAGTAAGTAACGAGCACGTCAAAGTGGCGGTATGTGCAGTGGGGTTGAAACTCGCTAGGAAGTCGTAACGTTTCTGATCAGCCGTAACTCCTAACCCGCTCAAGCATGAACAACCTAATTTGACTTCACTGAATAACTACAGTCTTCCAATATGGCTGGAAACAAACGTGCTGCTGAAGTCACCAGGAGGGATGTACAACAGGCCTACCACTGTCAGGCTTGTGTTCTGTGACAGGTAAGTGAAAAAGCCAGGTGTTGGGCCAAGTTGACTTGGGATCTCTGCAGGACAACTCCTAGGTCTCGGTTCGGGTTGGAGGTCTGACCGAGCCATGCCAGGGCTGGCTCGCTCGAAAAAACCAAGACCAGCAAAACGGGCTGCTCGTACCTGAACCCTTGGCTCGGAGAAAACTGACGCCACGCTCGCAGCTAGGTCACGTCTAGTTTGGTCATCTTAGCTTAGGAACCCAACCTTGGAAAATGCTTCGGCACAACTTCTATTGGTAGTAACCAGCATCTTTTGAAAGAACATCCGTGGCTCGCGAAGTGGAGGTGCGAATAGGAGGTTCTCTGAGAACTTCGCGCGGGATGCTGGGAGAAGTTGTGGCGCCAACACCCAGGAACGTGTGAAGGCCAGTAGGGTACTCTCGCGGCACGCGCGTAATTACAGGTAAGGGCCGACATGCCTCGATAGTGGGTAGGCCTACGGCTTTGAGAAGTGGTAAAGCAGCAATGACTATGCTCATACACGGTATTTAGAATGGGCACGCAATTTGAAGAGCTAAGAGAATGTCTACACACATATATGCATGATTTATGTGCTCATTTAGTATATTTCTCGTATGTCGTGAAGATTGATATATGTTTTTTCACACGCATGAAAACTGGCTTGGAAAAGTATATATGCTCTGGTGTTATTTATGGCATTCTATAGCAAGTGTACACATCTAAGATGAGTGCTGACATGGCACCAGCAGGTCAGGCGTCCTTTACAGCCTCGTCACTTCCCGCACGTTTCGCCACAGCACAAGGAGCTGGCAAGATATACCGTATGAATGCACTTGACTTGAGAATCGCCACCCATCCACATCAGCGAATTACAGGCGCCAATCTAGGGCTGCTGTGGCTCGCAAGAAAAAAACTGACTGAGCCAATCACTACCCTCCAACGCGCGACGCCATTCGGCAAGAGGGTGTTTGAGCCCTCCCCTTTGCAGCACACGTGACGTGACGGCACGCTCAACCGCAGATCTGGCTGCTATAATTGGCGCGCTATCGTGGAAGAAATCAACACAAGCCTCCTCATCAGTCCTCACCTCACTTTCCTTCCCCACCACTCCGCAACATATTCTGCTTCCGCCTCAAAGGCAGAACGTCAGGGCGCCTACTTTGCTGTGGTCCGCGATGGGGTTGAGAACGTTTAGGTGTTTTTTAAATCGGTGCTAGGGTTTGTGAGCGACCGCGGTGGGACCGCGCGCAGATTCCAGTGTAGAGTAGCCACTTCCCCAAGAGTGACACTCTCGAGGGCCACGCTCGGGATTGCGCTTCCCCCTGGGTTTAGCGCGTTTGTTGAAATGCACTTCTCTCAGGCTCTCCTCAGCATGATGTGGATGCCGCTCGAATGCTGCTGCAGTTTTCTAGCTGCTTGTTCGTATCAAGGGCGTGAAAAGTAGGACGCTGCGCGTTGCGGAGTGGTGACCCAAAGGCGCGTGCATCCAATCCAACGCGACACTATCCCCGTCGAATGCGTATAAATTCGTCGACGCGCGCTGAAGAGACCCAGCTGTGAAGTACCATCACGAGTGCCTTCTGGGTGAACTCTCCGCGAGTCTGTATCGCCTTCATCCTCAGCCTTTTGTCCGTCTGACGTTTTACGCGGAAGTGTCTTCAACGTAATCCAACTAGCTTACAGTGACTCAATATGGCCGCCATCAATCCACCTCTCGCGCTGCATCCGTCTTATCCGTCCTCCGCTTCCGCCTATTCGGCCTTTTCCGCCTTCTCCGCCGCTCCTTCCCGTTCCACCGCCGCTTCCGCCTCGTCACACGGGCGAGGACTTTCGTCTAGCCTCGTCGCCCAACCGCTCCCCGGTTGCGCGTCGCCGCGCAGTCTGCGGAGCGCGGATTCGCAACAAGGCAGGCGCGGGGGGGTCGTTAACCGTTCGCTGCGCCCTTGCGCAACCCATGCCGGGGCTCGGCGCAGCGATACCCGCGGGAGTCGGCGCGGGAAACCAGATTCCCCTTCCTTCCAGCGAAAACTGGTGGGAGCGGCGCGTGCCTGTGAACATGCGACACGTGGCGAACACAGCGGAATTCGTGGAAGCGCTAGGCGCGGCGGGGGATAAGCTCGTGGTGGTTGACTTTTTCGGGACCTGGTGCCGCTCGTGCCGCGCCATGCACCCTAAGGTGAGATTTTCCCTGCGTGCCCTATACCTTCTACGTACACCTTCTGCGTCCCTACGTTGTGGAACAGCTCCCCCGCTTCTTGCCTTCATCCTGTCCCACCTTCCCTTCCTCACACTCCTCCCCTCCTCCCCCTCCTTCCCTTCACCCCCTACGTCCCCCTCCTCCCCCTCCCCTTCCCACTTCTCCTTCAGCTCTGCATGCTCGCAGCGAAGCACCCTGACGTCATCTTCTTCCTCCAAGTCGAGTTTGACCTCAAGCCGCTCCATCCATTCCATTTTTCCTTGCGCATCATTCCCTCACTTTCCCCTGCTCTTCCTCCGTCCACTCCCCTCACCCTCCACCTCCCACCCCCACTTCTCCCTTTCAGCTCTGCATGCTCGCAGCGAAGCACCCTGACGTCATCTTCCTGCAAGTCGAGTTTGGCCCCAACAAGCAACTGTCCCGTCCCCCTCTTTTCCGCAACCCACCCGCCCAGTTGTCCTACACTTTCTCCCCCATTTCTCACCTCTCAGCTCTGTATGTTGGCCTCGAAGCATCCTGGCGTCATCTTCCTGCAAGTCGAGTTCGACCCAAACAAGCAGCTCTGCTTTACCCCCCTCTTCTCCGCAACCCACCCGCCCACTTCTCCCCACAATTGTCCCTTCATTTCGTTCCCCCCCCCTTAATTCCCCCCCAATCCTCCAGCTCTGCATGTTGGCCTCGAAGCATCCGGACGTCGTCTTCCTGCAAGTCGAGTTCGACCCCAACAAGCAGCTCTGTCCGCCCTTACCCCCCCATTTCTACCCCCACTTCTCCCCCGCTTTTTCCCCCATCCCTCTTCCCATGCAGCTCTGCATGCTCGCGTCCAAGCATCCAGACGTCGTCTTCCTGCAAGTCGAGTTCGACCGCAACAAGCAGCCCTGTCTGCCCTTACCCCCCCATTTCTACCCCCATTTCTACCCCCATCTCTCTTCCCATGCAGCTCTGCATGCTCGCGTCCAAGCATCCAGACGCCGTCTTCCTGCAGGTCGAGTTCGACCCCAACAAGCAGCTCTGCCGCTCGCTCGGAATCAAGCGGCTGCCATTCTTCCACTTCTACCGGGGCGCTGATGGTCTGCTAGACGCCTTCCCGGCAACCCTCACCTCGGTACGTTACTGTCACCATCACTTCGCTACGTTACTGCCACCGTCGGTACATTAGGCTAGGCCAGGCTGTTCTTTTCAGTCAGTCGAGAGTCACTCAGTGCGACCCCAACAAGCAGCCCTGCCGGTCGCTCGGGATCAAGCGGCTGCCATTCTTTGAAATCTACCGCTCGGATTTGGACGCACAGCACGGATTCTTCAATGAACTCACAAGGAGAAAAAATTCAATAGACTCAAAAATGTCGCACCCCACCCTTTCCTCGTCCCCGGCTCTGTCCACTTGATACTTTTAAGGAAGCACTGGAAACACACAGCACGGACCAATGCTTCCTGGGACCTCAGTCCTTCCCCTTCCGTCTCTCCCACCCTACCCTTTCCTTTTCCCCGGTTCTATCCATTATCCACTACTCACTGTCTACTGTTCACTCCAGATTGCTAAAATCACGGAGGCACTGGAAACGCACAGCACGGACCGATGCTTCCTGGGACCTCAACCCTTCTCCTTCTCTCTCTCCCATGCCACCCTGTCCTCCTCCCACACTTCAGATTGCTAAGATTGAGGAGGCACTGGAGACACACAGCTCGAATCGATGCTTCCCTGGTGCCTTAATCCTTCGCTCGCAGTCTCTCCCACCCCACCCTTTCCTCCTCCCCAGTTCTAATCGTTATCCAGTACCTGCTATCTACCATTCACCTCAGATTGCTAAAATAAAGGAGGCACTGGAGACACACGGAACGGACAGATGCTCCCTGGGCCCTCCAGCCGGCCCGCACCAAGTGTTAAATCCTCCGGAGATCGACACAGAAGCACCCTGATACCGCTCTTAACCCCTTAATTGCCGGTCCTGCTGCTGGTTGCGCTGGGTGTGGTTGACGATGGTCCCTGGGGCATCCTGCAGCGGCCCACACACGTATCACTGCTTCAAGAGAAATTGAAGGTTTTCCTCGGCAACCAGGCTCCCAGGCTTTTCCCCTTTCTCTGCTGCTCCTGCTGCTGGTTCAGCTGGGTGCCGGCACCACCATACTGTACCCTGTTAGGGCGGCACAATGCTGTGCTTTTCTGTAAATATTTTGCACTGAGGATTCGGATCACCTCGGTGGTACAGGCTTGGTTTGCTCGTGTGCTGATTTGTATTTGATGTCTGGGTTTACTTGGTCGCCGCTCATCCATGGTGGGCACATACAGTACTCAACCTGCATCCATTCTTCTGCTATTATGGTGACACCTTGTTTTGTTGTTACCCATTGGCTGGTTTGCTCTATGCTTTTTGTTGTTTTGCTGTCGTTGACTTTCCTCGTCCATGGTTGACGAGCCACAACACAAATTATACCGTAGCTGATACCCGATTTCCAAACCACCCAGCAAAAGCTACCTACGTTCCGGTACTAATGCCAGTTGTGTGATTAACTGCAAGCTTCATTGAATCACAACAACCGCGACTCCAATTAATGCAATGCAATGCGAACATTCAATACACAAAATAGATTACCAACACAATGGTACATAAGTACGGTACCATCAACACCGTGGCATCAAGGCATAGCAGCGCTAAAGTGCACCACAACATTAACAACAATACCAATGATACCCCACCCACGGCTACACACACCAATACCGTACCAGGAGCCACGCCATGCCATGCCACCATCGCATAATGCATCAATGCATGCCATCCCTCGTCAAGAGCACCACAACATTGACAACAATACCAATAATACCCACAGCTACACCCACCAACACCAGTAACCATGCCACCACCGTATCAGACACTGATACAGTTCCTCCTTTCGCCCTTAAAGCCACCAGCCCGGGGAAAACAAACCCTATGATAACCGCCGCAGTACAGCCCATAAACTGGAACACTATCCAGATATCCGGCACCAGCACCGCTCCACAGAAGGCTAAAACGAGAAGGAACACTGTAAGGAGTACAAATCGAACTTGACGCCAAAAACGCCGCCTTTTTGTTGCCTTTTCCTCTGCTCGTCGAAGCTCTTCAAGCCTCGCCTCCTCGTCCTCTTCTTCCTCCTCCCCTTCCATGTCCTCCTCCTCCCCCTCTGTCTCTTCCCCTTCCCTGTCTTCTCCCACCTCCTCCTCACCTGCTTCCTCTGCCCCATCCTCATTCCCATCCACCTGAATATACTCAAGGGAATTTACCCTCGTCCTCTCCTTTGTCTGCCCGCTGCTAAAACCAGCTTCCCCATTTACAGCTTCAGATTTGCCATTGCTTGTGGTTCTTCCCTCGTCCCTCTCTCCTCTCCCTTTCCTTCCGAGACAAGCCGACAGCAGCGCCGCCACAACCAGCCGCAGCTGAAACAGCGCAAGAGGCAGCGAAAGCACTCTGGAAATCGCATACCCCACCTTCACCCCCTGCCCTAGAGCAACCGCATGAGCCGCAATCACGGGGCTCATTCCTGGAACGACATCCAAGCTCGTGTCGAAATCATAGAGCACGTCTGTGTGCACGTCGGAGCCGAAGAGCACGAGGCCGAAAATGCCGACTGCGAGGTAGACGAGGGTGGTGATGATGACCGAGCAGCGCACGACCGTGCGCATGCGGGGGAGGGAACGGCCCCTCAGCTCCCTGTAAATCGGGGTCACTGAGAAAAGGGAGCAACAGGCAGGAGCGGCAGAAACGGGAGGCAGAAATGGGTAAGCAAGAGGGGAGGCAGAGTTGATCAACGTCTGTGAATCTGTGAAGACGTCTGTGTGCACGTCGGAGCCGAAGAGCACGAGCCCAAAAGTCTGTGTGCACATCGGTGTGCATGGTGGGGGGGTAGAGGGGTTCAAAGTTGTAGAGCACGTCTGTGTGCACGTCGGGGCCGAAAAGCACGAGGCCGAAAATGCCGACTGCGAGGTAGACGAGGGTGGTGATGATGACCGAGCAGCGCACGACCGTGCGCATGCGGGGCAGAGAACGGTCCTGGAACTCTCTGTAAATTGGAGTGACTGGGGGATGGAATGGAAAGCAACGACAAGGATGGATGGCTATCAGAGGTGGACGAGGGTGGTGATGATGACCGAGCACCAGACGACCGTGCGCATGCGGGGGAGAGAACGATGCCATAGCTCCCTGTAAATAGGCGTGACTGGGGGAGGAGGGGAGAAGATGGATGAGTGCAAAGGAGCTGGAGAGTCATGGAGCATGGATGTGAGTAATACAGTATACTTGCTGAAAACAACTCGATCGAACCCATCTTGGTGTGGTCGAGACTAGAGTATGGTGCTCACCGAACTCACTTGTACTCGCTAAAAGAAAACTTGATACAGTCCATCATACTCACCGTTGAAATGGCATATGAAGGCGTTGGTGACGACGTTGATGACGCTGAAAACAGCCAGGGCATTGCCAGACGTGGCGAACAGTGGCGGCATGGTGGCTGCACCAGCTGCAATCTTCCCTCCAGACAGCAGCAGCACGAGCAGCACAAACGCTATGGCCAGAGCCACTGATATCTTGCTCGCGACCTTCATGGACCCTGATTGGTGGAAAGGAAGAGGAGCAAATGAGAGGTTGAGATGATGGTGGGGAGGACACAAATGATGAGGAGGGGAACGGGGGGCGGGAGAGGGCTAACGAGGGGTCGGGGTTTGACGAGACAGAGGGAGAGATATGGGAATAGAATTATGAAACAAAATGTTGAGACGTCCAAGAATCAAGAAGCAATATCAAGCATACTCAGAGTGCAGAACTTACCGAGTCTTTCTTGCAGGCAGAGAGGCAGAATAAGGAGGATGACTATAGCGAGGATAGACTTTCTAGCCACGTCTGGGGACAAGTGCAGCTGATCCAGTGGCAGAACGCCAGGTCCTGTGGCGCTCCCTACAAGCACATCCCCTGCAGTCACACATGGGGAATAAACATGGATTTAAGGAAGGAAAACGGCAAGTAGAATAAGGGGGTGTATTTCAGCAAGAAAGTCCAGGGTTTGGATGCATTTGGCAGCATTTGGATGCCTATAGAGCTGCGGCAGTAACGATGGGAACGTCCACATGAAGGACAAATGGCACTGTATGGAACAAACAAGAATCTCAAAAGCTTAATGAAAGCTGTAGTGTAGTCAATTGAAGTGAATGGATTTTGGGAGAAAAAAAAAAAAAAAAAAAAAAAAAAAACCACTATCAGATATTATTCTTGAGTGCGTATAAAACTGTTCATCTTGCAACAAGGAGTGAAACCCTCACTCACCGATGATATCAAGGAACACCATCATGAGGCCCAAGTTGTTGACAACAATCGACACCTGCAGCACCAGCCGTCCCGTGCTTCCCAGGGCTGTAGCCACGGTGTGGTTATAACTCAGCTTCTCCTCATCCCGCATACTGAAACTGCGGCTGCCAACACCGCTGAAATTCCCTCCATTGCTAGCGTTTGCTTTTCTTCCCAATTCCCTGAAATTGCCGTCTCTGCCAGTTCTGCCTCTTCCTGCTGCTCCCGCGGCGTCATTTGACGTGTCATATTCCCGAAACCGCGAAGGGTCCTCGGAAGAGGATGGAGAGCCAGCAGCGGCGACAGTACAACGAACCATGGCCATGACGGACCCATAGGTTAAAAACGCCACGAAGATAAGCGCTACACTCCCGGTCACGACTCCTAGGACGTTCATAGCTGCAGGTAAGGCCATCATTCCAGCGCCGATCATCGTGTTGGAGAGATTAAATATGGAACTCTTTAAGGACGTGGTCCCGTCCTCCCGAGCTCGAGTAACCACGCGCGCTTGCGACGGACGCGGAGGCTGGGACGGAAGGGACGGCTCGGACGGCGGCGAAGGCGGCGGGGATGGTGGCTCCCTCTCAGGTAACCCATGAGTAGACTCGAGCGACTCTCTCCCTTCTTCCTCATCAGGCAGAAACGGAACCTTTTCGTGAAGCGACGCGAGAGATCCGAAAGGGGAGGGAGATCGCTGGACATGGGGCCGGCGACCGGGAGGAATGGCTCGATTGCCGGGAAAGGGGACTTGAGGGGGTCCTGTACGCCGAGCATGCTGATTACTGACAGTCGAAGCAGCACCAGGACGAGACCCAGGTCTAGTTCCCCTTCCCGGGAGGACAATGTAGGGGTTGACTCCAGGAGCTCGGCCAGGAACAGGAACGGCTCCATCCTCAATATAATCGGACTCTAATTCTGATGTTGGGAGGCCGGTGAGAGAAGATCCGATGACGGTTTGCGGGGATGGTGACGGTGATGGCTGGCTAGGACGATAGGGGAGCCCGTAGAAGAAATCTAACGGGCTTCGGCCGCTTAGAAGGGGCTCGGTTATGGGTAAGGAACCGACTAGGTCTTCAAAGGAGCCACGGAACCGGCTGATTGCGGTGCGGTTGTTCGCCATTTCGAAGATTTGTTTTCCCCTTTTTAATGTTTAATAAAGAACCGAACGCCGAAGATGGCCGGAAGAGAGAAGACGACTCTCTTACAGTATTGCTAGGCAGCTCAATGGAGCCCCTGGAAAAATGGAGCTACAGCATTAGGAAGCCATAGCTCCACACTAGAGAAGCGAGAAGTAATGGGGAATATGCCATTTTTGTGTGGAAGGGGAAGAACATTTGAAGCAGCATGTCCCGTCCCGATGCAGTTGATCGGAGGGGAATTTGGGATTTTGTCTCGATGCATGGGAAAATGGATTTTTAGTGGAAGAACAGCTAAAACACATGTTTGATTGGCAAATCTGTTCACACTTATGACGAGCAGTGCTATCCAATAATATACACACGGGTGACGTCAACAGGGGAAACTCTTGGGGTGTCTCTGGAAAACTAAAATAAACAACCCAACCCAACCACACAACGCCGTCAATTCGCCGCACCTGATGACGTCCTGGTTCCCGATTGGTCCACGAACAGATTTCGCACAACCAACCTATCTACAAGTGAAGTACAAGATCCCCTCCTTCACACATCCATTCCATTCTATCTGCTTTGGTTCTACATGCTCTTCGTTTTCCCCAACGAAGCAGCTAGCCACCCTCGCTCCATCCTTGGCTAAGATGACGAAGACATATACTTTGGTTAGAGATCATGTAAAGTCACAACAAAGCACATCTCTTCTGTGTGGAGCGACGCTCGGCCTTTTTACAATCATTCTCCTGCTTGTTGGAGATGGAGCATTTGAATTCATTAATTCCCAGCCGATGGTCGCTGATACTTGCGCATGTGCAGATGCTACTAAGACACTTGGAATTCCAGTCGTTTACGAACGTAGTTCCAGACTGCTTGTGACAGTTCCCGGTGAGAGAAACGATGAAGCGTCAGGGAACGACCCACTTCCATTGTATCGACTCAGAGGGGTCAAGGCATTGCTGGACTTCATGCGGAGACATCTTGGATCAGATCTCAGCAACGTTACGATGCTGGAGAACGGCAGTGATGTGACCGGAAGCGTTGGAAATGAGCTGGGAAAAGTGGTTGGCAAGTACGTTGGCGTTAACTGCCCTTTTGAAGGGGATGACACTTCGGCACTGAAAGTCAAGCGAAATAACACGATGTTTCTGAGCACCGACTGCAAGACTCTGCCGTTCCTGAACGACACATTTGACGTAGTCTTCAGCGACAACGTTTTGGAGCACGTTGCTGACTTGAAGATGTTTATCAGTGAGACGTTCCGCGTCTTAAAGCCTGGAGGGCTAGTTCTGTTTTTATGGGACCCTGTATGGACGGGACCCTTTGGCCACCACATACACGAAGACATGGTGCAACGACGAGCTACAAGGATGAATGCTTCCTTCAGGTATGTTTCTCACTGCTTTCTTTTCATTGCGTCGTCTTGAGCCAAGTTAACAGCTGACAAAACCTACAGATATGTGAACAATGGATCCTTCATTCCTCCGTGGGGCCATCTTTTATTGTCCAAGCAACAACTGAGGACGATCCTAATTGAACAAAATGTGGGACCGGTTCCTCTAATAGACGGTATCCTGGAGTTCATTTACACCCAGAAGAACATCAACCGACTGCCCCTCAGCGAATTTTGGGAGAAACTTCATTCCTTCAGCTGGGTTCCGCTAGACGAGAGCAACCAATGTCAAGGCATCACAAGAACATGGACCAGCCTGGATGGCACTGAACAAGTGGTGCGACCGTTACTGACACAAGACATGCTGCAAGCACTGAAGGCCCAGTATCCAACAGAAAATCAATTTGACATTGGGCCATGCATATTTGCTGCGAGCAAATAGAGCCCGGCCCCGTAACTGGAAACTTGTTCACCGGAACACGGACTACTGAGGAATTGCATCAGGACACACTTGATCCCACGGGTATGGGAACTTGAGAATAGCCTGCCTATGTGGAAGATCCCATGAGTTGTAGGCATATCTGCAAAACCACAAAATGCATGACGTATCACAGAAGAACTTTGTACTCAACACAGACATAATTTGCTTCCTTAACTTACACGTGGATTGGAGGTTCAGATATGATGACTAGGAGCTGCAAAAAGTTGCACGACTCTGAGCCACATTCAGGAGCGCTGTTCAGGATCTGCTCCACACATAGTCAATAATAATCCTTGGAGTGATTCAAAGATGGACGATATAGAACGGGTAAACAAAACAGGGGGCAAATACCTGATGGACTTGATTCGGAGGCACTATGAAGGTAATGTTCGCACTGATGGGTCTAGAAACAGGTAGACCTGGTATGCTTTGCTCCTTTTCCCTTTCTGATGCCTGCATTGTGCCTTGAGCATCAAGATCAGGGAGATTTGGGGCAAACAGCAGCTTCCCTGTACCATTGAGGACTACGAACAGCTCCTCACATCCATGTCTGTGAATGGGAGTTCCACTTCCAGGAGCAAACGTCTGCATCCATACTTCTACCTGGTAACAAATCACTGAGATTTCCATGAATAGGCCAGTGATGCTTACAACCAAGGGAAAGAGAGCCTAGCTGATATAAACTTTACCTCTTGTGTACCATGGTGAACATGGCCCGCAATTGAAGCGTGAGACAACCCAGGGCGGCCAAAGTTTGACAACGGAATCGAATCAATGCTTCGCACGAATGGAAGACCTGGAAAGCAGACACAATGGCATGTTGTGTATCACCAATCAAAAGAGATGCTCAGGAATTTGTGGGGCAGAAAACCTACGGAGCTACACACGCACCTCACCTGCATGACTGCAGTTTGCCAGCTCAGGCTTTGCCGCACCCACGAGTACTAGCGCATATGTGGCACTGAAGATACCACAGTGAAGAGAAAGCATGGCGCCTCTACGAGGCATGCTGACGATGCCACCCAATATCCCCGAGCAGAGCATCTCATGGGCGGTTAGGAGCATTGTGGGAAGTATGAAGCAGCTACTAAACCTACAGTCACGGAAACGATTGTATTACTTCCGTGCACCCTACTGTTCCAATCTGACTAAACCCTGTCGTCCGAGGATAGCGTTCGGCCAGACGCCAAAGATGCTGCTTCAGCCGCTGCTTTCGCCTCCGCTCTCTGCTTCTCCACTGCCTGCTTCTCGAGATACAGCGATCCGAGCACACCCACGAACGCCACCGTCCCGACCAGCGCAACCGCCGCGTTCGGCTTCACGAAGAGCTCGGGGTTCAGCACGCGAAATAGCCGAGTGGATCGCAGGCCCGGGAGAGGATTCTTCGGACCCGCAGGGCCTGCGGCTTCACTGGAGAAGAACGCTGCGGAAGACGTCGTGCCACCCGCACTGATACCCGTGCGACCTGGTGACCTAACTGGATTGAAAAAGGTTTCCCGGACAAACCTTGAGAGAGGGAAGCGAATGGACATGGCAGTAGACAACCTGCAAGAACGAGCGGTAAGAAATGCCTGCCTAGTAATCTCTAAGAAGAAACAAAGAAGCGACGCAACATTGGCTTTGGCACAACAACTGCCAGGTACGGTATAAGCCTGAAAATGTTCCAAAATCGCCCCCTACTTTTTTGTTCCCTTCACCCCCCTGAACCGAAGTGCCTCACGGTCATGTTTGTTCGGTACGTTACGGTCAAAAGCGGTTGACTCCGAGAACCTCTTTTAACCGTTTGGTAAATGCCTGGATCGTACTGAAAACTCTGCAGGCCTGCTCCTCCACACGCCAGCCCACGCACAAGGTAAAAGCGGCATTTTTTTCTCAGCCGAGGCCTACCACTTATTTATTTGCTTTGGCACTAGGAAGCAGAACAATGACACAGGCAAACCCCCACTTTGCACAGTCGCTTCTTCTTCTCCCGTTATTCGCCTCCGTTCCTCCTGTCAATTCGTTGAACAAAACAATGGATGGTTCCACTCTGCTCCCCCATACACGTTCTTAGAGGCAAACTCCCTTGTCCGTTCATAATCCCTTATCATCCAGTTCACACCGTTTGCTATCCGGATCTTTTCCCGCCGTCATATCTCAACTTTACTACCTAGATTTACCATCTGCAAGCGTCGTGTTTCCGCTCGCTTCCCTTATTATTACTAGTATTGTTATATATTTGTTGACATTACTTTTATTTCGGCACAAAAACGGACGACGACTCCGTGCAGATGGCAGCGACCATGCAAAAAAACTTGACACAATGTGACGCTGCGGACGCTGTTAATGAGAACAATATCAAGGTTCCAGAACCTGGAGCTTCCGATTTATCCTCTAGTAATACGACGTCGGAATCTGGGCCCTCCAGCAGCTTGCTGCAGCGCTTTTCCACCAAGGTGCGGAGCAAAGTGACAGGCATGGGTGGTATGAAGAAGGAGCGCGGGAATGAGCGAAACAGCGGAGACGGCCGGCGGAAGAAGAAGGGGATTGCTGACGTGGCAGCTGTAGCAGAAGGAGGAGAAGGTGGAAGGGAAGTGTTCACAGAAAATGCAGCAGTGGAAGGATCAGAAGGAGCCGGAGGTGGAGGGGGAAGAGGAGCGGGAGGAGGGTCGGAATGTGGTGGACGAGAAGGAAAGGCCGAAGGGGACGTTGCTACGATGCAAAATAAATCCAATCCGGGTGCTGTTCCTGATTCGCTTTCAGGCGCTGACGTGGCACGTTCGGCCGTTCCCTCACCCCAGTTCGACCCCCGAGCCAGGGCTCGCTTCGTCCGCCTCTTCCGCTTCCACCACTGGCTCTCCAGCCAATCACAGCGCTCGGGCGAATCCCCTGTGCTGACAGAGCAATCCAGCCAACCGTCCAGAGACCCTCAATCACGACTGCAGCTGCAGCAGTCAGTTCTTGAGGCGCCTCACATATCGCCTTCGGATCCTAGTTCATGCCAGCAACCAGCAGCGGGACTTTCACTTTATGCACCTGTTGCTCCTGAAGGCATGTCAGAGCTTGTGATTGTAACGAAACAGCCTCACGCTTCAGCTCTCATGCCTTCGTTTGAGCAATTCTCCCATGGTGCCTATGCATCCCCATCACCTACGCAGTCCAGCACACCAAGTGGAGGAATAGCATACATTCCTTATAACGGAGCGCTGCCCTCTCCAGTTGCTTATAGCGGATCATTTCGCATCCCACCCAGTGCCCTGCTTCCTTATGCCCGTGGAGGGCCGTTGATATCCCCCTCTACCAAATATACCTCCTCTCCTCCTGGTGTTACCGTTGGTAACCTCTCTGCATCTGCCTCGACTCCCGGCGCTGTATCTGCCGTTTCGTCTGCCACTCCTTGTGCATCGACAAATGATTCTTCATCTCAGGGAAATTCGCTCAGGGAGTTGCTGAATCAGGGGAAGATGCGAAGGCAAGACGCATTGGATCTGCTCCGCATGTACCATGAAGCTGCAGCAGCTCCTGGCCCATGGGAGAATGAGCCTTTGCCTCCGGAGCTGAGTGTTTTAGGTGGTGAGAGTGATGGGGGCGGTGTTGCAGGGATTGATTCGGATGATTGGAGTGGTGGAGCGTTGAAGCAGGAGGAGGGGAAGGAGACTAAGGAGGGGAAAGGAGACGCTGGTGAATGGTCTGATGAGGCAGTAGGAGGAGGCAGGAAGGGAGATACAGCAATCGGCACAGCAGGTAGGGAGGGAAACTGGGAAAAGGAAGCAGAGGAGAAGGAGGAGAACATGGACAGGGAGGTGGAGGAGAAGCAGGAGGATGGGCTGGAAATTGCGGATGATTGGTCAGATGGGGCGTTGGAGGAGGAACTGCAGGAGCTTCAACTCGTGGCTGATCTACACTACCTACTACAGCAGCAGCAGCAGCAACAGCAGAAACAGCAACAGCAGCAACAACAACAGCAGCAGCACACAGGCAGCGGAAGCAGGGGGGACGATGGCAACGGCAACGAGCTTCTGGGAACTGTTTCAGAGACAGCTTCTGTGGGTGGGGGATATGGGAAGGTGGGTTTTCAGGAGCCGTTACGGCCAGCCTTCTATGATGCAGCAGAGGATGGAGAGGGTGGATATACGGAGCAGTTCGCTCAACTGAGGGTACATGCCGCTGCCAGCGTTAGCCGTGCTGCCAGTGTTGCCAGTGCTGCCACCTCTGCTCGTGCTGGCCGTGTTGCTAGTGCTGCTCGTACAACCAGCGTTGCTCGTGTTGGCAGCGCTGCCAGTGCTGCCAAAATGCCGCCTGTGCTGGCTGAGACAGCAGAGGATGGCGCTGGGTCTACAGAACAGCCTGTTCCATTACAATATCATTCTTCTGGTGGTGCTGTCAGTGCTGACACTGCTACTGCTGCCAGTGCTGCCACTGCTGCCAGCACTGTCAGCGAGAGGCCTGTTCTGCCAGCCTTATACGACGCAGCAGAGGACGGAATTGGGTTCACGGAACAGTTCGCTCAAATGAGATTGAAAGCAAAGGGACGACGGGACGAGGAGTTCTCTAGTATTGCCACTGCTGTCACTTCTTCCTTTGCTGTCACTGCTGCCACTGCTGCCACTGCTGCCACTGCTGCCACTGCTGCCACTGCTGCCACTGCTTCCTCTGCTTCCTCTGCTGCCACTGCTGCCACTTCTTCTACTGCTGCTACTGCTTTCAACGCTGCTGGTGCTGTTAGCATGAGGCCTGTGCTCCCAGCCTTGTACGACGCAGCAGAGGACGGGATTGGGTTCACGGAGCAGTTCGCTCAAATGAGAGTGAAAGTGAAGGGGAGGCGGGAGGAGGAGTTTTGAGTCATCTCAGAGGTCGACTCACAAGTCAGCGTGAGGCCTGTGCTCCCAGCCTTGTACGACGCAGCAGAGGACGGGATTGGGTTCACGGAGCAGTTTCCTCGGATTAGATAGAATGCGAAGGGGAGGCGGGAGGAGGAGTTTTGAGTCATCTCAGAGGTCGACTCACTAGTCAGCGTGAAGCCTGTGCTCCCAGCCTTGTACGACGCAGCAGAGGACGGGATTAGGTTCATGGAACAGTTCGCTCATATAAGAGTGAAAGTAAAGGGGAGGAGGGAAGAGTTTTTCTAGTGGACTCAAAGCTCCCTCCCCTGGTTGAATGCGAAGGGGAGGCTGGAGCAGGAGGGAGCGAAGGAGCTTGAGGTTTGTCAAAAAGAGGTGAAGAGCAGTTTTTTTGAGTTATGTGAGTGAGGAAAACAGTTAACGGTAAGAACAAGGAAATGCAGTATGCCAGGATGCCAGTGGGTGAGAGGAAGGAGGGCGAGTGGTACACAAGAAAGGAGGGATGGAATAGCTAGGAGGGGGAACACGGAGAGCAAAGCAGGAGAGATGCACGGGAAGAAGAGTTGGAAGCAGAAATTAAACTGCCGAGGCTGACCGAATTTTTTATCTGATGTGATGCTATTGAAAATTATGCGAGCAGCACTCACCATGGTGCTGAGAAGAATGTAGTGGCTAGGATGAGTACAGAAATGTTGGGTTGTATATTGGAGATATATGAGTGTATTTCTGTACTCGAGTGCTGGGATGTCTGCATTGTTGAAATTTTCTCTTTGGCCAGAAAACGATTGTTCATTTTAACAGAGTCTGTGTTGCTTTTTACAATGACTTTAACAGCGTACACTACACTTGCTGGTAAAAATACAATCGCTTATTTTTAGCAAGACAAACTGTATCGGATCTGTCGCTTCGCTCAATCCTTGCACGTCACACTCACAGGTGGTCGCCTTTGTCGTTGTCGTCAGTCTAGCTGACGGCTTCTGTTGCTCGCCGTCGCACGAACTGGTGCTCGTGACCCTGGTTACACGGGCTTGTGAAACTGCTGACATTCGCGAAACGGTAAGCCAATCGGGCTCCTCCCTGCTTCTCAGCTTTATTCGAGGTTTCGCCAAGGTTCCGTATTTCCTGCAAAGAAAGTGTATGTCAAGACAAGCACAGTCCTCCCTCCACCTCATCAACATTCCACATCAGCTCCTTTGTGCTTCAGATGCTTAGGTAAACACCCACTGTTTCAAGCTTCTCTGCGCAAATGTATTTAGATACTGTAAGCGTTCTAACCAGCTCCGTTGGCACGACAGCTGGATCACTATTGAGAGGGAACGACCAAGTCTTTTGACTTCCCCATTTCCCGCGTAAATTCCTTTTAGACGAGTCGCACCATCAACATTGGGTGGGAGAAGTGAGAACAAATAAACGAGGAGTTACCTTGATCGAAACATCGAGCCGCGCATTTCTCCCCACTCCCAACCAGCACCCAACCCCTAGCGCACCAAACTCAACCGTGGCGCAAAGCCTCTGCATTTGCGCACTGCGCTCACGCACGGGCAGACCACCACACGCCATGACGGCCTGGTGCGGGCAGCCGAAAGTCCAGGAGTCCCCTTCGGGGGACTGCCCTGCACAATTTCCTTGCCTGGCGATTCGCGTGGGCGGAGAGGTTCGCGTCGAGGGAAATCCCTTTCTCGGGCGGGGGGCAGCTGAAGCGGAAACCACAATGTGCGCAAGGGCGAAGCGGGGCGAGGCGACTCAATTTCGCGAACGCCGAAGCGATCACGGGGAGGGCGACCGACGCGAACAGCTGGCGCCGTCAAACATCAAAATCCGCATCTCAATTTTGAAATGTCCGCCTGTCCGTCAGCATCATATTAGTCCCCCCTCGCCGCATTCGACTCCCACAATTCACTCCTGCTGTCCCTCTCGCCTGAACTTTTGCACTTAGCTGGTGGTCTTGCCCACCAGTGCTTGTCAACAACAATCGCTATCCATAGACGTAAAGGAGCCGCGCGTGCACTGCAGCATCGTCGTCCCCATTCGCATCTTCCTAATATTCCATTCACGTAGCACGAATAACACGCTCTCATGTTCAACCTTCATCGACGCAGTCCTTTGTGTTAACGAGCTAGCTCCTCACCTCCAAGGATTTGCTCGACTTTTCGTAGTCTTTTCCGCACCAGTGGAAGTATTAGCAACTATAAATAATCAGGAATTATGGGGAAAGGTGGTTCTCTCCCTCCTGCACTGATCGCACAGCCCAAGAGCTACTCGGGCCTTTCGACGCTCGAAATCGAGCCAGACACAACTGCCGAGCGACCCCGGATACTCGGGATCCTCTCCAGCATCCTCGACCATGTGGTGTCACGTAACGTAGCGAAACAGGCGAAATCCGGTAACCGCAAGTTGACGGTTTTTCACGGGCTTCGCGCGCCGGCAATCACCGTCGAAAAGTACCTGGAGCGGATATTTAAGTACGCAAATTGCAGTCCGGCGTGTTTTGTCGTGGCGTACGCGTACATCGACCGCATCTTGCAAGAGCATGACGACATGGTGATCACGTCGCTGAATGTGCATCGCCTGCTCATCACCTGCATCATGGTCGCCGCGAAGTTTCTCGATGACTCGTAAGTGGTAACCATTCTCGTGAACGAGTTGATTTCGCGCAAGTTGTCGTTTGCGTCCGTCATTCCATTCTTGTTCTTGCCTCCTCCAATATTCAGCCTCCGCATATACTGCTTGTATCGCTCTGCTTCGCTATAACCTTTTCTTTCTCCACATTCCTTACACTCTCCTTGTACAGGTACTTCAATAACGCGTACTACGCCAAGGTCGGAGGCGTTACAACAGCCGAGATGAACCGTCTGGAGATGGAGCTTTTATTTCGCATGGACTTCCGCTTGAACATTACAACGGACGTCTTTTACGCGTACTGCAAGCGGCTTGAAGCGGAGATTTGGAATTCCCGCCCACCCTTCGAGGCCACGTTGGACGTCAACTCGTTATCCATGCTGAAGCCGCCCGGCCACCTGGCGCGCGTGCAGCCATGCCACGTGGAGGTGCAAAAAGGCGTTCGGACACCCCCGCGAGAGGTGGAATCGTACCGGTATCCGTCAATGCGTGCGAGAACTCTCGTGAACGGGTCTCCTTGACGGTCGGCGTTAACGTTCTGACAGAACTGATATCGCTGACGGATGATGGCAGGTGGCGGCACACGGGGATGGGCGCATCAAGTGATTGCGCTCGTCCATACATATACGATCTTGACAAGATACACTTGCTCACTCACTATAGACGAGTGCACTAATGCGTAGATTCTTTAGACTAGTGGATGTGTAGGAATCCTCGTAAGGGGAGAGGAGCCTGTCGATGTTAGATATTCTGAAGCTGGGGGAAAGCATGTGATGTAACGTCGCACCATTTTCGGCGCCATTCAGACAAGGGAGCACAGCTGGTGGCGGTCTGATTGGGATGCTTGCTATGTGCTGTTGAAGAAAGAAAGGGTTGGAGGAGACAAGTCAACATCAGGCGGCGTAGCCATGTCACACATAGTAGGGCCTCGAAAGGCTCTAATTCGGAGAGGCTCTCTCTCCTTGTGCTATATTTTCCCTTGGTTTGCGTAGACAATTATTTGAAATCCGAATAAAGCCTTTATTACCATGCACAAATTTCAAGATTCATGCACGAATGCTTTCTTTCACTCCAGTTGCAAACTTGGCCATCACTCAGGCAAACGTCCCTGGTAGACACTAACAAGGATTTCACTCTGACAGAAAATGAACTAATTCGGCAGCTGGCTTCGTCTCAAAAAAGATTTTGTTTCCCTTTTTTAGTTAAACCCGGTTACATTGAGTTTACTCTGCTTAATATCTTTCATGTAAAGGTGAACATGGATTCTATGACTTGTGCTTTTTGATCACCTTGTTTGTATTGGATTATGTACACTACAGTTATGCTGCATTTCTGGCTTGTGCTTGGGCTGTCGCTGTATGGAAAGTGACACATCAGCGTCGACGCGCAAACTTTTGGTCCTGCCTGTCGTTTTCGCCATCGGCGGGCAAATGCTTCGCGGGCCTTTTCACACCACGTCCTCACATGTGCGTGTCCGTTGGCACAAATTGCTCCCCTGATTTCTGGCGCAAAGGTCATCCCTTCCTTTCGCCGTCATCGTTAGAATTGAGCTGTGGTCGTTGATCAGCTCCTTCTATCGCAGGCTGTGCTCTAAAGGAGGGCAATGCGACTCGATTCGGAGTTGGGCGACGGCGAAACTCACGGTTCCTGCCACGTAGGCAGTGTTGTTCCCCGAATGCGTACGACGGAAATCACTGGGTTTCATCATCGAGACGCTGTGGCGTGAAATGGATGGCTGGCGAATCCAACGGCACCCTGGTCAGTGTGCGCAGGGAACAGCTGGGCACGTTCCAGCCATGTCGCAGACCAGCCGTTGCTGGGAAACCCGAAAACATCCCCCCAAATGCGAGTCGCCCACAGGGAGGGATGGAAATGTCTGCCAGCCTGTCACTTCCTTCTCTTTCCTTTCCAGCATCTGAAAGAAAGGAAGGGTTGGCGCCCCGAAAGTGGGCACTGGCGGGTCGATTGACGGCAGCGCTTCGATCTCATCGCATCACACGCATGCGCCTCGTTTCATTTCACAAATTACACTAGAATGTTGTCGCTGCGAGTTTTGATACTCTTAGTACCCCTCCCGCTCCCCTTCCGACCAATCAGCCCTCCATCATCGTCCACCCCCCGCGTTTCATCTCATCCTCCTCCTATCACCACGACCCACACTGTACATGGAGCCTCCAGCTATGACGCAAACTAGCCAATCAAGCTTCCCAAGCCGTTTCATCTCTCCCCATTCGACACCTCGATTTTCCCAATCTCCAAAAGATCGTAATTTCCTGCTAGGTTGCAGACCGTCGATCGTGAATCGATCTACTCGATGCATTCCACGTGGATGGCGGTAGCCCTCGTCTATTGCCAATGTCAGACAGAGAGTTGTTGAGAGAGAGGCAGACTGTCCGCCAGGCGAGCCAGAGAATCAGAGCCCGAGAAGCAGCGAGCCAACCCCAGAGAGCCAGAGACCTGGAGGGGGCCAGCCAGAGAGGGGAGTGAGGCAGAGTCGCTTTGCTCGCTGTCGGCCATTACGCGTTCATCCTCGCTCGAACGAAATATAAGCTTACCATTCATTCGTCCTAATCCTCATATTTCGCTCAGGTGTGCCTCTCGTTCTGCACGGGTCACCCCGAGCCCTTTCTCTCGTCGCCTTCCTGCTTCCGTTTCCTTAGTAACCTAATCGTCTGCCTCTTCGCTTGCCACTTCCTTACCTTCTCAGAGACCTCCGTCGCGTGCTGTGCGTGTCTTTTACTAGCATTCGTGTGCGAGCTCATATTCCAGCAATCGGCATTCGGTGCTACAGTTCCTGCAAACTCAGCCATTCTTTGAATTCTAGTTGCGAATCGAAATCAGGCGCATTTCTTCCGCAAGGCAAACAGTCTTAAGTCAAAATGGGCAAGGGAGGTTCTCTGTCGTTCAGCGCACAGGCCAAGGCTGCTCCCAGCTGCCTCGCCACCTTAGAGCTCGATCCGAACTTGCTTTGCGAAAGGCCTCGCGTTCTTTCTGTCCTCGCGACGATCTACGACCAAATCGTGGAGCGGAACGAGGCCAATCAAGCCAAGGGCGGCGAGGAGAAGCTGACCGTTTTTCACGGGCTGCGCGCTCCGGCCATCGGAGTCGAAAAGTACATGGAGAGGATATTTAAGTACGCCAATTGCAGCCCCGCTTGCTTCGTCCTGGCGTATATCTATGTGGAGAAGATGGTGGAGCGGCATGATGACATGGTGGTGACGTCACTCAATGTGCATCGCCTGCTCATTACATCCGTCATGGTCGCCGCGAAGTTTCTCGATGACTCGTAAGTGGCTCTACACGAAGTTTCTGCCACATTTGGTGGAATAACAACGAAGAACAGTGGTGCAAACAAATGAGAGCCCAGTATCATGTTTAGCGATGATTGAAGAACCACTGTTGATTGAACTTCATCTCAGGGCCATACGGCCGAACAATGTGCACCCATGACACCTCATCTCACCAAGTTTCCTAATTCTGTCCGTTTCATCTCACTTCAGGTACTTCAACAATGCGTACTACGCCAAAGTTGGGGGAGTCACAACCGCCGAGATGAACCGTCTGGAGATGGAGCTACTGTTCCGCCTGGACTTCCGCATGAACGTTACAACGGAAGCCTTCTACGCGTACTGCAAGAAGCTGGAGGCGGAGCTGTGGCAGTCTGAGGTCGCCTTCGACGCAGCTTCCCTCATTGACATGTCAGCACTCACAATGTTGAAGGGTGCCCACGGCAATGTGGCTCGTACGCATCCTTACGAGTGTCAAGCAGCGTACGAGAAGGGCGTACGGACACCGCCGCGGGAGGTGGAATCGTACCGATGCCCAGCTGTAACGGCTAGGGTGTTGCCTGAGTCACCTTGAGCGTTCGACGGTTCATCTGGCGAGTTCATCTGACGGTCACTGACACTGACTGTACTAACCCCCGGGCTTGGCTGACGCTTAGCTCTGTAACCTTGTTTGCTTGCGTGTGTTTGTGCTCACTGCGTGAGTTGTCATTTATTTTGATAATATAGGCGGAGTTTGGCTTACCGTAGTTTTCTTTTCCCTTACCTCTCATCTCTTGTATGGCACTGATTCTAATAACACGTGCCTGAGCGCATGTAGGGTTAGCACCGACAAATGTTAATCATCATTACGAACACGCTTGCAACATATTTCAGCTTAAACCTAGTATTGCAAGAATCATATGGTATCAATATGCAACGTACTTAGCATGGTAGCACTGCTGAGCACTGCTTACTTGTGATTGGCATGGATTTTTCCTATGGAACTATCTTGTGTGCAGAATCCACTGCAACCATCAAAAAGTGAAAGCGTATATTGACAGTCCCCTCAAAGGTGTACTGATGTTCTGCTACTACCAGACTATGCAAGGCTAGATGTTTGTGCCTTCGGACGGTTTCCTCCAGACATGAAAATGTATGTATAGAAGGCCACCATGAACAAGCTGCACGAGGGAGCAATCACACAGCCAAAGAGAGGGGAACGCGTCGACAACAATATCGATCGTGGTAACAGCGACAGTAAGCAACTGCAAAGCGTCTAAAAAAATCAGCAGAGTTAAACAAGAGCACCAACATGCATAGTGGAGGTGACTCAGCATGGCATACCTTGCAAGTGCAGCCAAGCCAGTTGGGAAGAGTGCCTTGGTCTGACAACATCAGCAAACAGAAAGGAATGCGAACCAGCATGTGAGTCATTTTGGACGGATAATAGCAGGAAGAGTTGTATAGACCTAATTGTCAGTAAACATGTACCACTGCCCAGACACAGAAGGCTGTATTCCAGTTGCATGCGTAATCAAAATCAAGAACGCAAAGAGAAAGAGCAGCGCACAAGAAAAAACAGCATCAAGAGCGTACCACAGCGAAGCGAGTTGCTTCATTGATGAACACAAAGCTTGACAGCACTGCAGGGGAAAGCACATCAAGGGGTAAAAAATGAACGAAATTGAGCTTTTATGCTCGTAGTGCCCTGTTCGCGCTGCAAGAGAAACGCCACACGACCAGACAAGCCTCAATGTCTCGAAATAATCTTGACAGAAATACGAGTTACTCACCTCCTTGAATAGCAATGTACAGTGCGGACGGACGGTGATTCTGCCAGGCATGGAGGCTGGAGATGCTACACGCGAGAATAATACCCCCAATGATCATGCCAAATCGAAGGGCGTTGACGCTCCCTGCCAGAGTGAACCAGGTCACCCCTCCGACCACCAGCAGGGCACCTGAAGACAAACAGCAAGGCAGTTTCATCGAGACATGACCCAAGTGGCCTATACACGACAGTAACAAATAGCACAAGGACATGATACGCAATTAACAGCAAACAATCACAGCTCAGTGACTCAGGGTGGTGGAGGTTGAGACTAAGACCTACCATATGGGATTCCCAGACAGAAGTCATGAATCACAGCTCCTCTCCTGATAGCGTCCTTAGAATGTGATGACACGGCTGTCTCCACAATCTCCCTGATGGGTTCCGGAGCGTCTTTAGCAACTGCAACAATCTGCTCCTTATTCTCCTCCACGTGATGCAGCGCTTCTTCTATCTGATGCGACGCTTTCTCCGCCTGCTCCTTAATCTGCACCTTTGCCCTCTCAGCTTGGACTTTAAGTTGCTCCGCCAGAATCTCGGCCTTATGCTTCACCTCTGATGCTGCTTGCTGGGTTTGCACCTGAAGCTCTTGCAGCTCATCGGGGGTTGGAAGCTTAACCTTGTCTTCAATGGCATGGGCAGCGTCTTCTAAAACGTGCGAAGCGTCTTCAGTAATCTTCTGGAGTTTCTTGGACGCTTCAGATGCGATCTTCTGGAGCTCCTCCTTGACCTTGTTATCCTGAATGGAGGAGATTTGTTTAAAGACGAAGGTTGAAAAGTCCCACTCTCGACGGTGAAATGAAGGGAAGAATAAACAGGTTTTTTATTCTATCAAAATACCAAAAGAAGTAGTCAGAGGCAAAATGACTTTACCTCGGCTACAGCTCGAACGCCGTGCGACTTTCGAAGGCGCAGCGTTGGTCCAGCAGAGGAACGAGACGAAAATGACTTCCCAAATAAACTTCCGTTCAAGCTGGTCGATAGTTTGCCGGCCTGACTGCCTGCCAAAGCCCCTGCCCTCAAACAAGCAGCCATGTTGGATATCGTCGCTAGCGGAAGTACTGGGAACAGCGAACGCGTAGACTATATTAACAACCACAGAAGCGAGGAGAAATTTCACTACACGATCTTTGAAAAACGTAATAACTTGGTGATTGCAAGATTCAAGAACCTAAGGTACCTGGGATGGTGAAACAACAAGCTAAGCTTGCGGATTTCAGTCGAAGAAACAAAATCAGTAGCAGATACAGAAGTGAAGCACTAAACGGAGAATCCAGGAAGAAGCACGAAAAGTATGCATTTGATTCAGAGGTTCATACACTCACGAACAATAGCGAACTGTTACGTAGTTTGAGAGTGTCGAATATCTGCCGCCCTTTTGTTGAATGGACCCGCGAAACTTCGGCGAGGTAGAATCAGCTTCGCGAACAGCAGGCCCAGATTTCAGGAATAGAGGGTCCATGTAAGCAAAAGCGCCTGGTTAGAGGGGACATTTGTGGCTATCCCTTGTTTCATGGGGCACGCACCTCAGCCGAAGCACTGAAGGGAGCTCCTGGCCATATGTGATTGGCAGATGGACAAACCGAACCTGGCTTTGACTTCAGACCATTTGCTAGAGGATTCATTGCTGACAGGGTTGAGACGCACCACATTGCAAATCTCTGGAAAGTGGAATCTGTATACGCGTTGTAAACATTCACCAGCGAAGTTTGGAATCTCAACAAACAATTACCCAGTCTCTTCTGCCCAATCAGCAACCGGTGTACTTCCACTTGGTTCTTGTTGACGAGAACCCTCAACTGGTTTCGAGTCTCCTGATAATCCTTGCTCTTCAACTTCTTCTCGACCAATTAAAGAATGGTCCGACGCAAGCTCTCGCACGATAGTTGGCTCCACTGCCATCTGGAGAAATACGCAAGCATCAAACAGAAACCACCACAACACAGACCACAAAGAAAATTGCATGAAGAGCAGTGAAGAGATGAAATGTTGCAATTTCTTCCCACCTCCCTCATACGATCACCCGTTTCGCCTGTAGCCGACCGATTTTGTTTTGAGCTGCCTCAATGCCACACCATCCGCCAGGAAGCTCACCACCTCTCATCTCAACCTTCCAACCTCCACCGCATTCACATCCATCCCACCTCCCTCATGCAATCACCTGTTTTGCCTGCAGCCGGCCAAACTCTGCCTGGAGCTGTCTCAACGCCACACGATCCGCCTGCATCCCCACCACCTCTCCCTTCAACCTCCCAATCTCCGCCCGATCCTCCTCTCGTGCAGCTTTCACCTGCACCAGATCAGCCTGCGTCTGCTCTAGTGACGCTCGCAGCTGAGCCCGCTCCTGAGCCCACTGCTGCATGGCACTGGTTACCATTGCAAGGCTCTGCTGCACTGTTGCTGCTAAACCAGCCATGGCGTTGGCATCGGCTGATCCTGCTGCTGTTGCTGCTGCCTCCTGCTGTTGTTGCATCTGCTGCTCTTGCTCCTGCTGCTTCTGCTGAGCTTGTTGCTGCTGCTGCTGCCCCTGCTGCTGCTTCTGCTGTTGCTGCTCCTGCTCCTGCTGCTGCTTCTGTTGTTGCTGCTGCTGCTGCTGCTGCTGCTGCTGCTGCTGCTGCTCCTGCTGCTGTTGCTGCTGCTGGCACTGCTCCTGTTGGTGGTACGGATGCATCTGTGCTTGCATTGTTGCCTGTGCCCACCATTCCTGCTGCTGCTGCTCTTGCTGCTGCTGCTGTTGTTGCTCTTGCTGCTGCTGCTGCTGAGGGGGAGGAGGGTAGCTACCAGCATAACCAGCACTCTCTGCTCCAGCCATGGGCATAGGCATGGGCATAGGCATAGACATGGGCATAGGCATGTGCATGTGCATGGGCATGGGCAAGGGCATGGGCATGGAATACGGAAAGGGGTAGCTGCCAGGGGTACCAGGGTATTGGTTGGGGGGATACGCGAGGGCGTAGTATGCCATTGGAGCTGCCTCTGGTGTTGCTGCTGGTAAGGATGGTGATGCTGCTGCTGCTGGTGCTGCTGCTGTTGGGCCCGGTGGTGCTGCTGCTGGTGCTGGTGCTGCTATTGCTGCTGTTGCTGTTGCTGTTGCTGTTGCTGGTGCTGCTGGTGCTGCTGTTGCTGCTGTTGCTGCTGCTGGTGCTGGTGCTGCTGGTGCTGCTGTTGCTGCTGGTGCTGGTGCTGATGCTGGTGGTGCTGCTGCTGCTGGTGTCATTGCAGGTGCTGCTGCTACCATTTGGCTTGCTACTGCTGATGGTGATGATGATGGGAGCGGTGCTGTTGCTGGTGCTGGCGGTGCCGCTGTTGCTAGTGGTACCCCTGTTGCAGGCAATACAGCTGCTGTTGCTGCAGACGTCACAACTGCTGCTCCTTCCGTCATGGTTGCTGCACCTGTAGCCATGGCTTTCCGTCCTGGGTCCTCATTTTTAGCCCCAGAAACATGTGCTGACTTGGCCGCTCCGTTATCGCTTTTCCCACCACTGGTAGCAGCACCAGCACTACCCCCATCACTACCACCGTTACTATCACCACCACCACTATCATCACCACCAGTATCGCCACCATCACTATACCCACTGCCACTGCTTTCACTATCGCTATCATCTGCACCTGACGATGCAGGTGGTGCTGCTGGTGGGGATGCTGCTGCCGGTGCTGCTGATACTGCTGCTGATACTGCTGCTCCTGATGATGCTGCTACTGCTGGTATTGCTGATTTGGTTGAAACGTTAGGCAGCTTCGGGTTCTTGTCCGTACAAGAACTCCCACTCCCACTGGAAGGTTGCAGCCAGGCACGGATAGCCGCCGAAGCTGGTGCCGAGCCTGTTTTTGGGCGAGGCTTGGGGATGATCAAGTCATCGGGCTTGCCTGTAGCTGTAGGCTTCTCACCACCTACCTTCTTGGATCCTTCCTTTCCAAGCGAATCCCTGGCAGAGGAAGATGTAACCGGGGCAGATGTAACCCAAGGAACAGCAGGACCGTCGACTTTGGTTGACCCACCAGAGCTGGGACCAGATGAAACCCATGGCACAGAAGATGCGTTGACTTTAGTTGACTGCGCAGGGACGGGAACAGATGAAACCCAGGGGTCACGGGCTGGAGTTTTCCCTCCTGTTTTAGGCCCAATCCATGGCCCAGGCCCGTGTCCAGGTCCGGGGCCAGGTCCGGGGCCAGGTCCGGGGCCAGGTCCGGGGCGGGGTCCGGCACCAAACCCTGGGCCATTTTGAGGTCCGGGTTTGGAGGGAGGCTCGGAATTGGACCAAGATCCGGGCCCGGGTCGAGGTTCGGGGCGGTTCCAAGCTCCAGATTTGGATGGAGGTCCGGAATTGGATGTGTAAATAGGTCCGGATGGCTTGGAAGGACCGGCATGAGGTCCGGAATGAGGTCCAGGAGGGGGAGCGGAAGAATGCCAGGGTGGTTGGGAGGATGAAGCGGCAGAGGAGGAGGAATTGGAGGAGGAGGAAGAGGAGGGGCGGGGGAGGGGTTTGTGTGGCGAAGCTGTGGCAGGAGGAAGGGGATTCAGTGGAGGATGAGAGGGATGAGAGGGAAATCCAGTCGGCGGCTGAGTGAGAGCGGGTTTTCGAGCCGAATCAAGCGATGGGCTGGAGCGGGAAGGGCCAGCGGCAGGTGTGTGCTTGCAGTAGAGAGCGAGGAGCTTCTGGGTCTGCTGGTGGTCTAATTCGAAGAAGAAGTGTGTGACAGAGTAGTAGTTGGCTGATAGGGCCGGGCCGTAGGTGGCCTCCGGGAGAGGCGAACACCTGTGGCGCAGACGAACCTTCACCTGGTGGGGCCAAGGGGGAGGGGGAGCGGGAGGGGGGGGGGGCGAGGAGAGGGAGGGAGAGGAAGAGAGAATTTAAGCGGGTTTTTGAACCGAGTCAGAGGAGGTGCTAGGGCGGGGGGGAGCCGCGGCAGGGGTGTGCTTGTAGTAGAGTGCGAGGAGCTTTTATTGAGGCGCCTCAAAAATCGTCGCAGTAGAGTGCGAGGAGCTTTTATTGAGGCGCCTCAAAAATTATCGCAGTAGAGTGCGAGGAGCTTCAGGGTCTGCTGGTGGTCCAATTCGAACGTCCAGTGGAGGCATGCCGTGAGAGAGAAAGAGAGGCACTGGGGAAGAGATGGGGACGGACCCTGGGGGAGACAGCAGGGAAGAGAGGCGGAGCCCATGGCGGGCCACCAGAGGAGAGAGACCAGGAGAGAGCAAGAAGGGTACCTACCTGGGCGGGGAATCTGGTCTGGCCGCCATTCTTGCCCGTCCAGCCATGCGGGTCGATCTCCAAATCTCCGTGGCTCACTGCCTCAAAGATCCCGTGTAAGCGGCGGTCCGAGTAGTTGAAGAGAAAGAGAGGCATGCCGGGAGCGATGTTCTGAACGTACTCCATGTGGTTGTAGGGCAGGCCTGGGAGGGGAGTGTGGGGGGAAGGAGGAGAGGGAAGATGTGATGAGGTGTCATGAGGTGCGATGAGGTGTTATAAGGGGTCCAAGCAGTTGAAGAGAAAGAGAGGCATGCCGGGAGCGATGTTCTGAACGTACTCCATGTGGTTGTAGGGCAGGCCTGGGAGGGGAGTGTGGGGGGAAGGAGGAGAGGGAAGATGTGATGAGGTGTCATGAGGTGCGATGAGGTGTTATAAGGGGTCCAAGCAGTTGAAGAGAAAGAGAGGCATGCCGGGAGCGATGTTCTGAACGTACTCCATGTGGTTGTAGGGCAGGCCTGGGAGGGGAGTGTGGGGGGAAGGAGGAGAGGGAAGATGTGATGAGGTGTCATGAGGTGCGATGAGGTGTTATAAGGGGTCCAAGCAGTTGAAGAGAAAGAGAGGCATGCCGGGAGCGATGTTCTGAACGTACTCCATGTGGTTGTAGGGCAGGCCTGGGAGGGGAGTGTGGGGGGAAGGAGGAGAGGGAAGATGTGATGAGGTGTCATGAGGTGCGATGAGGTGTTATAAGGGGTCCAAGCAGTTGAAGAGAAAGAGAGGCATGCCGGGAGCGATGTTCTGAACGTACTCCATGTGGTTGTAGGGCAGGCCTGGGAGGGGAGTGTGGGGGGAAGGAGGAGAGGGAAGATGTGATGAGGTGTCATGAGGTGCGATGAGGTGTTATAAGGGGTCCAAGCAGTTGAAGAGAAAGAGAGGCATGCCGGGAGCGATGTTCTGAACGTACTCCATGTGGTTGTAGGGCAGGCCTGGGAGGGGAGTGTGGGGGGAAGGAGGAGAGGGAAGATGTGATGAGGTGTCATGAGGTGCGATGAGGTGTTATAAGGGGTCCAAGCAGTTGAAGAGAAAGAGAGGCATGCCGGGAGCGATGTTCTGAACGTACTCCATGTGGTTGTAGGGCAGGCCTGGGAGGGGAGTGTGGGGGGAAGGAGGAGAGGGAAGATGTGATGAGGTGTCATGAGGTGCGATGAGGTGTTATAAGGGGTCCAAGCAGTTGAAGAGAAAGAGAGGCATGCCGGGAGCGATGTTCTGAACGTACTCCATGTGGTTGTTAGGCAGGCTTGGTAGGGTACAGTGGGAGAGTGGGCGGAAGGAGGAGAGGGAAGATGTGATGAGGTGTGATGAGGTGTTATAAGGGGTCCCAGTAGTTGAAGAGGAAGAGAGGCATGTTGGGAGCGATGCTCTGAACGTACTCCATGTGGTTGTAGGGCAGCCTGGGACAGGAGAGAGAGGCGGGAGAGAAGAGAGATCATGTACACTTTCCGAGTTCATCCAAGAAAAAGAGAGGCATGCCGGGGGCGATGTTCTGAACGTACTCAGTGTGGTTGTAGGGCAGGATTGGGATGGGAGGTAAAGAGATTAATGATCGGACCAGAGGGTAATGCTTTTTACATCCTCGTTTGACTGTTGAACGTCAAGAAATCGCTATAAGAACGCTCACCAAATAGCTCTTTTGTGACACATTCCGAAAATGTCTCCTTGGTGCATCCGAACACGCAACCCCCCAGCTGCTCCCGCGGCAACAGGCGGAACTGCACGCGCTGGCGCGACGATTCTCCCCCTCCCCTTTGGTTTGCCGTGTCATACTGATAAGTCGTGGTCTTTCGGCCAGCACCCATCTTCCTGCACTCAGCTTCGAAGGTCACATGCAACTATGTAATTTACAGGGAAAGCCGATAAGAGTCTTGCTAGATGAAAATATCTTTCTGAGTCCAATCTCTTGATCCGGCTCCTCGAAACCTGTTATCTCTGAAGAACAAAAAAAGACCTGAACCTCTCGTTCAATCAAGATAAAAGTCCTTGATTCGTGGAGACCAGACGGCAAAGCTTCGTTCTCGGGAACGTCAAGCTGACTGCAGACGACACTCCATGACAAATAAAAAAATAATCGAGAGATGTAAATCTACAAGAATGTCCACATATTTGCTTGAATTTGTGAATGCGACTGCACCCTTGTGTTAAAACTCTTAAAAAATGGCTTGGTTCCTGGCGAGGCTGGTACGTGATGGAATCACGGAATCGCTGGTAATACCCAGATTCTCTATACGCGCAAAGTCAGTGAGCGATCCTAAAAATACTAGCGACGCCAAAGAGAGGCGGAACCACGCGAGGTATATTTGCGAAAAGACACGAAAATGTTAGAAGGTTCTTCCAGGCCTAGTGATGTGACTAGGTTTCAAGAAGTGGGAGGAACGAATGTGATGATGGGTGAAGAGCAAAGCATCAAGGATGGAGAGACAGCACAAGAGGAAACTGTAAAGAGTACCAGCCAGAATTGCTTCATGTTGTGAAAGAGCTTGTCCATGTGCTTTACAAATACTAGACACATCCATTTTACATGGGTGGATATCAGAAGCATGCTACCTGCCTAGGTTGTTCAAAGCTCCACCTACTTTTCAAGGCATCCCATGAGCATTCTAAAGTGACGATAAGGATAAACAAATGGCAGTTAATAATGGGCATGAATGAACCATGATGCTAATCCTGTTGCTAAGAACAGTCATCCTTTGGTCAAAGGGGAGATGAAGTACACTGCCATGGGAAAGATGCAAGAGAACCTCCACAAACCAGGACACACAACCTGATTCAACCTAGCCCTGCATTTCCCTCCGACCAAAATAAAACAGTGTCCATGACTTGCAGGTGGTTCCCATCCCCTGCACTTAACATCTCCTTCCCCAACTCCAAACTCTACACAGTTTTTCCAAGCCAAAAAGGACACGACTTGGACTACCGGACTTCCTCCACCCATCCAACCCAACATTGCCACCAGACATGCCTCCCAGAACCACGAGGATATGCCCCATATCTGGCTCTCGGACTGAGCAGTGCACTAAGCCAGCCATGCAACTGACCTTGCACCAACCACTCCAGTCCCTTCACCCTTTGACGCACCCCATCCCCCCAAACTACCCCATCCCCAGGTCCTTGATTTCCACTCCTCTCCCCACTGCTGCCATAACCCAAATTACCTTCCCAGTGTTTATTCCTGGTTCCGTGACTTCATCTAGCTGTTGCTGACCACCTCTGGATGGTAGTACAGCATCTCTTGCCATACCTTTTCACGCAACGCGGCCTCCTTCAGATCCTCATCCTCAAAGTCGAACTCAAACGGCGCCGGAGCAGACGGCTCCACAGCAGGATCATGAAGCATGGACAGGTACGGATGCTCCAAAGCCTCTTCCACAGTGATACGCTTGTTCGGGTCGAACACAAGCATCCTCTCAATCAAGTTGATGGCCAGAGGGTTGGCCCTGGGGTAGAGGCGAGAGAGCGAGACTCTGGGAGTGTACGGCAACGAACGGATGTAGCTGCGAGCTTTTTGGCTGGAGATGAAATGAAGGTCGTCTTCGTCAGGCGAACCAATCAGGTTGATGATCAGCTTCAGCTGATGGATGTAATCCTTTCCAGGGAAAAGCGGCTTCCGGCCCAGAAGCTCCGCGAAGATGCAGCCAACGGACCACATGTCAATGGCGAAGGTGTACTCGTCGCAGGAAAGCAGCAGCTCGGGAGCACGGTACCACCGAGTCACGACATACTCTGTCATGAAACCCTTCTCGCTTCCCGTGCGAGCGAGACCGAAATCGCAGATCTTGAGGTCGCAACTGGCATTGAGGAGGAGGTTGCTGGGCTTGAGATCTCGATGCAGCACATTGGCCGTATGGACATACTTGAGACCGCGGAGAAGCTGGAAAAAAACACGCGAATACGGGAATTATGAGTTTATTATGTTTCCAAAGGTGAATGTGTAAGCCAAATATGGTTGTGGTTCAGGAGCATTTGATGTTGACATATCTTCAAGTTCAAACATCGAACGGCAAAAAATAATATAAATTAAACCTGGCAGCCTGACATAAAGTGAATGATAAGAAAGCGAAATCAACTTGAAATGGAACAAATTGTGCAGAATCAACAATTACCTGATAGATAAAGTACTGGCAGTGGTCGTCTGTCAGAGCCTGGGACGACCGGATGATCTGGTGAAGGTCTGTATCCATGAGCTCATACACGACGTACACGTCATTGAAAGTGAACCTGTCCGGAGGAGGCATAATGTCCTTCACTGCGATGATGTTCTCATGGTACAGATGACGAAGGAGCCTAATTTCACGGAGAGTACGACGAGCATCAGTCGCATTTTCGAATGCATTGCTGATTTTCTTGATGGCCACTTTTTCCCCTGAATCCGCGTTTCTCGCTGAGCACACGACGCCATAAGCTCCCTTTCCAATGGGCTTGATCGGAGTGTACTTGGCGTCTATCTCAAACAGTGTTCGCCACAGCATGAACTGGTGCTTCCCCGGTGGACAAGTCCCCACTGGGGGTTCCACCTTTGTGGCCATCTTACTGCTACTGCTTTGGCTCGCCAGTTTGTCTAGCTTTACCAGTCCCCACTAAAAGGTGAAGTAATCTTTGCTTCAACGAGACCAGAAGAGGAAGAAAAATGACAGCTTGCCGGCGATTCCCGACACGTCAACAACCACAGCCGGACAACAAGCAGCTCCCAGCTAGACACATTCAATCTAGCTGAGCTTCCAGAAATGCGGATAGAGCATCAAATGGAGGACTTGGTGAGGTTGGCAGGGTGGGTGGAGGAGGGGGGGGGGGGGGGGGCAGGCGCAAGTTTGGAATGACCAGGTTGATGAGGGTAAGGGGAAGGCGGGCATGGCGCATAAGGTATGCGGAACCTTGCGGGCAAAATGTCTGTGCAAGAAGCCGCCCATCCGAGCGACAGCTGGCGCACAATGGAATGCGTAAAGCGCTCACCTCTCAACTCAACCAACTGTTTGCGCAGGGGTGCAAATAGGGGTGAGGACTGGGGGGGGAATATCCGCCTACGCGCGCGGGGTGTGGATTGTGATGTGACGGGTGGAGGGTGGGGGAGGATGGGGGCAACAAGGAACCTCACGCTTCTTCCCCCACAAACTCAACGAACCCAACCACTTCGTTTGCCCAGCAACCCCATCCACAAACCACACCAATATTCGTGCGACAACTGAAACACGATCTTCGCCGTTCGGTGAACACGTGACCGAATCGACGGCAACCTCTCCCTGCCCGAGACAGGGCGACGAGGTTTGGTCTTTCGTTAAGACGACACAGGGAAACCACACTAATGACTTCGGAATTGAAAGGTTAGCTGACTGTAACTCTCTCTTCCAATTCCTATCCAGAACACAACAAGCCCCACCAGGACCCCCCTGACCACAATTACTACATAATTAGTTGTAGTTTGTCCAACTTATCAGGCTTCCTTATTGAGAACAAACAGAGCATGGTCAAATTGCTGGATCGACAGAATGTGGGGAGTAAAGAAAAACACATGTTTTACGCCAATTGCTCGGCACCATCAGCAATAAGCTGCCTAATCTCGTCATCAGCTGCCCTGTCAAGTGCAGTCCTGCCGTCCATATCCTTCACGTTGCCGTTTGCACCAGCACGAAGCAACTCTTGGATCTTTGGCCTATCACCCTCAGAAGCAGCCATCATGAGTAGAAGGTCCACAGGGTGAATGCCGGTGTTGAGGAGCTTCTCCATCTTATCATACGTGCCCTCCACAGCCAGCATACCCATGTAGTTGTAGTACTGCCATGGAAACACAAATGCATGAGAGACGAATGACAGAAATGGAACAGATGACAGGAGCACGGGAGTCGACCATGCCTGACAGACTTCGTGTCATGTGAATCAGCTACTCTGGAGCTTCCCTCTTACGATTCTGTGCTTTCACCTGAGCTGAATCTCACATTCCCTTACTCTTCACATCCTTTGGTCCATGAACCACTTCGGCCACGCTTGATCTATTATCTCCCTCTACTTCGCTTATCCATCCCCCTCGTCTATGTCTGCTATTCCTCCCCCATCGTGTCCACTCTCCTGAGGACCTATTGCTTCCATAAAAGTGCATTTTTTCACTCCTGTTTATTGCCCTGTGGTCATCCGTTTTTGAGCCTGGAAGGACCGACGGTTGACTGAACTGAAGCAAAGCTTCCTGACTCCCACTTCCAAATCACGCGCTATACCTGTTGGTAAAGAATCGTCGCAAACGGCAGTCTTACGTGTTCAACGTCATCCCTGTCGAAGTCGTCCCGACCTTGACTGCCGTAGATACCGGACGACTCCGCATCAAGGCCGTTCTTGCCGAATTTGAACCACGCCGAGACCCTCGATCCAGCGGCAACCTTAGCTCCCAGGCGCTGCTTCAGCGCGGCAGAACGCACTGCAGAAACGGGGAGAAAATGGAGGAGACAAAAACAAATATCGAATTTTGTGAAGGTGTACCAATGTGATTATAAAAATCAAGACCATTACGATCCCTCCCTCACATCCAAAAACCAATTCCCAATTTCCCTGCACGTGGAACTGCACTGAAGGAAGGCAAGCAAACGGAGAGTGCAAGGAGCTGGAAGACTGCGTACCGAAAGAAGATTGTCTGAAAGACTGGACGCGTGCATTCGTGGAAGCTAATCTCAGCGAGCTGAGGGTCGCAGAGACGTGGGAGATGGCAGTGGTGGACGACATCCTGAAGCTTTTGCGAAATTCCACAGCGACGAAGTTTCAAGTTTGAAGTAGTCCGCTGAGGTAAGGATGTCAGCGCTGATGTTGCCTAGTGAATCGTGATGAAGGTGCTTGACGGGAGTTTTGTGGCGTAGGAGAAGCTGTGCTGTGCCTGGCGGTGTACTGTACACACAGTTCTGGCAGTTGCGCCTCTTGCTTCCCGTGCCTGAGTAGTGTGCGCATCGCGTTGCGCCATCACCCAGCAAAGCGACCCACAAGCTTGCCGCGGTCTGCGGAAACTCGGGCGGAACAGGGAGCCAAAGAAGCCACACTCGCAGGGAGTGCGCGGAAATCCTTCGCCGCTTTTTCCTGCCTTGGGAGTGGCGCGGGATTGTGTTCCGCAACGAAGCAAAAGGTAATGGCAACCACGAACCACCCCGAGCCACGTGGTACAAAATCCACGTCGGACTCCCAATGTTTCATGAATGTTATGGATCAGTCGGTGCTTCATTACAAGGCGAAGGACTTCGTGATGGTAATTCATTTTCAGCGATTGTGCAAACTTGTTGATACGTCCTTATCACTTCACTCCTCCAGTAATCATCGGTTTCAAACAGACGTTATTGGTTGTTAGTCACTGATTTATTACTTTTGGTTGAGACAGAGTTGGTTGTGAAATCCAACTGAGAACGTGAGAATGAGAATGAGAAAGTGAGAATGTGGGTGAGGGAATTTGGCCACAGCCATTCCCTTCAAACCCAAACAAACTGCGGAGTAACCAAACCAGCTCTATGCATCTGCAGAGTCAAAGCAGTGGGTCCTCATGTGGTCACCACCCCCATAGCACGCAGCCACCGGAGGAGGCTACAAGCAATGGAACAAACACCAAGCTTTCTTTTCTTTGCTCCACTGTTGCCGGGCTGTCCGAGTGCCGAATTACACCTAAACAAAGTGCGGGATAACCAGGCCGAATGTATGTGTCTGCAGAGTCAACGCAGTCGGTCCCCACGTGGTCACCCCCATTACAAGCACACAACCTTCGGTGGGGCCTGCTGTGTCATGCAGCGATGGCTTCACACTGGTGCAATCAGTAGATCCACTGCGATCAGTAGATCCACTACTAGGCTTCATGCTATCTTTGCTTTGCTCCGCTGTTGCTAGGCATTCTGAGTGTCGAAGGGTGAACTCCACTGTAGCAGATTCCCCTGGCGGGATGATGCCTGAACCAGGTTGCACCTGCAGCCAAATCGGCCAACCACCGCTCGCCCCTCCCCCCATTGTAATCACATCTCCATTAGCAGTCAACTCCTCTCCTCCCTCCCCCTTCCCAGTCTCGTTCCCAGCTCCGACTCCTCCCACTCCCTTCTCCCCCTCCCTCCATCCCTCACCCCTCTCCTCCTCCCTCCACCCAAAGTCACCCTCCCCCTCATAAACCACTCTAAACCCCATTGCATGGCCTGTGCTCTTATCGCCCTTATTGCTCACCACGACCAACGCTCTTCCTGTGTTTGGGTCTTTTCTCACACAAGTGCCAGCGGCAAGGAGAGAGGGGCGGTGCGAGGCGGCTATTTGCCGGAGCAGCGAGGAGAGAGGGGGATATGATTCTTGTGGCGCCTCAAGAGGGGAGGCGAGAGGGGAGGCGAGAGGAGGGGCAGGAGTGGAAGTTTCAAAGGAGGAGGCAGCAGGGGAGAGGTTGCTGTCAGCAGCTACTGAGAGGAGGTCAGTGGTAGGTGTGGGGGTATTGGAGCTGGTGGTGGTAGTGGAGGAAAGGAGGGAGGAGGGGAGGGGAGAGGAGGGGAGGGGAGCAGCGAGGAGGGGAGAGGCGAGGAGGCGAGTGATGAGGGACCTCTGAGCAGCAGCGTCAGGGCAGGCGATGGTGACTTGCATGAGGGATGTGACTGGCTTGTGGTCGCTCTGAAAGGCCGCCATGCAGGATGTGTAGCTGGGGGGAGGAGGAGAAGTGTGGAACGGTAGCAAAGGGAACAGGGGGACAGGAGGGTGTGACTTGCATGAGGGAGGTGACTGGCTTGTGGTCGCTCTGAAAGGCCGCCATGCACGATGTGTAGCTGTGGGTTGGAGGGGTGGGGAAGCAGAGAAAGTTATGAGGGTGTCAGGGCAGGCGATGGTGACTGGCATGAGGGAGGTGACTGGCTTGTGATCGCTCAGGATGTGGTGGGGGAAGTGGGGAAAGATTATAAGGGGAACAGTGCGACAGGAGATGGGAAGGTGAGAGGGGGAGGGGACAGGGAGAAGATAACTGCATCACGGCAGGCGCCGGCAACATAGCAGCAGCATAAGCATCAGCGAGAGATTGAGAGATAGAGAGGAAAGTGATAGCAAGAGATAGCGAGAGAGGGAGAACGCACCGAAGCATCTCAACTGAAACAGGGTGGGAGAGAGTGGTTCTATCCTTGGAAACACCATCGTTTGACACTCCACCACTGCCGCCACCATCCCTCGTTCCACCATTCTGGGGTGTGCTAATAGTGAAGCTGTCTCTAAAGAGGATGCGGTCGCACCAGGCAGGCACCCTGCGCTTCTCACCGGAATCATACGCTGGGAGGGATGAGATGGGATGGATGGGTGGGATGACATAAAGGAGAGGAAGGCAGAGAGGTGAATAGAGAGAGTGGGACAAGCGAAAGAAGAGAAAAGATGGCACCAGGCAGGCACCCTGCGCTTCTCACCGGAATCATACGCTGGGAGGGATGGGATGGGATGGGCTGGGAGAGAATGGATGGAATGGCATGGCATCTCATGGCCACAAACGCCCACCCAACCTTCAAATTCGTTGCCAAGAGAGAACAAACCCCCTTCAATCCTCCTCAAACAGGGAACGGGAGCAAAGGCTCACCGAGGGGGTTGAACGTCCCACGGTCGAACTTGTAGGTCGGGGCAAAGTCAACCTTTCCCTCCTGCATGCCCACAAACGCCCTTCCAGCCTTCATCTCCGCCCTCAGCTGATCACACTCCAGCAGCAGCGGGTACTGCCTCCTGGCCACGGCGCTGCATGCCTCGTCGTATGAGCACCCGTCGAGGCGGTAGTTCAAATCGCCCATCCAAATGAGCAGATCGCTCTGAGACAGGTCAGGGCGAGGTGCGGAAGGCTGGGGGACATGCAGGGGGAGGGGGAAGCAGCTGGTCAGGGGCCTTCACCTCCCTTTTCATGTCAAGGCGGTGATTCAAATCGCCCATCCAGATGAGCAAATCGCTCTGAGCTAGGTCAGGGCGAGGCGAGGAGGGCTGTGAGAGAGTGGGACGAAGGGGGGGAGGGGAGAGGAGTGCAGGAAAGCAGGTGGTCACAGGCCTTCATCTCCGCTCTCAGCTGATCACACGCCAACAGCAGCAGCAGCAGCGGGTACTGCGTCCTGGCAATGGCGCTGCATGCCTCGTCGTATGAGCACCCGTCGAGGCGGTAGTTCAAATCGCCCATCCAGATGAGGAGATCGCTCTGAGACAGGTCAGGGCGAGGTGCGGAAGGCTGTCGAACGGGGACGGAGGGGGAGGGGAGGGGTGGAGAGGAGAGGCGAGGAGGGGAGGCAGGCAGCTGATCACGGGCCTTTATCTCTCCTTTCAGTAGGAAACCCTGTCGAGGCGGTAGTTCAAATCGCCCATCCAGACGAGCAGATCGCTCTGAGACAGGTCAGGGCGAGGGGAGGGGGGCTGTGGTTACGGGAGGGAGGGGGGTGGGAGGGGAGAGGAGGAAAGCAGCTGGTCACAGGCCTTCATCTCTCCTTTAAGCACATCGAGGCGGTAATTCAAATCGCCCATCCAAATGAGCAGATCGCTTTGAGCTAGGTCAGAGCGAGGCGGGGCGGGCTGTGGGGATGGGAAGGGGGTAGGGGAGGGGAGGGCAGGCGACGGGAGGTGAGGAGATGGGACGGGAGGGAAGGGGAGGGGAGGGGAGGAGAGGGAGTAGTAGTCATGGCTCCTCCGCTAGCGCTCTATTAAGTAAGTTATAGTAGACACTCCAGTAGGCTCTTCATTCTGCTCTAACAACCCTCGCCAGTCAGCCGGCTTTCACAGTACTAGTGGTGGCACCTGCATGCAAAGGGTGTACAGTGTGACCCTCTAAGGCGTGACTCTCTAAGGTACGACTAACTGAAGTGCGACTCTTCAAGGCGTGAATCTCGAAGGCGTGACTCTCTAAGGCGTCACTCTCTAAGGCGTCACTCTCTAAGGCGTCACTCTCTAAGGCGTCACTCTCTAAGGCGTCACTCTCTAAGGCGTCACTCTTTAAGGCACGCCCATTTACGGCATGCCAAACTTACAGGCAGGTGAAATGAGCACAGCTGCAGCAGTCACGACAGCAGCAGCAACAAGGGCTGCAGGCCAATGGATTAAGAAGGCGCCAAGGAGCAGAAGAGGCAGTCAGGTGCACACGCAACAGCAGCACGCGGCAGCAAGGGCCCCACAGGGAGTTCCCTCTTCCAAATGGGAGGAGTGAGGAATTTGAGAAGAACCGTTAGGCATGGCTTTTATGGCGGCAGGCTGGTAACAAGGCGGGATTTGAGTCTGAGCTGACTCGAAAGATGGCTGGGGGGGAACATATGTGGAATGGGCCGCCCCAAAACGACATGAGGAGTGACCAGGTGCTTTCAAAAAGGGAGTGGCTTCGCTGTTTCCCTGGTCCGCTTTGATTGCGTGATCTAGCACCTTGCTTTGCCTTGCAGGCAAGCGGGAAAAAGATGGATTAGAAGGCCGCACCTCAGCATAAGACTCAGCACTTTCAATGCTGGAGACGCTGTTGATGCCAGCTGCAGCGTTCGGCCAATCAGAGCCCGACACGTCGGTGCCTTGAGTGCTGGAGATGGGGACAAAGCCTGCCGCCCCTGCTGCCCCCCCCACGCCCCTCCCTGCTGCCTTGACAAAGCCCTGCACGGCTGATTGGAAGCCGGCTGGAGGGAAAAGAGAGGGTGGTTCGGATGGGAAAAGAGGGTTGATTGGAGAGAAGAGAAAAATAGCAAAATTCATGATTGTTGCAAGATGCCCCGAGACTGGCCCCTTCCCTCCTCCCCCATCCCTGAAGCCCTAAAGAAAGCGAATCTCACCTCCAGCAGCATTAGACGCAGCAGTACCAACGGTCCCCATTGATCGCCCAAACTCCATCGCAGTGTAAATGGGATGCCAGTCCTCGTTCTCCCTTAACCCCCCTTCCTCCTTCCTCAAAGCCCTAACCTTACCTTCAGCGGCTTTGGCTGCATTAGTTGCAGCAGTGCCAACGGTCCCCATTGATCGCCCAAACTCCATCGCAGTGTAAATGGGATGCCAGTCCTCGTTCTCCCTTAACCCCCCTTCCTCCTTCCTCAAAGCCCTAACCTTACCTTCAGCGGCTTTGGCTGCATTAGTTGCAGCAGTGCCAACGGTCCCCATTGATCGCCCAAACTCCATCGCAGTGTAAATGGGATGCCAGTCCTCGTTCTCCCTTAACCCCCCTTCCTCCTTCCTCAAAGCCCTAACCTTACCTTCAGCGGCTTTGGCTGCATTAGTTGCAGCAGTGCCAACGGTCCCCATTGATCGCCCAAACTCCATCGCAGTGTAAATGGGATGCCAGTCCTCGTTCTCCCTTAACCCCCCTTCCTCCTTCCTCAAAGCCCTAACCTTACCTTCAGCGGCTTTGGCTGCATTAGTTGCAGCAGTGCCAACGGTCCCCATTGATCGCCCAAACTCCATCGCAGTGTAAATGGGATGCCAGTCCTCGTTCTCCCTTAACCCCCCTTCCTCCTTCCTCAAAGCCCTAACCTTACCTTCAGCGGCTTTGGCTGCATTAGTTGCAGCAGTGCCAACGGTCCCCATTGATCGCCCAAACTCCATGCTCGAGTAGATGCAGTGCCAGTCCTCGTTGCACACACATCAACACACCCACTCCCTCTCTCCTCCTCCGTCCCTTCAACCTCATCTCACCTCCAGCAGCCTTGGCTGCATTAGACGCAGCAGTGCCAACCGTCCCCATGGATCACCCAATCTCCATGCTCGTGTAAATCCGATGCCAGTCCTCGTTCTCCCTTAACCCACCATCTCCCCCCCCCCCCCCCCTCTCTCTCCTGAAAACCCCAAACCTACCTCCAGCGGCTTTAGCTGCATTAGTCGCAGCAGTGCCAACGGTCCCCATTGATCGCCCAAACTCCATGCTCGAGTAAATCCGATGCCAATCCTCGTTCCGCTTAGCTGTCGCGTTGTCATGCGCCGCCAGGTGGCAGTTGATGATTGCACAGACGCGCCCGCATATCGTCATGCGCACTCCCACCCCCCCCTGCTCGGCGTGTTGGATCAAGCGGGCGGTGAGAATATTTAGTGAGTGAATGGAATAAAAAATAGGAAAAAGAGGAAAAAGAGTTGGGACGGTGGAGCGACAGACAAACAGAGCAAGTACAGGATAAGAAGGAAGTAAAAAACATTCAGAGCGAGATAGAGACGGGTGGGAATCACAGGCCCAGCAGAACCCCACAGCTGTAGTCCTGCTGTAGCACACTTGAGACGACTTTTGAGGCGCCTCAAAAGCGAGATAGAGACGGATGAGAAAAACAGGCCCAGCAGAACCCCCCAGCATTGAGGTGAGATTTTAGGCGCCTCAAAAATCACCTCAATTCTAGCGAGATAGAGACGGATTTGAATAACAGGCCCAGCAGAACCCCACAGCTGTAGTCCTTCTGTAGCACACTTGTAATGTCAGACTTAACACCCCACCTTGTTGCCAAGTGCACGGCCGAAACCACACGCCACAGCCCCTGTCTCGACGTCAGATATGTCTGGAAGGAGTGACTCGCGCACCCTGATGGAGAGAGAGAGTGACAGTGAGGTAGGGCAGGATGGGGTAGAAATATAGAGAGGGAGACAAATGAGGCGCCTCATAAGTGGCATGCGCCTGTCTCGACATCAGATATGTCCGGAAGGAGAGACTCGCGCACCCTGTTGGAGAGAGAAATGGTGAGGTAGGGCAGGACAATTGGGCTGTTGCAGAGAGAGACAACAAGGTAAGAGGTGGATGCTGGAGATGGGTATGTAATAACATGAATTGATTTGACAGAATGTTGAATGCAAATGCTGCCCATCTCCACAGGCAATTTTCGAGGTATCCCATAAAACTAGCGACCTCAAAACACAGGAATAGAATCAATAGAATGATAATCACGTATGTCGTTGTCTTACCACACTGTCAGCAGCATGCCCGCCAGCTGTCGCGACGCGATACGCACAAAAACATCATCCGCAGAGGCAGCAGCAGCAGAGGAGGAGGAAGAGGAGGCGGAGGAGGAGGAGGCATAGACAGAGGAAGGATCAGAGGAACCAGTCAAACCAGAAGAACCACCAGCAGAACCGGCTACAGAACCAGCAGAAGCACCAGCAGAAGCAAGGGCCTTACGAATAACCGCAGTCCACTCCTGCGCAGCACCGCTCTCCTTCTCCTGCAAACCCGTCCCAACCGATTCCTTTGCTGCAGCAAGCGCAATGGCCCTTGCACCCATCTCCACCTCTTGCAACCCCACTGCAACCACATCCGCCCCTCTAGCCACCTCCCCCAGCCAACCCTGCACCGTCTCCCCATCAGGTTTCTCCTCCCCCACGTTCCAAGTTCCGGTTGCCACTTGCAGCTTTCGTCTTTTAGTGAACACCTGGGAGTGGGCGGCGAGGGCGGCGTGCAGTGCAGATTCTAGGGGCGGCGAGGGTAGGGTGGAGATCCAGGCGGAGACTTCGCCGTTCTTTGCAACAGATAAGACAAACTGGCCCACCGTTGTGGTGGAACTGTAGCAGCTGCTGCTGCTGCAGCCACCGCCGCAGCCGCTGTTAGCGCCACCACTGCTACTGCCACTGCTGCAGCTGCAGCTGGTGCTGGTACGGGTACTAGCTTGAGCAACAAGTCCTAGAGTGAAAGGTACGAGTTGGCGAATGGCTGGGAGACCAGTAATACCCTGGCTACCACTCATGCGCATGATACCACTGCTCCCTTCACTGCATTCCCCACTTATTCCTCTACTGATTCCCCCGTAGCTTTCCCCATTCCCGCTGTTGTCTGGATGACCAAAACCGTCCTGACCTGTTTCTGACAGCGCTTCCCTCCTGATTCTTTCCTTCTGATCCTGCTCACGCTGCTGCTGGTACTGCTGAAACTGCTGCTGCTGCTGCTGCTGCTGCTGCTGCTGCTGCTGCTGCTGCTGCTGCTGCTGCTGCTGCTGCTGCTGCTGCTGCTGCTGCTGCTGCTGCTGCTGCTGCTGCTGCTGCTGCTGCTGCTGCTGCTGCTGCTGCTGCTGCTGCTGCTGCTGCTGCTGCTGCTGCTGCTGTTGCTTTTGTTGCTGATACAGCTGCAGCTGCAGCTGCTGCTTGCGGCTCAGCTTCTGCACTCCAGGCCACCCACCTAACCTCCTCCCATTCCTCGCCCCCAGCACCACTATCCCCCCATCAGCCATCCCCACCCAAAGCCTCAAACCCACAACACAGAGACAGCACACTCCCGCATCCAACCCTACCTCCTGCATTCTCGCCCCGAACCTGTCGATCCGAACCAGCGCGCCGGACCTGAACCCGAACCAGACTGAGCCATCACCCACAGCAGTTGCAGCTTGAAGCTTTCTCAACGACCCCCCTGAGACTCCCCCTCCCCCTATCCCTCCTCGTTTTCCTCCTCCCCCTCCCAATCCTCCGCCCCCCGGGCCCCCTCCCCCTCCCCCTGTATCTCCAAGCTCCCCACTAGTACCCATACCGTCACTACTACCACTGCCACCACTGCCACTTATATACTCCTCTGTTTTCCCTGCTGTTGCTGCTGCTCTTACAGCATCAGTCACTGCCCCTTTAGCTTTCCCCAGCACTTCCCGGGACTTAGCTAAGAGTTTCCATGCGCCTTCCATACGCCTGTCCCTAGTATTATTACCCCCTCCACCAATCGTATTGCTAATTGCGCTGCTGTTGCTGATGATGCTGACGTCACTGCTGCTTGCTGCTGAGTCGCTGCGGGGAGGAAAGCTCCTGGAAGGTTCTTCTGAGGCGATCAGGTCTGAGAGGGAGGAGAGAACTCGGATGACCTCTTTTTTTCTTGCATCCCTTCGAAGGGGGACGAGGGGTGTATGGAGAGATATCAAGGGGTGGAGAAGGGTATGGAACAGGTGCTGAGGGGTGCAATGTGCGTAGGAAGGAGAGAACTCGAATGACCTATTTTATTCTTGTGTCCCTTTTGAGGGGGGACGAGGGGTGTGCAGAGGGATATAAAGGGGTGGATATGGGAATAAGAGGGGGTTTGAGAGTTCCAGTTTGTGTAGGGAAGGGAGAAGTGAGAACGGCTGAGAGAGGCAGGCGTGCAAGGCGGGCAATTTCTGGAGTCTGCATAGAAAAGCCACCAGGTGAAAAGTCGCCTGCATTACAATAACACATGATGATGGCAAGGCGTGCTAGCCACACAAGGCACACAATAGGCTCCCATGGGCGTAAGAGGCTTACCAGATGCATGCAGAGGCAGGCCCAGCCGTCCACACCCAGCCCGTAGCCGCATCTGCCACCATGACCCTCACAGGCGTAGGGAATACTAGCTATTGCTGACAGACAGTGCCATGGCATGGGTCAAGGGGTGCTCACCAGATGCAAGCAGAGGCAGGCCCAGCCGTCCACACCCAGCCCGTAGCCGCATCTGCCACCATGACCCTCACAGGCGTAGGGAATACTAGCTATTGCTGACAGACAGTGCCATGGCATGGGTCAAGGGGTGCTCACCAGATGCAAGCAGAGGCAGGCCCAGCCGTCCACACCCAGCCCGTAGCCGCATCTGCCACCATGACCCTCACAGGCGTAGGGAATACTAGCTATTGCTGACAGACAGTGCCATGGCATGGGTCAAGGGGTGCTCACCAGATGCAAGCAGAGGCAGGCCCAGCCGTCCACACCCAGCCCGTAGCCGCGTCTGCCACCATCACCCTCACAGGCGTAGGGAATACTAGCTATTGCTGACAGACAGTGCCATGGCATGGGTCAAGGGGTGCTCACCAGATGCATGCCGAGGCAGGCCCAGCCGTCCACACCCAGCCAGTAGTCGCATCTGCCACCATCACCCTCACAGGCGTAGGGAATACTAGCTATTGCTGACAGACAGTGCCATGGCATGGGTCAAGGGGTGCTCACCAGATGCATGCCGAGGCAGGCCCAGCCGTCCACACCCAGCCAGTAGTCGCATCTGCCACCATGACCCTCACAGGCGTAGGGAATACTAGCTATTGCTGACAGACAGTGCCATGGCATGGGTCAAGGGGTGCTCACCAGATGCATGCCGAGGCAGGCCCAGCCGTCCACACCCAGCCAGTAGTCGCATCTGCCACCATCACCCTCACAGGCGTAGGGAATACTAGCTATTGCTGACAGACAGTGCCATGGCATGGGTCAAGGGGTGCTCACCAGATGCATGCAGAGGCAGGCCCAGCCGTCCACACCCAGCCCGTAGCCGCATCTGCCACCATGACCCTCACAGGCGTAGGGAATACTAGCTATTGCTGACAGACAGTGCCATGGCATGGGTCAAGGGGTGCTCACCAGATGCATGCAGAGGCAGGCCCAGCCGTCCACACCCAGCCAGTAGCCGCATCTGCCACCATGACCCTCACAGGCGTATGGAATACTAGCTATTGCTGACAGACAGTGCCATGGCATGGGTCAAGGGGTGCTCACCAGATGCATGCCGAGGCAGGCCCAGCCGTCCACACCCAGCCCGTAGCCGCATCTGCCACCATCACCCTCACAGGCGTAGGGAATACTAGCTATTGCTGACAGACAGTGCCATGGCATGGGTCAAGGGGTGCTCACCAGATGCATGCAGAGGCAGGCCCAGCCGTCCACACCCAGCCAGTAGCCGCGTCTGCCACCATGACCCTCACAGCTCCTCGTGCGGTTGAAATGGTAGGCGGCGGCAAAGGTGGCATGCTCTCAGGTACAGGTGATAGTGCCCTGGTAGATACACCAGTGCTATTGCCAGCACCAGCACCAACGGCAGCACCAACGGCAGCACCATCAGTGGTTGTGGCAGCAGCATTGGCAGTAGCAGGGTCACGGCTTGTGCGGGTGTCATGACTGGTACTACCACTCCCGCCGTATCCTCTCTGATTGCTGGATTCCGCCATGTCGTTCCGAGCCTGCTCGCCCGCCGCCGAACCTGACGAGGCTCGGTGCTGCCGAAGCTCCACGCAGGCAGGGCTGATGCGGTTCGGCAGAGCCGCCCCTGCCACGTCAGCACTCTGCTGCTGCTGCTGCTGCTGCTGCTGCTGCTGCAGATCTGATGCTATTGGCCTATGCCTCCCCCCTTCCAAACCCTCCTCTAGACCCTCCTCTAGTTGGTGCATGGCTCGGTGAATCTCGGTGGTGAGGGAGAGGCGGGTCCATGCCTTGATGATTCCACGATCACCCGCCGACCACAGCTCGCCTGCCCATGCCATGCCATGCGGGTGGGGGAGGAGGGATGTAATGAAGCGGGACCGAGTAGATGCATCATGCATGTGTGTAGCAGATCTTTCACAACATGCCACGATCACCAGACGACCACAGCTCGCCTGCCCAGGGGAATGTGAGAGAGTACATGCCATGCCATGCGGGTGGGGGAAGAGGGTGAGCACAAACGGGTGTAAGTGTGTTGTTCTGCATCGTTTCAGGCGTGTTTCTAACTCTTGAATACACACACAGCAGAAGTGGGAGGGGATACGAACCGTATGGAGTGACGACCAGAGCAGTCACAGTGGCAGTATGGGCCTGCCAGTCCGCCACCAGAGCCACCTGCACTCGCGGGTCACGCAACCCAATTTCCAACCCCCTCTTGACTCCCTTTGTTCCTGCACATGCCCCCACTCCTCCTGTGCCCCCTCTTATGCCACCGCCTGTGTCTCCTCCTGTGCCGCTTCCTGTGCCTCCCTTTGTTCTCTGCGCTCCCGATCCTGTTAGCAGCACCCTCCATACAAGCACACGCCCGTCCTTGTGCCCTGTGAACACCACGCCGAGCCTGTCGTCCGAGGCTATGCTCTTGGCTCGGGCTGCCAGGGCTCGGAACGGCACAAGGACAAACGGGGCAGCGTCAGAACCCAGACGGGAAGGGGGCTTCACTGGTCTTTTCAACTGTGAAGATTTAGGGTTTTTGGTGTTTTCATTCTTTGGTGATGCGCCTTCAGAATCCGCTGCTGCTGCTGCTGCTGCTGTTTCTATTCCCGCTGCAAGTCCTGCGCTGCATTCTCTTGTTCCTCCTGCTTTGGTAGCTCCTGCTGCTCCTGCTTTGAGTTCTCCCCCTGCTGCTTCAGGTAACAGGGCCTGCCGCATGTCCCATGCCCTCAGGCCGTCATCAGTCACACACACCGCCACACTCCCCACTGTCACAAGCAGACAACTCTTGCCACCCGCATCTGGCCCTGTGAGATTCGCTTCTGCTGCTGCTGCTGCTGCTTCTGCTGCTTCCGCTGCTGCTGTTGCTGCTGCCGCTGATGGCGATGGCAAGGAGGAGGACGACGAACGTGGCAGCAGTAGCGACGAGGAGGAGGACGAGACGGGTGATAGGTCGGAAGATGAAGAAAGAGACGCAGATACTGATGACGATTGCGGAACAGCCAAAAACGAGGATAAAGGCGGGGACGAGGACAGTAAGGATGAGGAGGAGGATTGAGAAGAGGCGTAAGGCAAGGGAGAAGAGGTAAAACCGGAGGCAAAACCTGAGGGGCCAGGTGCAGACACTGCAGCAGATGGGGATGCCTTTCCGCTCTCCCTCCCCCTTCCTTCCCCTGCCCGAACTTCCGCCCGAGCCTCTCCCCTAGGCTTGGGGCACACCACAAGCGGAACCGGCCGGTTCGGGTCAACAGGCATTCGTGTGGGCGCATTGAAGATGGTTCTGGGAAGCTTCCCTGCAGGGCTGTAGTACTCTACAGGGGGAAGCGAGGAGATATAACCTGACTTGGCAATAGCAACAGGAGATGATGATGATGATGTCAGCACATGGCTGCTGGTGACGTCATCGTCACCAGCCCTGCAGCTGCTGCTGTCATCGATTTTGTCTCGTCCCCCTTGTTCGTTTCCTCCCATCTCCGCTGTTGCTGCCTCCCGCTCCCCCTCCCTCTTCTCCTGCCGCTTCCCCTCCTCCTGACCCTCATGCATTGTCGTTGAGACATAAGCAGTCTGGAAGGCAGGAAAGAGAGGCTCTGCAGCGGCAGGAACAGCAGCAGCAGCAACAGCAGGAGAAGCAGCAGTAGCAGAAGCAGGGATAACAACAGCAGGCAGGCCAAGATCCGAGAAGTCCCCAAATTCATCGAACCTGGCACCACTAGCAGCACCACTAGCAGCAGCAGCAGCAGCAGCAAAACCAGAACTCTCTACCGTGGGCGCAGCAGGGATAGGAGCAGCAGGGGCCACAGAGAGACGCTCAAGGAAGGACAAGTCGTGAGCCGTGTCCACTAGAGTCCCCTGCTTGGTTCCACCAACTGCTTCGCTTGTGGCTCCTGCGCCTGTACTTGACTGTCCTGCAGCAGCCGCAGCAATAGAAGAGTTTGCGGGTTCGACCAGAGGCTCTCCCAAAAGGTCCATGAGAGGAAGCGGGGCAGAGTCAGTCCTTTCAGTGTGGAAGAGGGTACTGTTCGAAATTGAAGTGACAAAGGGGTCCTGTGACAATAAGGAGGAGTGTTGAGACGATACTGCGGGGGATTGTGACGATATCGAGGTCCAAAAAGGGTCGGATTCAAGGTCTGGGTCGGGACGCAAGGTGGGAGCATCAGAGCTGAATAATGGTGACGAGGATGCCACAAACGGGGATGAATCAAAACCGAAGACATCGTCCTTCTGTGTCTGGGCTTGCTGTTGAGAGTGCTGGTTTTGCTGTAACAAGCTGGTACTGGTGCCTTTTGAAGGAATGCTACTGGTGACCCCAAGTGGAATGTTGTCTAGAAAAGCAAACGGATCCGCAATGGCTTCAGTCCCGTCTCTCTTTGTCCCTGCTGCTGCTGCTCCTGCTGCTGCAGCTGCTGAGGCAGCAACTGGAACCTTTACTGCTGACGTGGAAACTGGAACACCTGCTGCTGACGTGGCAGGATGTGCTGTTGCGGCTCCTCCTGTTCGTCCGGTTACAGATGTTCCCATTGCTCCCCCAACGTTAGAAGCCCCTTGCACAGCTTGCAGGAAACCCATAGCTAGCTGTGCTGCCGCCAAAGGGTCCATTTGTGACTTTAAGTGGGGCTCGGATCCACTAGAGAATGTGCTTGTATCGAGTCCGCCAGTTGTGCTTGGCGATGTGCTTGTAGCGAAAGTGCTGGTTCTGCTTCTGCTAGCAGCGGAGGCTGTGGATGTGACTGTAGAGGTAGAGGTGGAAGCGGATGAGCTCACGCCAGTCCAGGAATCAAGCCAATCCTCAGGGATTGCCGAGGAACGCGCGGAATCTGCGGTGCTGCTATTCGTTGTACTTCTCGCGTCCGTGACCCTGGTACTAGCGCTCGTGTCGGTGTTCTTCTTAACGGGTACGAAAGTCTCGGGTGGGAATGAGAACGGGTTGACTGGTAATTGCGTGCCTGCGGACTTCTTCCCGCCTCCAGCAACGAACGGCTGAGCGTCTTCGCCAGTGGCGAACGGATTCTCATCAAAGCAGTCCATTTCTTTGACCCTCGAACAGATTACTGGCGTTTTAGGTCCTACGCGACTAAAACAGGTTCAGCGTTGGGTCGGTGCTGCAAGTGCATAGCCAAACTGTCGCGTGATTGAGAGTTTCCTTCGTTACGAACGACCAACCCTTTAGGGTGTCAATGTTTAGTTTTTTTGTGCTTTATTGGGTTGCGTAGCAACCTTATACATTCGTTTTCACTTTTCGGTTGGCTGACGTGAACAGTGAATTTCTCCCATCAATCTTGAAAGAACTCACTGTTCACCAACTTCCCGAAAATGAAAACAAATGTTTCCGATCATTCCAAAATCGTCGATAAGTACGGCGAATGGAACAATTGGACAATCGTTCTAGCACTAATGACGATACCAAATGACACACGAACATGAAGGACGGAACCACCAAAAGACACACATACACAAATGGCCACAAAAGCAACCATGTACAAGAACCGTCGTACATATTTTGAGGGGAATACAAAATGCATCAATGCAGCAACTGAGGTTGATATGGTACGGAAGAGGCGAGCAAAGCTGCCCCACCGACGATCACAATCCCAGTTGCATACACGAGGCACTCACCAACACACTCCCAAAACAAGCACATGCGATAACACACAAACTGGTACAAAAACAGATAACGATTGAAAATGTTTCCAGGCGAATACTAAATGCATCAATGCTGCAACTAAGATTGATATGGTACGGAAGAGGCTAGCAAAGCTGCCCCACCGACGATCACAATCCGAGTTGCATTCACGAGGCACTTAGCACCACACCCTGAAACACACACAACACATATGCACATGTACGCACTCACACATAAAGGCTCACACATACACAAAGACACACAGCGCAAAAACATACAGCTACGGTAATAAGCATGCAAGCATAATGAATGGAGTTCAGCCTTGTATAAATCATCACTAGCATGTCCCCCATCCCCCCCCTCCCTCCCTCCTTCCCTCCCTCCCTCCCTCCCTCCCTCATTCCCCTTATCTCCCTTCTCCCCATCCCTTTTCTCCACAAGAAACAAGGGCTGCAGCTTGAACTTCCTGCGCACGAAAGAAGAAACAACAAATGCAACTCACTCCCTGCACAAGCAAAAACGAAAACAGAGAATACAACTTGCATGAGTTGCACAAGAAATCAAAATCAGAGAGTGCAGTTTCCTTGACGCACAAGAAACAAGTTTACGCTCGCACTCACTCTTGCCGCAACTCACCGACACTCAAATACGTTCAACAGCTCTTAGACACACTCACTGAAAACACACACAAACCCTCGCACTCACCCTCGGGCTCGCGCTCACTCGAACACCCCCACACACACAGTCGCGTGTACCCTCAAACTGAAGGCGCACTCACTCACACCCGCACTCACACTCACAGTTTCCCTCGCACTCACACCCACACGCATGCTTGCACTTGCCCTTGCACTCACAAACGCACTCACGCTTGCATTCGCCCTCGCCATCACACCCGCACTCACGTTCGCATTCGCCCTCGCACTCACATTCACGCTCACTCTCCCACTTGCTCTCGCAAATGACATCGCACGCACCTTGTTCTCACCCCTGCACTCGCTCTCGCACTCGCTCTTCACCTACAACTCTTCTTCGACATTCACAAAAGACACACACAAACACGTGCACTCATCGTGGTAGTACTCAACATAGCACACAAACTCGAACGCACTTTCTTACCCCCTTTTGCACTCACCCGCACCCTTGCACTCAACCTCGCATCCACAAACATACTCACTTTCCAACTCGCCGTCGTCCTCACACTCACTCTCACACTTGCTTTCACACCCACTCGAGCATTCACGATTGCACATGCTCTCTCAATCACGTTCGCACTCGCCCTTGCGTTCACAACCGCGCTCACCTTCAAGTGCATGCGCGCATCTCACTCTCGAACTCACACCCGCACTCGCACCAAGATTCACACCCGCACCCACCCTCTCGCACACTCTCGCACTCACTCTTGCCGCCACTCACACACACACACGCTCTAAGCGCAAGCGCCCACGGTGCCAGCTCCTCAAGCACAAGCGGCTTAGGCGCAAGCGACCATGCCGCCCGCGCCACCGGCGCAAGCGCGCACGGCGCTCTCTCTCCCGCCTCTCTCTCCCACACGCTCTTGGTGCTCCCTTGCCCCCCCTCTCTCCCCCTCTTTACAAATCAGTGCAACGCAAGGAGACCAATCGACAAACGGAAGCTACAAAAAATGTAAGAAAATAAGCAGATTTCAGAGGGGGAAAGGAGGAGAAAAAGACCGGGATAGGTAAGCGCACCTCAGAATCACGGCGCCTAAGAAATCATCTCGCGCTTGCCCGCCAGCTCGCGCTCGTGCAGCTGTCGTCAGCGGCGACGGCGAGATGAGAGGGGGAGGCGACGGCGGTGAGAGGAGAGGCGACGGCGGGATGTGAGGGGGAGGCGACGGCGGTGAGAAGAGAGGCGACGGCGGGACGTGAGAGGGAGGCGACGGCGGGATGTGAAGGGGGAGGCGACGGCGGGATGCGAGGGGGGACGCGAGGCGGGATATGGAGGGGAGGCGACGGCGGGATGTAAGGGGGAGGCGACGGCGGGATGTGAAGGGGAGGCGACGGTGGGATGTGAGGGAGAGGCGACGGCGGGATGCGAGGGGGAGGCGTCGGCGGGATGTGAAGGAGAGGCGGTGGCGGGAAAGAGGGAGAGGCGACGGCGAACGAGAGGGAGAGGCGACGACGAACGAGAGGGAGAGGCGACGACGGGATGGGAGGGAGGCGAGGAAGAGGCGACGGCGGGATAGAAGGGAGAGGCGATGGCGGGGTAGAGAGGGAGAGCCGACGGCGGGATGGCAGGAAGAGGCGAACGGCTGGGTGAGAGGGAGAGCCGATGGCGAGGTGGGTGGGAGAGGTGACGAGAGACAAGAGGCGAGGTGGGAGGGGGAAGGGTTTGTTGAGTTGGGGTGGGAGACGAAGGGATTGGGGAAGTTGCAAAAAAATGGGAGAGCATACGTACAGTAAAACTCGGTTTGGCAAAGTGTTGTTTCTTGAAGTGGTTCTGTTCCTGGGTCTGTTTTGCAACTGTTCGATGAAATCAGGCGACGGGAAATCGAGGCATGAGCGTAATACAATTACGGGGCAAACGAACATGGGGCAAAATGCGAACTAGACGAAACCGGGGTACTAGGTAAAAAAAACAAAACGACACATACAAATTCATTTTGGAAACTAGTCACGTGAGACACACATGTGATGACGTGACACATCCAACGAAGTGCGTCAATCTGAAAGCAACACATCATGGTACACCCGCTAGAGCAACAACCTGACAATATATTATAGTGATAGGTTGCCTATAGACATCACTGCTAAAATCAGCAATTATAATTGATATTCAATAATGGTAGCACAATATCTAACATCACAAGACAAAAACACATCAGAATAAAAATATGACGTAATATTACTAAAAAATACTGTAGTTTTTGATAAATGGGAAAAACTTGGGTATTAAGGCTTAAGATAAGTGCAAAAAAACACAGAATGATAAATACTATGTACTTAGCTAACTACGCAACCCTTCCGACGATATCGTCGAGTCTTGTAGATTTTGATTGTGTTCATGTCAGGGGTAACGGGTCTTCTAAAAAACACTTGTCTATTGTTCACCCAAACCATTTTCCCATCATTTTAGATAAATCCCTGGACCCTTTATCTGGGAGATTTGGGTAGTGAAGTGATCAGGTAAGATGGTTGTTCCACAAGAGTGATCAATAGAGAATGCAATCATCCTAGTACCACTGGAACAACAACCCCCGCCAGCAATTTAGAGGCTTCAAACGATCTACAAAATCATGCCATGTGAACTATCATGCAATGCAACATTCTACTGCAGCAGAGCTTGTCAAGGAACAGTAACCTGATAGAACGCCTCTGCACCAGACTGATCCCGCCCACTCTTGTGATCTTAGGCGGCTAATCAGCAGGTGTATTCCATTTGTTAGGCACCTAAAATATAGACTCTCAACATACTCCATTCAGTTTGTTTTCCTTCCCTTCAACCATCTACAGACTACAGCTTGCCCTTGGCAATCTTGGACCACTCGGTGTGGTAGTTGCCGTCAACGTCCACACGCTCATACGTGTGAGCGCCAAAGTAGTCGCGCTGCGCTTGCACCAGGTTGGCAGGCAGTCGGGCACGGCGGTAGCTGTCAAAGTAGGCCAGGCTGCAATGGGGGAAGGAAGGGGGTTGGAGGACAAGGGGGCAAGTGATGAGACAGAGGCAAAAAGACGGTACCTTGGCACTCAAGGGAGCTGGCTTTTAAATTTCATACCATTCCTCTCACCCTGCCCACCTCTCTCCCGTCACCTAGTGCTCATGCCCTCCAGAGTCACCACCTAGCACCATCCCTCCTGCCTCACTCCAGCACCCATTCTCGAGACAGCTCACAACAGTCCCCCATAGGCGCCTTTTCACTCAGCTTGTCTCTGCCCCTCACCTGGTGCTCATGCCCGGAGCAGTGAACCTTCCTGCACCGCCACTCAGCCCCTTCCCTCCAGGCTCTCCACCTTCTCTTTTTTAAAGAACTAGGTAATTCATCTCATATACACCCTTTCGCCATACCCTTCGCTCAGCTCAGCCCTTTTCTCACTCAACCGGCCTCTCCCCTCACCTCGTGCTCATGCCTGGAGCGGTAATCCCAGCCTGGATCGCCAGAGTCACCACGCGCCGCCACGCCTGCTGCCGCTCCACCACCTCCTTGGCAAACTCCGAATCCACCAGCAGATTCGCCAGCGCAGGGTTCCGGTCATACGCCTGCTTGATGCGATCCAAAAACACCGCCCGGATGATACACCCGCCCTTCCAGATCCTCGCAAGCTCCCCGAGGTTCAACCCCCAGCCCTGCTCCGTGCTCTTCGCGCGGATGAGGTTCATTCCCTGCGCGTAACTGCAGACCTTGGACGCGTACAGAGCCTTCCGAACGTCGTCCACAAGCTGGGCTTTATCCACTCCTGCAACGGCCGAGGCTCCGTCCGAAAGCCCAGCTGCGGCAAACACGGCAGAGGCTGCCACTCGCTCGTCTTTCAGGCCGGAGATGTAGCGTGAGTCGAGGGAAGCAGCGATGGTGGGAGCCGCGATCGAGAGCTCTGCTGCCTGCTGGACCGTCCATTTTCCAGTGCCCTTCATGCCGGTCTTGTCGAGGATCGCGTCGACCAGGAACTTGTTTTCGCCTGGGGCTGCGCGGTCATCCTTGACTGCGAAGATGTCGGCGGTGATCTCCACCAGGAAGCTCTCGAGCTCGTTCTTGTTCCAGCTCGTGAAGACGGCATGCAGCTCCTCGTTCGACAGGCCACCCACGTTCTTCAGGATGTCATAGCTGAGATGTGGCAAGGAACGAGAAACGGGGGACCAGGGGAATGGGGGAAGGATGGAATGGGGGAAGCAGGGGAAGAGGGGAAGGGGAGTGACAAGGACTCACTAATCAACAACGCAGCTACCGGCATTTCTTTGCAGCACATTCAATTCCACACAACTACCAAAAAATGTGCACAGCCATTTCTCATAACTTGCACGTTGAGCTGCAACTGCTGGTGGTCATTCTGGTTGCGAACAAACCTCACAGCAGCTATCCCCACATTCTGCCCCTAATCGCAATTCCCCAACATTGGCAAAATCCTAACAACGTGCCAACACCAACCAAACCTCCAACCCCAACACCCCTAGATTAATATGAGCTCACTGTCACTGTATTTGATCTCTTTGTGTACCATTTCATAATGTTCACCGCTTCAGCAGTCCCAACGAGCACAACGCACATCCCATCGTCCGTCGTCCGCCTAACCGTTCCCATCGCAACCAACCCCACCCAACACCAGAAACTCACGCTTCCGAGATGAGCTGCATGTCGCCGTACTCAATCCCATTGTGCACCATCTTGACGAAGTTCCCCGCGCCACCCTTGCCCACGAAAGTCACGCACGGCCCGTCGTCCACCTGAGCCGCCACCTTCTTTACCACGTCCTCCACTATCGCGTACGCCTCCTTGGATCCGCCAGGCATGAGCGACGGCCCGAACCGAGCGCCCTCCTCGCCGCCTGACACGCCCATGCCCAGGTACAGAAGACCCTTGGCCTTCGCCTCCGCCTCTCTGCGCTCCGTGTTCTCGTACCTGATTCCAATTTTTTTATACGGGAGAGACGGAAAGGAAGGAGGAGGGAAGCGAGATGAACGAACAGACTAAAGAAAAAAACTTCTTGAAACAAAATGGGAAGTAGTTTGTTTTATGGATTCAGATCCTGCAAAACTTCTTGAAACAAATGCGAAGCAGTAGTTTTGAGCGGGATTCTTCAAAACCCATGCCAATCATTCTTGCTGTCCCTCAGGACTAAACGGGAGAGACATAATCAGACAAAGTTTCCCCAACATTCGTAATTCCCTCACTAGTTGTTATTCCCTCACCACTCGTTCCCGCCGTCGATGATGACGTCACCCGGCTCCAAGTACTCCGAGAGCACCTTGATCGTGTCATCCACGGGCTTGCCAGCCTTCACCAGGATGATGATGGCTCTGGGCCGTTGGATCGACTGCACAAAGTCCTTCACGTCGTGGAAGCCCCGCAGAGGCAGGTCGCCCTCCGCCTTGGCGCGAACGACGGTGTCGTCCACCTTGCTGGCCGTGCGGTTGTACACGGAGATGGGGAAACCTTTCTCGGCAATATTCAGGGCGAGGTTCTGCAGGCAGGGAGGGAAGACGGACGCAAGACGATACGTTGCCATGATGAATGATCGGTACCGTCCATCTTGGTTGCTGTGCGGTTGTACACGAAGATGGGAAAACCCATTCCGGCGATGTTCCGCGAGGAGAGAAATACTGAATGCTATGCGTGAAGCTCGCAAATGTACAGAGACGTGTTGCAGATAATCACAACAGGTTCTTTTCGAACATAACAAAAAACGAACTGCCATGACGAATGTCCATTTCCAGAAATGTACCTGTCCCATGACCGCCAAACCAGCGAGGCCGATCCGTGAAAGGCCTGTAGAAGACGCCATTCTGCAGGAAAAGTACGGAAAATCGGATGTGGAATGAGACTCAAGGGAAGAGTCAGCGACATAACGAAGAAGCACAGAGCATGGACTAACAGACTGCAGTTTAAGATGCGTACGCCAGTTACGCTAGCTTGGCAAAAAAGGCAACATTAACAAAACATTTCAAACTTCCGTTGCCTTTTTATAGTCTTGGCCTGCGAAAACGAACAGCAGTAATTCATTTATTCGCTGTGACTTACTTGGAACTCTGAGATGCGTCTGCGACAGTCGCCCGAACAATGCTGCTAGATAGTTGACGCTTTTCTTGGAAAGATTCTGCAACGAAATATTATGATAACAAACGAGGCGAATGTGGGATAACGAACGACAGATGTGCGGTCCGAACCACTGACCCTAACGTAGGATTTGGAGATCCAAAAGGTCAACGCTACGAGGTAGCAGGCAGACAACGCGCGCGTGAAACGAAAGTTATTCTACAAAATATGAATGAAGACACGCGGAAAGAATCACCAACGCACCTTGTCTGTGCGTAGATGACAATGGAAGACCAGACTGCGAGAAACCTGCAGAAAGCTTCTTCCACGCAAGCCTATTCTGAGTGCCTGATTGATTCTTCCGAACCGAGCTAGCTGATCGAGTAAGAGACGCAGCAGCAGTCAACGAACTCGTGGCTGCGAGCTTAGCAGCCATGGAATACAATTATATGAATGCCTGGAAGAATCTGTAGGCGAAGAATCAGGCAAATTGCCTGGAGTGGTTGCAGAGGGAGGTGAGGGTGAGTGAGAATGGAGGAGCCACGGAAAGAACCTCTCGAGAGGTTCTGGAAGTTGGAATCTGGAAGGAAAATGAGAGTTCAATGTTGGTTCGTCCGAAATAGCTGCGAGGGAAGCAGCCACGTGCGAAATATCCGGGATGTCTGTCGACCCAGAGGAAAATATTATGCCGATGTTTTTTGTTCGGGTTTGGGTAAGAAACTGGTCGATTTGTTAGCACGAGCACGAGTCGTTTAACCATGAATCTTAGGATCGATCCTGAAGAATTGGTAGGTGATGCATCTGTGTCACTTTGGAAAAATATAAGCCCTGCAAAACTCAAGCATTCGAAAGCCGGGGATACGTAATGTTTGCACAGCATACCAGGGTAGGTGACTTTAAAAAACATTACCACTCCAAGCGCGCAAAAAGGCAACCTGCATCTCCGAAAAGCGGGGATCAGACAGCTTTTCATAGGCCCGTCCACATCAGTCAATGGCTACATATCCACTCACCTTCACCCACTCGACCCCAACTACGTGTCAAGTTCCATCAGATTTTTCATTTGCCCAGTCGGAGCTCCCAAGCCACGTCGAAGGTCAGGCCAGCTGGGCTGCAGCTGGGACCACCAGCTGGCTACTCGCTCGGAATTTCCGCGAAGTTTTGCGCAGCCCAGAAAACTGCCCCTTGCAGTGCGCAGCGGCCAGGGATTCACCGCATAGCCGACATATTCGGGAGGCGGAAAGCCGCACAGCATAGCTGCTGGGGGAAAAGGCCACACGCCCCTTCCTATCTGCGGCTCTTGCCTTTCTCCCAACCCCAGTCTTCCAGCCTAGCATGTTGCTTTCTTTTCGAAATGTTTTACTGCCTAATCGCTACTCCATCAGTCGCCATGGCATCGCTTGCTCCTCCTCGCTTGCCTCCTGTCGTATGCTGCAGCCAGCGTAGGCCCGCTGCGTTAAGAACGTGTTGTACGTTTCGTTACTAAGAGCACGTTGAACACGTTTCAAACACGCACGTCGTGTGCGCTCCGCCGTACATTGCGCACTCCTGTCGCGTCCAAAGCTAGTCATGGCCTCGCCCGGCCGTCTCTGGCTCGGCTCTTGGGCTCGTTTCCTATTGGGCCAGCGCCTCGCGCCGTACGTTCCCACACCTCCGCACGTGGTTCGGGAGATGCTTCGGCTGGCTCGTGCCGGACCTGACGACGTGGTTTGCGACCTAGGGTGCGGCGACGGGAGATTGCTGGTAGAAGCCGCGCTAAGACACGGCTCTAGAGGGTTCGGTGTGGATCTAAATGCGGAGCTGCTACGGGCAGCTGAAGAAAACATCCGAAGCCACGGATTGGCTGACCGAATCACAGTCTCTTGCCAGGTAGCATCATGAGAAAGGTGTGAGTGTTTTGGATTTGGGAAGGAGGGGGGACGGGAACGAATGGAGGTGGGAAGGGGAAGGAGAGTGGAAAAGAGAGAGGAGATGATGAGGGGAGATGGAAAAGGGAGAGGCTAGAGGGGACATGGCACAAGCTCTCGTGTTCTAATGAATACAAAGTACCTTCGCGAGAATGGTGGCTTGGGAAGTGAAGTACTGATCAGAACCCATTCGTCCTCTATCCCTGCAGGATGCACTGACGGTGGACCTTCACAAAGCAACAGTGGTAACCCTATATCTCAGCGAATTCGGTAACCAGCAGCTGGTTCCTCGCCTGCAGTCGCAGCTGCGCCCGGACAGCCGTGTCGTTTCCTTCTGCTGGAAGTTTCCCGAGAAGTTTCGGCCGGTGGAGGAGAGGAGAATAGACGGCATTCCGCTTTATCTGTACAAGTTTGGCTAACATGGGTGGGTGGAAATAGGGAGGGATCTACCTAGGCAAATGCATTAGGTGATAAAATCAGGACAGGGAGATTGATCCAAAGGTGCATGGTATTAAGGAAGGTGACAGGTACTGTATGTGGCACATCAGCTGTGAGATTGGGAGTGGTAGAGCTGTATTGTTTGTACCCCATGCAAAGGTATTATAGAGAGATGTGCATGGGTGTATGCAAAGAGAAGGGAGGCCATAAGAAGGGCACACAGTCATGCAGGCAGGCAGCCACCAGCTAGAACACCATCCATGCCAATGAACAACTAGTGCAGTGAACTAGGGGTTCCTGCATACAACAGAAGCAACATGCACATGCCAAGCATGAGATGGGCTGCCCATTAGTAGTACAACTTGGTTTTCAAGTTTACTGAATGTGAACAGTTCTCCATCTCCCGTTGACACTTCTCCAGGAAGACTTGTTTTGTCGCTGGCCAATCAAGCATCAGAGTTGCAAGACCTACCCTCTGTGAAGCGACGGAATGCAGCACTTTGGGTGGTAACTTGGTTTTTGGCGAGTCCATATTCAAGAATCTTGAATTTGAAAACAGCCATGTGGAACTCGGGCTTTAAATAACGATAACCACTCAGCACACATGGCCTCTAGCCGAAGCGCCTCATGATGCACCGAGCGCAGTGCAATAGCAGGAAATCAGCCATGCGTACTCCTGTGCGCGGATGCCAGCAAAGTACCTATTACTGCAATACCATTGCTGGTACACTCTTCGTGAAGCGGAGGGGATGTAGGTTTTGGTCGATTCTAAGATAAATAACTATCACCAGGCAATGTTATCAGGCCTCCTTGATCTCCTCTCCCGCTTCTAAATCCGATCTCGGCGATCCGACGGGCACGACGCTCGCACGCATGGCCTCGCGCTGAAACGCCTCGAGATGCACCGAGCGTACGGTGCAATAGCGGGAGATCATCCACGCATATTGCCGCGTGCGCATGGCGGCGAGATAATACGCCTCCATGAGAAGAACTGTGAAGAGGCAGAGGAGCGAGGCGGAGAGGAAGAGAGCCGAGTCGGCTACTGGGCAGGGGTCGGGGGTTTGGTTGGGGGAGAGGGAGGCGGAGGAGGGGGAGGAGCGGAGGGCGTAGGTGCCGGGATGGGCGTTGTCTAGGGAGGAGACGGAGAGAGCGAGGATGGTAACACAGAGGAAGATCCTGGCAGGGGGTGTATGCAAGGGTGATGAACAGAGAAGCGAAAGAGGTTAACAGATGAGGAGGATGAGCAGAGGGAGTAGGTGCCGGGATGGGCGTTGCCTAGGGAGGAGACGGAGAGAGCGAGGATGGTGACACAGAGGAAGATCCTGATTAGGGAGGCGATGGGTGAAAAGACTGGTGAGAAGAACAATAAACAAAAGGTTCCTGTTCTTCCGACTTTTGAGGCGACGCCCTGAGTCATCATCAACGCTTGACTCAGAAAGCTTCAAGAAGAGAAGAACACATACAGGTTGGTGAGGAGGACCACCAGCAAGAGGTTCCGATTCCGCCTTTTGTCGAGGCGAGAGGCGTGGCACCAATGCGTTCCATACAGGTTGGTGAGCAGAACCACTAGCAAGAGGTTCCTGTTCCGCCGTGTGTCGAGGCGGGAGGCCTGGCACCAGTGCGTTCCCCCGTGCAGGAGGGTGAAACCCTGAGCCACCAGCAGCAGCAGCGCTGCTGCAGCAGCATAGCCCCCCGAAGGGCCTCAGAAGGTACACTTACAGGTTTGTAAGGAGAACCACGAGCAGAAGGTTGCGGTTCCGCCGTGTGTCGAGGCGCGAGGCGTGGCACCAGTGTGTGCCTCCATGCAGGAGAGCGACACCCTGAGCCACCAGCAGCAGCAGCAGCGTCGCTACAGCAGCAGCAGCAGCAGCAGCAGCGTAGGCCCCCGATTGGCACACTTACAGGTTGGTGAGGAGAACCACGAGCAAGAGGTTTCTGTTTCGCCGTGTGTCGAGGCGGGAGGCGTGGCACCAGTGGGTTCCTCCGTGCAGCAGGGTGAAACCCTAAGCCACCACCAGCAGCAGCACCGCTGCAACAGCGTAGGCCCCTGATTGGTACACTTACAGCGTGGCACCAGTGCGTTCCTCCGTGCAGGAGGGTGAAACCCTGAGCCACCACCAGCAGCAGCGCCGCTGCAGCAGCATAGTCCCCCGAAGGGCCTCAGAAGGTACACTTACAGGTTTGTAAGGAGAACCACAAGCAGAAGGTTGCGATTCCGCCGTGTGTCGAGGCGGGACGCCCGGCACCAGTGGGTTCCTCCATGCAGCAGAGTGAAACCCTGAGCCACCAGCAGCAGCGTCGCTACAGCAGCAGCAGCAGCAGCAGCAGCGTAGGCCCCCGATTGGCACACTTACAGGTTGGTGAGGAGAACCACGAGCAAGAGGTTTCTGTTTCGCCGTGTGTCGAGGCGCGAGGCGTGGCACCAGTGGGTTCCCCCTTGCAGCAGAGCGAAACCCTAAGCCACCAGCAGCAGCAGCGCTGCTGCAGCAGCATAGCCCCCCGAAGGGCCTCAGAAGGTACACTTACAGGTTTGTAAGGAGAACCACGAGCAAGAGGTTGCGGTTCCCGTGTGTCGAGGCGGGAGGCCTGGCACCAGTGCGTTCCTCCGTGCAGCAGAGTGAAACCCTGAGCCACCACCAGCAGCAGCACCGCTGCAGCAGTGGCGGGCCCCCAATCGGTACACTTACAGATTCGTGAGCAGAACCACTAGCAAGAGGTTGCGATTCCGCCGTGTGTCGAGGCGGGAAGCCTGGCACCAGTGTGTTCCTCCGTGCAGGAGAGTGAAGCCCTGAGCCACCAGCAGCAGCGTCGCTACAGCAGCAGCAGCAGCGTAGGCCCCCGATTGGCACACTTACAGGTTGGTGAGGAGAACCACGAGCAAGAGGTTTCTGTTTCGCCGTGTGTCGAGGCGGGAGGCGTGGCACCAGTGGGTTCCTCCGTGCAGGAGAGTGAAACCCTGAGCCACCACCAGCAGCAGCGTCGCTGCAGCAGCGTAGCCCCCCGAGGGGCTGCTGGGGTAGATGCAGTGAAGGGCGTTCTGCGCGTCTAGCATGTGAGTGGATGACTGCTGGCGGGGGGGAAGGGGGGGTGG